TAGGTTTCAACTCAAAATTCCCTTTGGCATAACGTAAATAAATAAATGAAACATTTTATAAATTCAAACAAAAATACATTAATTTTGCTTACATCCTTTATAATTAATCGAGTATTATTCCATTGAATAAAGTTTTTTTGCCAATATATCATTTTCTAACAATTATTGAAAATTTCTGATCAAAAAATACCCTTCATATATTAAATTTTACAGTAAATGTTGCTGCTAGAGTAAGTACATATCAACATACAGATAATAACATATTAGTTTTAAATTATCAAAAAGGGGGACAAGTTGGAGGACACTTCTCAAGAAAGAGCAGTTTATTTTAATTTAAATCCTTAAAGTAAATTAAAAATAATTAATCCTTTTAAAATATTAATAAAAATTAATCTAAAATAATTAATTTTTACAAAGGACTGTCCTCCCTAAAGAAGGATGATTAGTCATCTTAATAATAGTCTTCCCTTTATGTCTGAGAAAATTTGTTGTGTGTGTTAGATAGAAAACAGATCCTCAAGGTACCAAAATATGTCGAGCAAAAACGTTATGGAAGTTGTTTTTTTAATGTATTCAACTGGATGATATTACAATATTCAGTCAACACTTTTCACAGGGCGTTACGTCTGCCAGACACTTTCAAGGTATCAAAAAATGTTATTCCTGATAAAAATTAGTAGGTACATGACTGAAAATTTTAGTTTTTAGACCATGCAGAACTATTTAAGTATGTTATTCGTCAAATAATAAAGTTTTCCCTATGCAGACTTAAGTAGACACACACAGAACACACTGTATATAAATTGGGTCCAATCTAATTATTTTTACCTCTACAAGACGTGTGGTAGCTCAATTTCCTAGCAATTTTGAGACACCCTGTATATCACTGCAATTATTAAACTTAATTGGTTATAACAATACTTTGTAAGTATTTTAAAACAATATTAGGTACTTCTATACCAAAATAGTTTTAATTTCTTTATTTACCTATACCTATAAGTATTTCAAAATCCTAATGAAATCTTACATCTATAACTAATTAAGATTTCGCAATAAAAGGAAGCACGATAGTGTGTCATTATCAGCTGTGTTATCTGATAAAACAAGTAGAAGTTATGTAAACAGAAAATACTATTAAAAATGGGTACACCTATATAATAACTTAACTTACCAGAAATAATCCCATCCATCTGCATTAATGCTTGTTCCAATAATTTGCTCGCCTCGGTTTGAGCTGACATCGCGTTAACTTTATCATTCATTTCCTCGGCTTTGCCCATGTCTTTTTAATGGACAAATTAAAAGTTTTAATTGTTAGGTAGGTATTTTTAATTTTTTAGGCACAAAAACTATCACGATCGCCACATTGAGGTTAAATCGCGGCGACACTGTAACAAAAGAAACGTTTCGAAATATACTTCGATAAAGGCGGACCGCCGTTAAATAATCGGCACGAAAAGACACTTGTTTTTCACGGTTTATACGAATTTATAAAAACAGTCTTTAGAGATAGGATGTAAACTTGACAGGTTTGTTTACTATTTCACTAGAATTAATTATGAATGGGATTAGGAAACGAAAAGAAAGGATAAAAGAAAATTTAGAGGTTTCTTTATAAGAAAGAAACGTGTCTACTTAATCATAGATGGCTATGAATGCAAAAATGACAGATGGTTAATTTTAAGAAGCCGCGTTCGGAAATTAAATTTCCTATACACTTAACCTAAAGCCAGACCTACACAAGAATGATATGTATGTGACGTCACGACAGAACCTTGATGCATTGCTTTTAACGTATTAAAAGTATATTTTTATTGATTTTGATTAAAAATAAAAATTGTTAGACTGTAGAAATTATCTTTGACGTATTAGAAAAGATATATTTTTAAAATAAAAGAATAAACAGACCCACAAAATATTTATTTGATTTTTATTTTGATGATCCTAGTAAAACAATAGAAAAATCGTTTTATAGAAGTGGATCGCCGTACAAAAATAATATAGATAATACTTAAGAAATTAAATACTTCTTGTACCCAATAAAGATCTGGTTTAGGATTATTTAGTTATTAGAAAAGCAGGTATTTAGAAGTTGTAAGCGCAACCCAAATGTGAACGCTTCAACCATTGACAACTCTTCCGATAAGGCAGAATCGATTTAGCGGTCTCCAATACGTTTTCCTTCACAGAGTGTCCAAACATCAGAGGAACTAACTTTTTGAAGCCCAAGAAAGGAAAAACTAAGGGAGATCAACAATGCCCTGAAATTTGAGAACAAAGCGTTGAAAAGAGACAACCAGGTCCTTCTTAATAAATGTAACAATCTTGAAAAGAAGCTTTAAGAAAAATTGGAAGACACGATCAGTCTCGAACAGTACAAAACTTGTACGTATTCACGGTGCTCATCCAAAGAACTCGCACACTTTATTAATGTTCAGATTTCCCAAAGCATGAAATCAGCTAAAGGTCGAAGGTATTCGAACGAATTTAAATTTAAGTGTTTATCACTATATTTCTCTGACCCAAAGGTTTATAAAACACTTCTAACTAAATTATTTTGCCTGCCTGGGCCGCAATCCCTTTTAGAATCTTATTACGTGGGATAGACATCCCACCAGGTTTGGAAGTCTCCAAACCGTAGTACGGATTATGTTGTACGGATTGTTAAATGGCATGACATTCAAAATTTTGGTCAAAACAATTTTCATCATGCACTTTTCTTGGAAATTCACAATGCTTTATTAGGATTAAAAACACCAGTTTCTAGAAACTTTTTCACTATTCACTATAACACTAACATTACTGATCAGAAAAAGTGGTTAAAGTTTTCTTTTTGTAATCACAAATCGCAACTGAATGCCTATTTTTAAAATAAATTATCTCTATAATTCCATTTGTATAGTTGTATGCTGTGCATCTGTGAGATTGTTGTTTATTATACATAGGTACCCAATTATAGAAATCTTTACCCAGACAACACACCAAGTCCCAGAGATATCCACAGAATATATTTTGTGGATATCCAATATATCCACAGGATATCAGAAATATTCCGTGGAACTAATATGGATATCCAAATGTCCGTCTATATCCAGAATATAGAAGATATCCTATGGATATTCAGCAAAATATCTAATGAGTATCTCCAGACAATACAAGAAATCCCAGATATATCCATAGAATATATTTTGTGGATATTCAACCAAATGTCCGTCTATATCCCAGGATATAGAAATTCAGATAAATATTTTATAATTATTTTTAGTAGAGGTTCATAAGTAACCAATGGTTATTGAATAACGTCGAAAGAAAATAGAGGTAAAAAATATTCCCAACAATCTGCCTTTGATTCTGCCTACTAAGGAGAAAATCATCCTTATTAGGAATCTTCAGCAATAAATGGAACTTCTCGACTTCAGTCTCTAATGAAGTCTGTTTGTGAAACAATGTCGATCAAACTCAATTACGACGGGTTAAGCATGAGTAGATACGAAAGTGGTATCGCCATCTATACTTAGGAAGCAAAATCAAAAATTACATCTAGTAGATATCCACGATGGTTTGCGTCCGCGCTTAGACTTTGATATATTTATATTTATAGTGGATGTCCATGGGATATTGAATACACCTTAAAAAAAATTAATTTTAAATATCTCAACGGTACTATTAGCCACAATGGCGAGTACAATGGCGTAATTTTTTAATAATTTGCTATATAATTACAATTATTTATGGACATTTGCATGTCTATAAATTACATTTCATGGATATAAAATAGATATCCACCATGGACTGGACATTCAGTGGATATTGGGATGTTCAGTAGATATCCAAAGGATTTGGTGTGCTGTCTGGGTAGTAAGTACTTGCTTGCAATTTAAGTAATATATGTTCCTACCCTATATAATTAATTATTTCAAACATAAATAAAATCAACAACTATTATCTGAGTCTTTTTAGTTCCGATTGGTTTTGACAGAGTAGTTTTGATCATGGTTTTCTTCCATCTTCTTTTAACCATAAAGTCATACCTAGCTGAATTTTTGGTCTTTTTAAACTTTTGACTGTAGCGGGTCATATTTTTAATGTATGTCATCTGCAGCAGAAAGACCTACATGTTTTACGTTTAAAAGTAATTAATTGTCCTTTCTACAAACTCGGCTGTATTTTTACTGAAATATATTTATTCACAATTCACGTAGTGGTTTGGTTTTTGGTTTGGTAATTTGATGTCATAATTCTCCTCATTGTCAGTTTTTGACATTGGCAGCTTTGATCAAGACAAGAGAGTCCCTGAACGAAAAATCGTAGTTTGGGTTTTAGTTTTAAAGCACAAAGAGATTAACAAATCTGATGCACAGTGTTATTCGAACGTTGTTTTTCGATCACACAGGTCATATATCGGACGGTTTCGACGAAGACAGAACAATATAATAATATAATCTCTTTTATGGTCTTGGCATTGCCTTGGTCTGAAAACGGTTAATAAATAATAGTAAGTAGTGTAGAAATCATAATTGCGCAATGTCATCAAATTAATTTCGAATCGATCATGTTGAAACAAATCTTAGGTAAGTAAGTCATTTAAAAGTTGTAATTCTGCATACGAACTTTAATTATATTTGAATACGACCCTGCTTAGTCAACCATTTAAGCCACGCCCAGTGGGGTCATTTTTAATAAAACGTATCATATGCAAAACAATTGCCTCATGGCATCTCCATTAGTATTATACCTCCATGCATCCATAGTACAACATGGCTACCACTTCCGTCAGATCCATTATTAGATTAACGCGGACATGGCATGCTCCTTCCTGACTATATATGTTCTGAGGGTTATATAGAAAATTTAGGACTGATTCCACCGTTGTGTTAAACGAAGTTTAAAATGACAATTTTACATTAAAATGACATTGTTAATGTAAAAATATCATTTTAAACTTCGCTTAACATAACGGTAGAATCGGTACTTACTCATTCAACTTATCCAAATTCAACATTTAACTAACCCGACTCGTGTAAACGTCCCTTTAGTTTCGCCGCAACATCTTGAATATCGGAACACAGCTTTCATCTGTCGATTGACATTACTTCCTGCCAACTGTCAACTTTGTCACATAACAATTTTTTAGGTTATGATGAAAATTTTAAAGAAAAATAAATAACAGAAATGGAAAACACCGTTTTAAGTAATCAAAAATTAAAGAAAATAGAAAAGAAATTGAAAAAACTGCAACATATTATTCTGAAAGAAGTAGGAATTGAATGTTCTATCGATAAAACAAGTAAGGTATGTCTGTATTTATCTCCATTAGTTTTTTTACTATAAAATCGAATTTTTCAATAATTAATTGTAGATATTGGTAATAGCTAACGCTGGTTTAATAAACGGTTTAACAGAAGAAGTCGTATACACCCATTTTTCAAAGTACGGTGTACTAGATAACATCCTGTTAGTACCAGGAAAATCTTGTAGTTTCATTGAATATAACGACGTTTCTTCCGCTAAATCAGCCTACGAAAATTTCAACGGATCACTAAATATCGCGCAAGACTCGAAACCAATATATCTATTATATGCTAATAATTTACCAGTGATTAAAATTAATAAATCTTGGAATGAATTGATACCAGGTTTAATAATTATAGAAAATTTTATTACGCAAGAAGAGGAAGAAGTTTTATTAAAATTATGCAATTTCGATTCGAATACTAATAGTATGAAGCATAGAGAAGTAAAACATTTTGGTTATGAGTTCAGATATGATATAAATAATGTTGATAAAGATAAACCTCTATTAAATAAAATTCCTGATGAATGTGATTTTTGGAAACGGTTGGAGGATACAGATTTTAATAGTTTCAAACCAGATCAATTAACTGTGAATCATTATTTACCAGGACAGGGTATTCCACATCATGTTGATACACACAGTGCTTTCGAAGATCCAATTATGTCTCTATCTTTACAAAGTTCAATAATAATGGAATTTAAAAAAGATAATAAACATGTTTATATCCTCTTACCTAAAAGATCTTTAGCTATAATGTCAGGGGAATGTCGATATGATTGGACTCATGGAATAACTCCAAGAAAATTAGACATTATTCTCACTAAAAATGGTTTTACTTCACTAGAAAGAGGTACAAGAACTTCATTTACTTTTAGAAAAGTCTTGCAAGGCCAATGTTTTTGTAATTACAAATCAAAATGTGATTCTTTTAATAAAGAAATGGAGAAAACTAGAATAGGAAATGATGATGCATCGAATTTAGAAAATGAACACGTTCATAAAGTTTATGAAAGCATTGCTGGCCATTTTGATGATACCAGGCATAAATGTTGGCCTAATGTTGTTAATTTTCTTGAGTCTTTTGATACTGGGTCCATTTTGGTTGATGTTGGATGCGGGAATGGAAAGTATTTAGGAATAAATAAAAATATTTTTGATGTAAGTATAAATGTATGTAATGAATAAAAAAAATGCTTAACTAAATTACCCAACCTGTATTCATGCCACTAATAAATCCTGAAAAAATATACATATACAGGGTGAGCCACCGGTAATGCAAAGGTCACAGCAAGATGTATATCAGTAAAGACAACAGTTTAAAAGTTATTTGAATTATACAGGGTTCTCCAAGAAAGTGGTACATATCAAAGTTAGGTTCTTTAAATGGGACACCCTGCATTTTATTTTATATTTGAATCGCCCGCGCTTTTCCCTTTTTAACAATAACAAATACTATGAGATTATCTCGGATATTATACAGTTTATTTTATACGCTACAACTAGTTTTATATATGAAAATCGTATTGATTTCAATGATCTGTATAATAGTGCAAAAAAAAACCATTGAAAACCAATTTTTTTGAGGACAAATGATTCAGTGCCTTAGTGTCATTCAAAAACAAGATAAATCATTACGTAGCAAGACCTCCAAATAGGTTTTTTAGGTCTTTAAAAATGCGCAATTCCGCGGATATACCTTACGTTATCAAAATGACAAAAACCAATATTTAGCACGAAAATCCAGGTATAATTTTTAGTATGAATGATTCAATACATTATTATAATTCAAAACAATAATAAATCATTACATAGCAAGATCTCTAAATACGTTTTTTAGGTCTTTAAAATGGCGTGATTCCGCGATTAAACCTTACATTATCAAAATGACAAAAACCAATATTTAGCACGAAAATTCAGGTATAATTCTTAGGACAAATGATTCAGTGCCTTAGTGTCATTCAAAAACAAGATAAATCATTACGTAGCAAGACTACCTAATACGTTATTTAGCTCTTTAAAATTGCTCGATTCCGCGATTAAACCTTTTTTTTTTTTTATGGCTGTTGGAAACGATTAAACCTTACGTTATCAAAATGACAAAAAAACCAATATTTAGCACGAAAATACAGGTATAATTTTTAGGGCAAATGATTCAGTGCCTTAGTTTCATTCAAAAACAAGATAAATCATTACATAACAAGACCTCCAAATACGTTTTTTAGGTCTTTAAAATGGCGCGATTCCGCGGATATACCTTACGTTATCAAAATGACAAAAACCAATATTTAGCACGAAAATACAGGTATAATTTTTAGGGCAAATGATTCAGTGCCTTAGTTTCATTCAAAAAGAAGATAAATCATTACATAACAAGACCTCCAAATACGTTTTTTAGGTCTTTAAAATGGCGCGATTCCGCGGATATACCTTACGTAATCAAAATGACAAAAACCAATATTTAGCACAAAAATTCAGGAATTATTTTTAAGGCAAATGATTCAGTGCCTTAGTGTCATTCCAAAATAAGATAAATCATTACGTAGCAAGACCTCCAAATAGGTTTTTTGGGTCTTTAAAAATGCGCGATTCCGCGGTCAATCCTTACTTTATCAAAATGACAAAAACCAATATTTAGCACGAAAATACAGGTATAATTTTTAGGGCAAATGATTCAGTGCCTTAGTTTCATTCAAAAAGAAGATAAATCATTACATAACAAGACCTCCAAATACGTTTTTTAGGTCTTTAAAATGGCGCGATTCCGCGGATATACCTCACGTAATCAAAATGACAAAAACCAATATTTAGCACAAAAATTCAGGAATTATTTTTAAGGCAAATGATTCAGTGCCTTAGTGTCATTCAAAAACAAGATAAATCATTACGTAGCAAGACCTTCAAATAGGTTTTTTAGGTCTTTAAAAATGCGCGATTCCGCAGTCAATCCTTACTTTATCAAAATGACAAAAACCAATATTTAGCACGAAAATACAGGTATAATTTTTAGGGCAAATGATTCAGTGCCTTAGTTTCATTCAAAAACAAGATAAATCATTACATAACAAGACCTCCAAATACGTTTTTTAGGTCTTTAAAAATGCGCGATCCCGCGGATATACCTTACGTTATCAAAATGACAAAAACCAATATTTAGCACAAAAATTTAGGAATTATTTTTAAGGCAAATGATTCAGTGCCTTAGTGTCATTCAAAAACAAGATAAATCATTACGTAGCAAGACCTTCAAATAGGTTTTTTAGGTCTTTAAAAATGCGCGATTCCGCGGATATACCTTACGTTATCAAAATGACAAAAACCAATATTTAGCACAAAAATTCAGGAATTATTTTTAAGGCAAATGATTCAGTGCCTTAGTGTCATTACAAAATAAGATAAATCATTACGTAGCAAGACCTCCAAATAGGTTTTTTGAGTCTTTAAAAATGCGCGATTCCGCGGTCAATCCTTACTTTATCAAAATGACAAAAACCAATATTTAGCACGAAAATACAGGTATAATTTTTAGGGCAAATGATTCAGTGCCTTAGTTTCATTCAAAAACAAGATAAATCATTACATAACAAGACCTCCAAATACGTTTTTTAGGTCTTTAAAAATGCGCGATTCCGCGGATATACCTTACGTTATCAAAATGACAAAAACCAATATTTAGCACAAAAATTCAGGAATTATTTTTAAGGCAAATGATTCAGTGCCTTAGTGTCATTCAAAAACAAGATAAATCATTACGTAGCAAGACCTTCAAATAGGTTTTTTAGGTCTTTAAAAATGCGCGATTCCGCGGTCAATCCTTACTTTATCAAAATGACAAAAACCAATATTTAGCACGAAAATACAGGTATAATTTTCAGGGCAAATGATTCAGTGCCTTAGTTTCATTCAAAAACAAGATAAATCATTACATAACAAGACCTCCAAATACGTTTTTTAGGTCTTTAAAAATGCGCGATTCCGCGGATATACCTTACGTTATCAAAATGACAAAAACCAATATTTAGCACAAAAATTCAGGAATTATTTTTAAGGCAAATGATTCAGTGCCTTAGTGTCATTCAAAAACAAGATAAATCATTACGTAGCAAGACCTTCAAATAGGTTTTTTAGGTCTTTAAAAATGCGCGATTCCGCGGTCAATCCTTACTTTATCAAAATGACAAAAACCAATATTTAGCACGAAAATACAGGTATAATTTTTAGGGCAAATGATTCAGTGCCTTAGTTTCATTCAAAAACAAGATAAATCATTACATAACAAGACCTCCAAATACGTTTTTTAGGTCTTTAAAAATGCGAGATTTCGCGGATATACCTTACGTTATCAAAATGACAAAAAACAATATTTAGCACGAAAATTCAGGTATAATTCTTAGGGCAAATGATTCAGTGCCTTAGTTTCATTCAAAAACAAGATAAATCATTACATAACAAGACCTCCAAATACGTTTTTTAGGTCTTTAAAAATGCGCGATTCCGCGATTAAACCTTACATTATCAAAATGACAAAAAACAATATTTAGCACGAAAATTCAGGTATAATTTTTAGGGCAAATGATTCAGTGCCTTAGTTTCATTCAAAAACAAGATAAATCATTACATAACAAGACCTCCAAATACGTTTTTTAGGTCTTTAAAATGGCGCGATTCCGCGGATATACCTTACGTTATCAAAATGACAAAAACCAATATTTAGCACAAAAATTCAGGAATTATTTTTAAGGCAAATGATTCAGTGCCTTAGTGTCATTCGAAAACAAGATAAATCATTACATAGCAAGACCTCCAAATACGGTTTTTAGGTCTTTAAAAATGCGCAATTCCGCGGATATACCTTACGTTATCAAAATGAGAAAAACCAATATTTAGCACGAAAATCCAGGTATAATTTTTAGTATGAATGATTCAATACTTTATTATAATTCAAAACAATAATAAATCATTACATAGCAAGATCTCTAAATACGTTTTTTAGGTCTTTAAAATGGCGCGATTCCGCGATTAAACCTTACATTATCAAAATGACAAAAACCAATATTTAGCACGAAAATTCAGGTATAATTCTTAGGACAAATGATTCAGTGCCTTAGTGTCATTCAAAAACAAGATAAATCATTACATAGCAAGACTACCTAATACGTTTTTTAGCTCTTTAAAATTGCTCGATTCCGCGATAAAACCTTACGTTATCAAAATGACAAAAACCAATACCTATTTAGCACGAAAATTCAGGTATAATTTTTAGTATGAATGATTCAGTGCCTTAGTGTCATTCAAAAACAAGATAAATCATTACATAACAAGACCTCCAAATACGTTTTTTAGGTCTTTAAAAATGCGAGATTTCGCGGATATACCTTACGTTATCAAAATGACAAAAACCAATATTTAGCACGAAAATTCAGGTATAATTCTTAGGACAAATGATTCAGTGCCTTAGTGTCATTCAAAAACAAGATAAATCATTACATAGCAAGACTACCTAATACGTTTTTTAGCTCTTTAAAATTGCTCGATTCCGCGATTAAACCTTACATTATCAAAATGACAAAAACCAATATTTAGCACGAAAATTCAGGTATAATTCTTAGGACAAATGATTCAGTGCCTTTGTGTCATTCAAAAACAAGATAAATCATTACATAGCAAGACTACCTAATACGTTTTTTAGCTCTTTAAAATTGCTCGATTCCGCGATAAAACCTTACGTTATTAAAATGACAAAAACCAATATTTAGCACGAAAATTCAGGTATAATTTTTAGTATGAATGATTCAGTGCCTTAGTGTCATTCGAAAACAAGATAAATCATTACATAACAAGACCTCCAAATACGTTTTTTAGGTCTTTAAAAATGCGAGATTTCGCGGATATACCTTACGTTATCAAAATGACAAAAACCAATATTTAGCACGAAAATTCAGGTATAATTCTTAGGACAAATGATTCAGTGCCTTAGTGTCATTCAAAAACAAGATAAATCATTACATAGCAAGACTACCTAATACGTTTTTTAGCTCTTTAAAATTGCTCGATTCCGCGATTAAACCTTACATTATCAAAATGACAAAAACCAATATTTAGCACGAAAATTCAGGTATAATTCTTAGGACAAATGATTCAGTGCCTTAGTGTCATTCAAAAACAAGATAAATCATTACATAGCAAGACTACCTAATACGTTTTTTAGCTCTTTAAAATTGCTCGATTCCGCGATAAAACCTTACGTTATCAAAATGACAAAAACCAATATTTAGCACGAAAATTCAGGTATAATTTTTAGTATGAATGATTCAGTGCCTTAGTGTCATTCAAAAACAAGATAAATCATTACATAACAAGACCTCCAAATACGTTTTTTAGGTCTTTAAAAATGCGCGATTCCGCGGATATACCTTACGTTATCAAAATGACAAAAACCAATATTTAGCACGAAAATCCAGGTATAATTTTTAGTATGAATGATTCAATACATTATTATAATTCAAAAGAATAATAAATCATTACATCGCAAGACCTCCAAATACGTTTTTTATGTCTAAAAATGCGAGATTTCGCGGATATACCTTACGTTATCAAAATGACAAAAACCAATTACTTACCTACTTAAAATCTTTATTTTTCAAATATATTTACAATTCACATCTACATTGCATATAATATTTTCACAAGGGTCTTCCTTCTGAAAGTCACCTGGATGTAAACCAGGGACAATGGCTGATGTTATGCCTCTACATGCTCCACGATGTTTGTCAGTTGACAGTTAAGTTGACTCCTTACCTTTTAAGGCATTATTCAGCTGTTTTGGCTGTTTTACTAAAAAAGCGGTAATTGAATTGCTGTAATGTTCTGTCTGAATTTAATTGTCGTTTGTTGTTCTCTGGAAAAGTATACCAAAAAACCAGAGTTGTCCTTAATAGGTCTTTTCCTTTGCATTGAAAGTGTAGCACTGAGCTACGTCACTTCTGAAAATATCGTTCCATCCATACAATTTGTATATATGGAACGATATTTTCAGAATTGGTGTAGCCCAGTGCTACACTTTCGATGCAAAGGAAAAGACCTATTTTGTCTTTGTCTACGTCCGTAGTGTTTTTGACTAGTTAGAACCCTCGCGACAAAGGATTCATCACGATTGGTCGCTGCCGACTCGCAGATCCAGCCAATGCTGGATCTCCAAGCCGTCGGACGGCCCACCGTTCAGTCTCCGCCGACCAAGTCTTGTAAATTAAATCGGTTCGCGAGGGGACTTTTAGTAATGGTTCGGTGTTAGGATGATGTACGTCGTTTTATTTCAGTTATGGTTGTCTGTAAATGTCTAGGTTTTCGTCTAACCAAACATGCCTCCTATTAATGTTGTTTAGAATGTTATAATTTAATATGTCTTCCTTTACGTCTCTAGGTAGACAGTGTTTATAAAAACGATTAGCGTTATCGATAATAAAGGTTTTAATAGTAGGCATGTTTGATTGTTCATGTAAGTCAACGATTCGAGTGTATCTGTCGCACCCCAGTGCCAGCCTCAGACACATGTTTTGAAAACGCTGTAATTTTTTGAAATGAGTTTCTGACATTGAACAGAAGACTGGACCTCCGTATGTTAGTATTGGCCTTAAGATCTGTTTATATAGTAACAGCTTGTTACTACGCGTGACTTTACTACCCTTATGTAGCATTGGGTATAGAGTTTTTAGCATGCCGGTTGCCTTAGATATTCTGTCCTTTACGTGTTCAGAGAACGTTAATCCCCTATCTAGATGTATTCCCAAATATTTAATTTTTGCACTACATTCAATGTACTGTCCTTGCACCCTGAGTTTATTATATATCGTTGTTCGATGTTTTTTTGAGATTAACGCGCATTCAGTTTTTTGTGGATTTAAACTCATTTTGTTGTTATCTAGATAAGGGACCAAGGTCCTGTTAATATGGATGTCAAGTCTCCTGTTTGCTATTTCAGCTTGTTCTGAGGTTTTATAAATACAGGTGTCATCAGCGTACAACGCCGTCTGTATACCATTAATTCCCATGGGCATGTCATGGGTCATAATAGTATACAGATGCGGCGAGAGTACCGAACCCTGAGGTACTCCAGCCACCGCTCTGTATTGTCTTGTCGTGGTATTATTGATTCTAATGTGGAATGTCCTGTTGTGTAAGTAAGATTGCACTGTTTTTATAATGTGCACAAACATTTTATTAATCAACCCTCCGGTCCATACGGTATCGAACGCTTTGGGCGTGTCAAGGGCCACCAACACTGTTTGCTTTCGGTCATTTAGGACTTTTTTAGCGTGATGCGCTACCATAATAACTTGAGCAACAGTGCTGTGTCCCGTTCGGAAACCGTATTGTTCCTTTGGGATGATTTGATTGTCCTGTTCTATGTTATGTAGTCTCGTAAGTATTATTTTGTCAATTATTTTGGTTATTCCCGTCAGTAAAGAAATAGGGCGATAGCTTTCTACAAATTTACGATTTTTTCCCGCTTTGTGGATTGGAATGATTCTCGCAATTTTTAACCGGTCTGGATAATATTGTGTTTTTATTATGGCGTTAATTATATAGTATAGATTTACGATGGCCTTTTTGGTAAGATTTTTTAATAAAATAATACTATTGATATCGTCAGGTCCTGGGGCCTTCCTGTTGCGTAATCCCAATATTGCAGTTCTAACTTCTTTAGGAGCCAATATTTAGCACGAAAATTCAGGTATAATTCTTAGGACAAATGATTCAGTGCCTTAGTGTCATTCAAAAACAAGATAAATCATTACGTAGCAAGACCTCCAAATAGGTTTTTTGCACGATTCCGCGGTTAATCCTTACTTTATCAAAATGACAAAAACCAATATTTAGAACAAAAATCCAGGTATAATTTTTAGTAAGAATGATTCAATACATTATTATACTGATGTACTACTTGTTTCAGTTAAAAACAAATCTATACAAGGTGATTCAAAACTCAAATACATCATTTATTATTATTTTTTTTAAATTGGCCTGTATCATCATTTAAAAGTATCTTAATTAAAGTTTCATTTGTGTTAAGCATTCCGTATACTTAAAGTTAAATAATTTTGGGAGATTTTTTTTTTATAATTTATTGGCCTACATAGCTATTTGGTAACAACAGGTAAATAATTACAATATTTTACCGCTTAATTTTAGACATTTGTATAAATTTTTTTAACATTACCGAAAGACAGAAGTTTAAACAATATATCAAAAAGTGTAACAGGAACTATAAAATTTTTTGGAATATCTAAACTCTCTAAAAATGTATAATTATTATAAAAATTATTTTGACAATTAAAAAAAATATGCTGTAAATCCTCCCGTTCTCCACACCTACACCTATTTTCTTGAGATGCACCATACTAAATTTAAATGACAAAAAAGAATTCACAAAATACTCTAATTTTAACTGGTTACTGGTTAATAGGAAATAGACTTCTAATAATTGGAATTAAACCAGCTATAATTCATTTTATTTTACATTCAATAAACAAAAAATAAAAATAGCAACCGAAAACTTCACATAATACCTCTACTCTATTCTAAGTTTATTAAGTGTTATTTTGTGAGATTTTATTAAATTAGAAAAATTTATCTAAGTAGCACCTTACTATAACTAAACGATGATAAAGGTTGGGTAATTTATAATGAATAACCATGTACGTTTATTTTTTCTTTTAGATAGGCTGTGATACGAGTTTTAACTTACTCGAAATTTGCAATAAAAGAGGATTAGAAACGTTTATTGCAAATTGTTTAAATTTACCAATTAAAGATAATTCTGTTGACGGTGTAATAAGCATTGCTGTTATTCATCATCTGGCAAACGAGGTATTATTTAATATATTTTTTAAAATTAAATATGTATCACACCAAACCATTATAAATTTACATACATAAGAAGCGAATCATTATTTAGAGTCAAAGTTCGATTTATTATCAAACTAAGAAATTTAATAATATAAATGAAATATAATTATAATGATTTAATAGAAATATTTTTGTCTTTATTTCCATTAAATTATTAAAGATAATTGCTAATTATAGATTATAATTATTCTGAGAAGTATAGAAATATAACCAAAATATCTATTGCAATTTGAAATTAATCGAAAAATAAAATATATACAAGGTGTTTTCAAACTAAAGTAAAATATTTGCACAGGAGAATAATATTTTCAAATTTTATGTCAAATATGAAAATGTACTGTTGTTAATACAGTGTGTGCAAAAATTAACATAATTTGCTAATATTTAGATTTTTGATAGATCTACAAAAAAAGTTTTGGATAAAAGTATTATGAAATAAATTAGGTTATCAGTAATAAATTAGTCAATTAAAAATCTACTGGGTGCACCATAATGTTTACGAAAAAAAGTTTTGGATAAAAATTTTATAAATTAAATTAAGTTATCAATAATAAATTAGTCAATTGAAAACATACCGGGTTCACCATTATGTCTACAAAAAAATTTTGAATAAAAGTTTTATGAAATAAATCAAGTTCTTATTACAAGTCAATTAAAAATATACCGGGTGCACCATTATGTTCATAAAAAAAGTTTTATGAAATAAATCAGATATCAGTATAAGTTAATTAAAAATATACCGGGTCCACCATTAGGCCTAAAAAATATGGATAAAAGTTTTATGAAATCAAATTTTCAGTATAAATCAATTAAAAATATACCGGGTGCACCATTAGATTTATAAAAAAAGTTTTGGTGAAAGTTTTATGTCATAAATCAAGTTATGAGTATTAAATTAGTCAATTAAAAATATACAGGGTGCAACATTATGTATATAAAAAAAGTTTGTATACGTTTTATGAAATAAATCAAGATATCAGTATGTCAATTAAAATACCGGGTGCACCATTAGGTCTACAAAAAAAGTTGTAGATAAAAGTTTGATGGACTAAATCAAGTTTTTAGTAAAAATCAATTAAAAACATACCATTAGATTTGTAAAAAAAGTTATCAGTATAAGTCAATTAAAAACATACTGGGTGCACCATTAGGTCTACATAATTTTTTTTTTATGAAATAAGTCAAGTAATCGGTATAAGTCAATTAAAAACATACTGGGTGCATCATTAGGTCTACATAAAAAAGTTTTATGAAATAAATGAAGATATCAGTATAAGTCAATTAAAAACATACTGGGTATACTATTAGGTTTACAAAAAAAGTTGTGGATACAAGTTTTATGATTATGAAATAAATCAAGTTCAGTATTAAATTAGTCAATTAAAAATATACTGGGTGCACCATTATGTTTAAAAAAAAAGTTTTATGAAATAAATCAGATATCAGTATAAGTCAATTAAAATATACCGGGTGCACCATCATGTATATAAAAAAAGTTTTATGAAATAAATCAAGATATCAATATAAGTCAATTAAAATACCGGGTGCACCATTAGTTCTATAAAAAAGTTATAAATAAAAATTTGATGAACTAAATCAAGTTTTTAGTAGAAATCAATTAAAAATATACCGGGTGTACTATTAGATTTGTAACAAAAGTTTTGGATAAAAGTTTTATAAATTAAATTAAGTTATCAATAATAAATTAGTCAGTTGAAAACATATTAGTTTTATAATAGTTTTATAATAGTTTTATAATAATTTTATAATAGTTTGATAATTATCTTATCATAGTTTTATAAGTTTTATGATAGTTTCACAATAATTGTATATTAGTTTTATAACTTTATCTTCTTCCATTTAGAAGTGAAGAGGGAAGAGGCACAATTTACGTCCTCACTTATAAAATATAGTTAAAAAAAACTCTTTAAATTTTAGGATAGGCGAATTGCTGCAATCCAAGAAATAACCCGCATTTTAAAAGTAGGAGGCAGAGCCCTAATATACGTTTGGGCGAAAGACCAACACAAAGACCAACAAAAAACGACATACATAAAACAAGACCGAAAAAATCGTAAAAAAGACGAAACGATAATAAAAAATGGCGGAGAAGAAGAGATACGTGTAATGGATAGAGTCAAACTACCTGTTCACGTCAATAGAACCCAATTTAAACACGACGATTTACTTGTGCCTTGGAAGCTAAAAGGAGAAAATACTAATAATACTTTTCTAAGGTTTTATCACGTCTTTAATGAACATGAATTGGAAGATTTATGTTTGAAGAATAAAAATGTTGAAGTTGTTAACAGTTATTATGATCAAGGTAATTGGTGTGTAATTATAAGAAAAATAAACGAATCGGTTGATTAAAAATGTTGTTTTATTTTATTTTGATCAAATCTAGTCTTTCATAATTTCTAATAAAATTCTAGGGACGCTACATTGGTTGTTTCCACCTTATTCCGGATTCCGAACTTCAAACAATTTCTGTAAAAATATCCGAGCCCTTTAGAGCTTAAGCCTGCCTGTAAAAAAATATGGGCTCATTATTACCCCTTAAGACTGTTAACGTAAAAATATTTAGTCTCTTTATTCTTTAAATCGGCTCATGTAAAAATATTTGGTCCCTTTACCCCTTACGCCTGCCCATGAAATAATATTTGACCTATTTATATCTAACGCCTCTCCATATTAAAATATTTGTTCCCTTTATCCCTTAAACCTGTTTGCTTTATCAATTACACCTGTCCATGTAAAACATATTTGGACTGTTTGCCCCTTAAGGTCGTCGTCTGAATAAATATATTTAGTCCCATTACCTTATTAATTCCGATATCAAATTAAAATACGAGTTCCATTCTGGAGTTCGTTAAAGGTCGTGCAAAAATCGCCTCTTCATATTGTAACGTTTATTCTAATTTATTAACCTAACTAATTTATACTATTTTAATTTATGTTTATCACGTTTACTTATTCACTAATTTATATGAATTTGCTCATAGCGATATCTCAACTGAAACTAACTCACTGCAACACCAAAACAGCCTATTTATATAAAAATTTGGCGAACCCTAATGTCCTCGCATTTACCAGAACTTTCTACGAAAACTTGGAGTTTTGGAGGTTGTTGCATTTTTTAAATATTGGTAATCAGACGAGTAAGAGGCCCAAATAAGGCAAAGAGGGACTCAAAGGATTAGTGGTCGAAAATAGCAAAATATCGAAAATAAACTATTTTATTTTATAGAACTAATCTATAATAGATGAAAATAGTTATTGTGGTGTACCTTAGCAGATAGACAAATGCTACCGCTGATTTTTCTGTAGACCTTTTTAAGACCTACAATTTTCTAGCACATTTTTCTAAAGTATCTCTTAAAATTTGGACAGCGTTAGCCCTGTAAGTCTACGAAAACAGTTTTTTTTTTTTTCGACAAAACGTCATAGTTACCGGTGTGAACTTAGCGAACAATTTTTAGCGACTAATTTTCCGAAAATTGCCGAACTGTCAGTGGCGTCGTAATTATTGTCATGAAATTCCAAAGCCGACCCTGTCTGAAGCAGCTTGGAACCCGTTTCTTGCTCGAAACGACGGAATCTTCTAGGAATGCAGATGACGCACTAGAAACGGCTAGAACGGGGGGATGGACTTCGTGATCATAAAATGCAAAGAACACTTCGTTTAGCCCGTCACAAAACATTGGTCGATGTCTTGTCCGCTGCTCTTGAATATGAAGCGGCTAGCGTATCCACCGGAAGCCAGCGTGGCTTCCGGTGGATACAGTGAAGTAAGGACTGTAAAAGAAGAAGAACAGGGAAATAAATTGGACCAATTGTTTCATATGATAAAAATCTATTGAGAAGCAAACGAAGACTATTAGGTGCTGGAATTGCGGTGAAATGGGAAAAGTAAGCAGTTCGCGCAAACGCCCAAACAAAACTACGAATCGAAAAACCGTGTCGGTGGCTGTACAGGAAGGAATGGTGTTGCCTGAAAGTAGTGAAACCATAAGAGTACGGCGGTTGAAAGAAATGTAGAGAAATCAACGCCTGTCATAACGGAACCTTCGAAGCGCAATGAAGGTGTTGGTCAAGGAACTCTGATTGGAAAGAGGTTGGCCACATCTGCTAAAGAAGTTCCCCATCAAGGGGAGAACGATACCGTTTTAAAGAAGATGCGACAATGGAAAGAGGAAAATCGTCGACCTACTTGGTAAGAAGTATCTATCTAATCTTCCTCCAGTACCTAAGTTGTATTTGGCTCAGTGGAAGATGGCTTATTAAAGCGAGTACTTGAACATGATGATGGTTCCGAAAACAGAAGGCAGTTGGTCATTCCAAGGAGTAGAGTAGCCGAAGTACTTCGTCAGTTACACGACAGTCCATCAGGAGGACATCTCGGTGTTAAGAAAACCCTTCAGAGAGTTCGGGAAAGGTTTTATTGGATGAACAGTTCCGATGATGTAAATGACTGGTGTAAGAAACGTACCAGCTGTGCTATGAGTAATGGACCTCGGCGAAAAAGGAAGGCTCCCATGAAGCAAGATAACGTTGGTAGCCCAATTGAGAGGATCGCCTTAGATATTGCTGGACCATTCCCCGCGACCGAGGATGGTAATAAATACATGATGGTGGTTATGGATTATTTCACGAAGTGGGTGGAAGTCTACGCCATTCCAAATCAAGACCCAGATAGCACAAAGTCGTCTTAAAGACGTCTTTAAGACGTCTAGCATAAGACATTCGAGACGTCTTTAAGACGTCTTAGAAGACGTCTGATGTTACAAAAAGCGACGTCTTTAAGACGTCTTATTAATGGCTTATATTGGTCTGTAGAGCTTAAAATAAGCCATAAATAAGACGTCTTTAAGACGACTTATTAATAGCTTATAATGGTCTTGTAAAGCCTTAAATAAGCCATAAATAAGATGTCTTTAAGACGTCTTATTAATGGCTTATAATGGTCTTGTGAAGCTTTAAATAAGCCATAAATAAGACGTCTTTAAGACGACTTATAATGGTCTTGTGAAGCCTTAAATAAGACGTCTTATTAATGGCTTATAATGGTATTGTGAAGCTTTAAATAAGCCATAAATAAGACGACTTATTAATAGCTTATAATGGTCTTGTGAAGCCATAAATAAGACGTCTTTAAGATGTCTTATGAACGTAGGACGTCGGATATCTTGGTTATTAAAAAGTAGAACAACCTTGCAGATTATAAAATAATGCAAAAAATAGAATTAAAATATTTATTGATAAAACATCTATTAATCACAGGTCACTAAGAGTTATTTTCTTTGTAGTGCATTCGATTACTCCTCTTTAGCCATAACTGGATTGATTTTTCTCTTTGATTTGTAGTTGCCTTTTTATAGCTCCTAAAAAGAAATTTAGTTAAGAGCATCTAGTCACAGAAAATTATACTTTGCAAAAGTTAGTAAAAACCGACAGAACAGTTATCTATAAAGCAAAACAAAAAATTTATTTCTTAGAATTTTAAATCAAAGAATTTTTATAATCATTTAATGCAATATGAGCTATTATGCTTAATCGCCTACTTTAACAATTTTACTTTAACTTCACTCAAAATGGCTATCTAATAGGGAGTTTTTGATATTATTAGTTCTTAAAATCTTCATAAAAACAAACAAAAATGATGCTTGACGAATATCTGAATTAAATCTCATATTAATTAATTAATTTAATTATTCTTAGAAGAAACAGGATATTAATGTTCTATGTATATAAACATATTCATTTATTACCTGTATTCCAGGAACGTGCTACATCGGTAACACAAACTATTCTTCCCTCTCTGGTTTTTGTTCCATATTATTTAAGTAGAAAGAGACACAAATGCTCAAAATAGCCCAAAGTCGCTTTTGGTGGCTATAATCGTGTACGCAATAAAATAATCAATAATCCACAATGAGCTTGGGCCATACAAATTTTTGTCTTGGGCTTGAATGTATTTCTTCTTTTCTTCGTTTTATATGGGCTTAATCTTTTCACTTTTCCACTGCACTTGATATTTGATTTCAATTATCTTCTCCAAATATTACACTGAATATTTTGTTTAATTTTGTATACTTTTTAAATTCGGATGGTCACTTTTATACTAGATATTTTGTGATTTTTATGGGATTGCTTGGCTCCCGATTCGGAGAACGCCATTTCAATATTGCCACGATGGTGTCCGAATCGGAAGTCCAGCTTGAATATAATGTTAAATCAAACGTCAAACTTCACTTCATTTGATTCTTCTTGTTAAATTTGAATTATGTAAACCGTGCAAGTTTCCGTCCGACTGAAAGACGTTTGTAAGACGTCTTAAAGACGTCTTTGAGCTTTCACATTAATATATGGATTTGGCAAGACGTCTTTAAGACGTCTTAAGAACGTCTTTGAGCTCTCACATTAATACGTCTGAATTATGGCTTTTGAAAGACGTCTTATCAGACGTCTTAATAACGTCCTAGGACATTGAGACCAAACCAAGACACAAAAAAGACGTCTTTCAGACGTCGTGTGCTATCTGGGGAGGCCATAACTGCTGCAGATGTGTTGATTAAAGAGTTTATCTGTCGATTTGGAGTGCCCTTGGAAATTCACAGTGACCAAGGCAGACAATTTGAAAGCCAACTCTTTCGTGGAATCTATGACAGACTAGACATGAAGAAAACCAGAACCACAGCATTGCACCCACAATCCGATGGAATGGTACAACGAATGAATAAGACCATTGGCATATATCTATCAAAAGTAGTTACAAACCATCAGCGAGATTGGGATCAGTATCTTTCGCTCTTTTCAATGGCTTATAGATCTGCTGTCAATGAATCAACAGGCCAAATACCAGCAAAGGTCCTGTTTGGGCGTGAGATGAGACTACTGAACGACCTTGAATTTGGATGCCGACCAGTTTGTTTGAAAACAAAGTTATAGGGTCAAATTCGTTTAGAATCACTGCCGATGCAGACCTTTAAACCAGAAACATGGCCCAAAGGAATAGAAATTAGCAAGTATATTTTTCGTAGAAGGAGCAGCTTTAATAAATATTCTAAGTTTAACAGACTCTCCTCGAAGGAACCAACAATGGGAATGCCATTGTGGAAGAAAACGAAGTAATTAATACCGATGTGCCTTTTTGTACTTTGTCATTTAAATGTTCACAGTTTGTCAGCAAAAATTAATCTGTTGGATGCCTTTACCGAACATTGGGCGTCCGATGATAAACTCAACGTACTCAGTTTAATGGACTACAAGTTAATTTCTGGTTACTCAAGATGTTCTTAACCAGGTGGGGGTGTAGCAATTTTTGTAAAACACAATCTTCGCAATACATGTGTAAAAATAAATTATTGAACACACCTAAACTCAGAAAAAAATGGAGTCACTTTAAAAGACTTTTGTTGTATTTTAACTCTTTACAGGTCACCAGATGGAGATGCAGTTTTGTTTTAATGCTAAATTGTGTTACTATAAAATATAAACAGATTATTATCTGTGGTGATATAAATATTGATGGGGGGGTTCTGATCCCAAACCTCCCCATTTTTATGCTTGTTGAAATTTTATATTTCTCTTCTTACACACCAGTGTGGTTAATCGTTTTTCTTACAAACAAGCATCAATGATTTCTGTTCTTACACATTAGTGTTATTAATCCTTGTTCTTACAAGCTACCCTCAATGATTTATGTTCTTACAAGCTAGTATCAATAATTTTTGTTCTTACAAACTAGTGGTTAATATTCTTACGAGCTAGCATCAAAATGTTCTCTGTTTTTACAAAATAATATCAATTTCTTATAATGAATCGAATATTAAATCAGTTCTTTCTTACAGCAACTAGAATTTTATGCTTGGTGGAATTTTATAATTCTCTTTTTACAAACTAGTGTGGTAAATTCTTTTTCTTACAAACTAGCGTCAATGATTTATGTTCTTACAAATTAGTGTTGTTAGTTCTTGTTCTTACACACTGGAATCAATTATTTGTGTTCTTACAAACTAATGTAATATTCTTACATCATTGATTTCTGTTTTTACAAACTAATATTGTAATATACTCGTCACTAAGGACAGAATAATTCTTGGTGAAATTTTATAGTTCTCTTCTTACAAACTAGTGCAGGTAATTCTTTTTACAAACTAGCATCGACGATTTCCGTTCTTACAAAACTAGTGTTGTTAATTATTGCTCTTACAAGCTGGTATCAATTATTTGTGTTCTTTCAAACTAGTGGTTAATGTCAATTTTTTATAATGAATCAAATATTAAATCAAACACCACCGTCATATTTCTTATATTATAGGTATATTCTTAGATCCACCCCTGGTTACTTATTATTTACCACCCTGCTGTGTTATGTACCTGCCCCAATAGGTCTGATTCACCCTCTACTTAGGTAAAGAATTCTGAGGTTAACATTTCGTTAAAAATTCAGTGAAACTACATACATCCGATAAGATATTACTCACTTATTTATTTTGATATTAAAAATAGTAAATTGTTTATATTTAATTTCAATGACTAACCGAAAAAATTGATTATAAACTATTCAATTCCGCGTAATGAAGATAAACAGATCGGCATTATCAATATCTTATTTATACCAAAAGTTATTGTTAACACATCCAGTCGAGGTTAAGATGTTTGTTATACCGTTGTTAATTTTCAGTTTTAGCCTTAATTTTCCATCAATAGTAACCGCGGGTTATTCGTATTCGACCTGTAATTCTTTTGAAAAATATATTTTACGGAAAAGTTGTAATAAAAAATATTTGGTTCCTCAATCGGAAGTAGAAAACAGGGGCGGAGTGGCGAGTTGTAATTATTTCGAGAAATACATTTTGCGTAAAAGCGAATGTTTTGATTCAGATGAAAACGGAAAAGAAGATGGACAGTATTATAGCAAATGTAACAGTTTAGAAAAACGTTTATTAAGTAAAGAATTTTGTAAATATAATCCTGATGAAGTGCTTGATGTGGTAAGTAAAACTTTTTTTTAATTTATAATAGATCTATTGGCGAAGAAAATATTACAAAAAGATGTTTTATTAATAAATTAACCAAATTATTTAATAATAACTGATAAATAAAAAACAAACTATATTTTTTTACATACCTATAAACATAAATAAAAAGACACTCTTAATTTTGTTAAGGAACTCCCAATCTAAAGTTTTGCTGTCAAAATAACAGTTTCTTTGAGAATTAAATATTAGTTCAGAACCGCAGCCAGAGGGGGACATATAGGTGCAATGCCCTACTTTAAAAATAGCCAGTGCCATTACGCCATCTCTTTTTATTTACCTGTGCACATTGTTGCTCTGTAATCTTTTACTTATTATGAATTATGTAACTAATAACTAGGTATTATCTAAATTATTTGACAGGACAAGAAAATGTCCTTTATATAACATTGTGAGAATAACATAAACGTTGTGATATTAACATCAAAATTGTAAGTTTAACATCGTAAGATCAACGTTGTGACATTAACATATAGAAAAAATTGTGAGATTTAAGACATTTCCGTTTCTATTTGTGTTACATCCTTTCACACAACTCTTCCTCACTGTTAACTTCTGTAGCGTATACCATATCTTTTATACAACCCCAAAATTAATAATCTGATGAGTTTAAATCCGGAGATCGAGGTGGCCACGGTGTGGGACCACATTTTCCTATCTATCTACGCAGAAATTTTTCATTCGGCCAATTTCTCATATTAACGCCATAAATAGGCGGGAGCTACGTCATGCTGAAAGTGCAGCTGATGTCGAATATTTAAAAGGAGATTATCCAGAATGAGTTCAAGGTTTGTAAAACATTTAGATACTCAATTGCATTTAACCGTGCAGGAATTTCAATCTGTCATTAATAATTGCCACCCACATATAAAAACAAAATCTACAACTACGTCACATTTGAAAATGGATGATTTCACATGATTCTTATAATTTTATAAGGATTTTCTTATAGTTTCTAAATAAAAAAAAAAAAATTAAACTAGTAGTAAATAAATAATAAAAACAAAACAAAAAAATACTGTCAGGTGTGGGGTTCGAACCCACGCTCACTCTCGTGAACCAGAGCTTAAATCTGGCGCCTTAGACCGCTCGGCCAACCTGACTTATGAAAAAATTTATCTAAATAATTTATTTTAGTAAAATGTATTTCACAATATTGCATCACCTGACGCAATATATTTAAACCAATTAGTCAATAATTTTATTAATATAAACCAGTTCGTTCGTACAGAAACTAGAATTTTATGCTTGTTGAAATTTTATATTTCTCTTCTTACACACCAGTGTGGTTAATCGTTTTTCTTACAAACAAGCATCAATGATTTCTGTTCTTACACATAAGTGTTATTAATCCTTGCTCTTACAAGCTACCCTCAATGATTTATGTTCTTACAAGCTAGTATCAATAATTTTTGTTCTTACAAACTAGTGGTTAATATTCTTACGAGCTAGCATCAAAATGTTCTCTGTTTTTACAAAATAATATCAATTTCTTATAATGAATCGAATATTAAATCAGTTCTTTCTTACAGCAACTAGAATTTTATGCTTGGTGGAATTTTATAATTCTCTTTTTACAAACTAGTGTGGTAAATTTTTTTTCTTACAAACTAGCGTCAATGATTTATGTTCTTACAAATTAGTGTTGTTAGTTCTTGTTCTTACACACTGGAATCAATTATTTGTGTTCTTACAAACTAATGTAATATTCTTACATCATTGATTTCTGTTTTTACAAACTAATATTGTAATATACTCGTCACTAAGGACAGAATAATTCTTGGTGAAATTTATAGTTCTCTTCTTACAAACTAGTGCAGGTAATTCTTTTTACAAACTAGCATCGACGATTTCCGTTCTTACAAAACTAGTGTTGTTAATTATTGCTCTTACAAGCTGGTATCAATTATTTGTGTTCTTTCAAACTAGTGGTTAATGTCAATTTTTTATAATGAATCAAATATTAAATCAAAACTTTCTAACAGCAACTAGAATTTTATATTTCTGTTCTTACAAATTAGTGTGGGTAATTCGTGTTCTTGCAAGTTAACTTCAATGATTTCTGTTCTTACCAATTAATATAAATTTCTTGTGATAAATAACTACTCTTTATAATAAAGTTTGCATACAAATAAAAATAAGTAAAATATGCAAATATTAGTGCACCTACATATAAAAAACAAAAAAATACTGTCAGGTGTGGGGTTCGAACCCACGCTCACTCTCGTGAACCAGAGCTTAAATCTGGCGCCTTAGACCGCTCGGCCAACCTGACTTATGAAAACATTTACCTAAATCATTTATTTTAGTAAAATGTATTTCACAATATTGCATCACCTGACGCAATATATTTAAACCAATAAGTCAATAATTTTATTAATATTAAACCAGTTCGTTCGTACAGAAACTAGAATTTTATGCTTGTTGAAATTTTATATTTCTCTTCTTACACACCAGTGTGGTTAATCGTTTTTCTTACAAACAAGCATCAATGATTTCTGTTCCTACACATTAGTGTTATTAATCCTTGTTCTTACAAGCTACCCTCAATGATTTATGTTCTTACAAGCTAGTATCAATAATTTTTGTTCTTACGAACTAGTGGTTAATATTCTTACGAGCTAGCATCAAAATGTTCTCTGTTTTTACAAAATAATATCAATTTCTTATAATGAATCGAATATTAAATCAGTTCTTTCTTACAGCAACTAGAATTTTATGCTTGGTGGAATTTTATAATTCTCTTTTTACAAACTAGTGTGGTAAATTCTTTTTCTTACAAACTAGCGTCAATGATTTATGTTCTTACAAATTAGTGTTGTTAGTTCTTGTTCTTACACACTGGAATCAATTATTTGTGTTCTTACAAACTAATGTAATATTCTTACATCATTGATTTCTGTTTTTACAAACTAATATTGTAATATACTCGTCACTAAGGGCAGAATAATTCTTGGTGAAATTTATAGTTCTCTTCTTACAAACTAGTGCAGGTAATTCTTTTTACAAACTAGCATCGACGATTTCCGTTCTTACAAAACTAGTGTTGTTAATTATTGCTCTTACAAGCTGGTATCAATTATTTGTGTTCTTTCAAACTAGTGGTTAATGTCAATTTTTTATAATGAATCAAATATTAAATCAAAACTTTCTAACAGCAACTAGAATTTTATATTTCTGTTCTTACAAATTAGTGTGGGTAATTCTTGTTCTTACAAGTTAACTTCAATGATTTCTGTTCTTACCAATTAATATAAATTTCTTGTGATAAATAACTACTCTTTATAATAAAGTTTGCATACAAATAAAAATAAGTAAAATATGCAAATATTAGTGCACCTACATATAAAAAACAAAAAAATACTGTCAGGTGTGGGGTTCGAACCCACGCTCACTCTCGTGAACCAGAGCTTAAATCTGGCGCCTTAGACCGCTCGGCCAACCTGACTTATGAAACCATTTACCTAAATCATTTATTTTAGTAAAATGTATTTCACAATATTGCATCACCTGACGCAATATATTTAAACCAATAAGTCAATAATTTTATTAATATAAAACCAGTTCTTTCTTACAGAAACAAGAATTTCATGTTGGTTAGAATTTTTGATTTCTCTTCTTACACACTAGTGTGGATAATTCTTGGTCTTACAAGCTGGCATTTATGATTTCTGTTTATACAAACTAATCTAAAATTCTTGCTTTCCTTTTTATAGATTTTACACAAACAAAATAGTTAAATATGACTGACTTGTAATAAGATCTATCTTAACCTTTTACTTTAACATATATTTCACAATATTACATCAGATGATGCAATATATTTATACTATAAGTCAGCAATTCTATTGATGTTAAATCAATTTTCTCTTACAGAAATTAAAATTTTATTTTTGGTGAAATTTTTATATTTCTCTGCTTACAAACTAGTGTGGTTAAATCTTGCTCTTACAAACTAGCATTAATGATTTCTGTTCTTATACACACTAGTGTTGTTAATTGTTGTTCTTACAAGCTAGCATCGATAATTACTCTTCTTACAAACTAGTGTGGTTAATAATTGTTCTTACAAGCTAGCATCAATAATGTTTGTTCTTACAAACTAGTAGTTAATATTCCTACAAGCTGGCATCAACGTTCTCTGTTTTTACAAAATAATATCAATTTCTTATCATGAATCGAATAATAAATCAGTTCTTTCAACTAGAATTTTATGCTTGGTAGAATTTTATATTCCTCTTCTTACAAACTAGTATGGTTAATTCTTGTTCTTACAAGTTAACTCCAATGATTTCTGTTCTTACAAATTAATCTAAATTATCTAAATTTCTTGTAATAAATAACTACCCTTTTTAATAAGGTTTGTATACAAAAGTAAGTAAAATATGCTAATAGTAATGCACCTACAAATAAATAAAAAACCAAAAAAGTACTGTCAGGTGTGGGGTTCGAACCCACGCTCACTCTCGTGAACCAGAGCTTAAATCTGGCGCCTTAGACCGCTCGGCCAACCTGACTTGTAATAAGATCTACCTTAACGTTATATTTTAACAAAATATATTTTACAATATTGCATCAGATGACGCAATATATTTAAACTAATAAGTCAGCAATTCTATTGATGTTAAATCAATTTTCTCTTGCAAAAATTAAAATGTTATTCTTGATGGAATTTTATATTTCTCTTTTTACAAACTAGTGTAGTTAATTCTTGTTCTTACAAACTAGCGTCAATGATTTATGTTTTTACAAATTAGTGTTGTTAGTTCTTGTTCTTACACACTGGAATCAATTATTTGTGTTCTTACAAACTAGTGTAATATTCTTACATCAATGATTTCTATTTTTACAATCTAGTACTGTAATATCCACGCCACTAGGTCAGGATACAGTGGAAAAAAACACTTTATTTGAAGACGGTTTAATAACAAGATGTGTTTTAGATGCACCGGTATTTGACGTAACGTGGCATGTCAACTGTCACTTGAAACTTAACCCAAGATAACTGTCTAGCTAGACTGAAATGTTAGTAGTCTAGCTAGATCTATTTTACAAAAATCAATTACTTATATTGAATCTTTTTCCTCTAACAAAAAAAAAATAGTAAAATCACAAAAAAAAACAAAAAGCAATGTCAGGTGTGGGGTTCGAACCCACGCTCACTCTCGTGAACCAGAGCTTAAATCTGGCGCCTTAGACCGCTCGGCCAACCTGACTTATACAAACATGTACCTAAATCATTTATTTTAGTAAAATATATTTCACAATATTGCATCACCTGACGCAATATATTTAAACCAATTAGTCAATAATTTTATTAATATTAAACCAGTTCTTTCTTACAGAAACTAGAATTTTTTGCGTGTTGGAATTTTATATTTCACTTCTTACACAGTAGTGTGGTTAATCCCCGTTCTTACAAGCTGGCATTTTTCATGTCTGTTTATACAAACTAATCTAAAATTCTTGCTTTCCTTTTTATAGAATTTACACAAACAAAATAGTTAAATATGACTGACTTGTAATAAGAACTATCTTAACCTTTTACTTTAACATATATTTCACAATATTACATCAGATGATGCAATATATTTATACTATAAGTCAGCAATTCTATTGATGTTAAATCAATTTTCTCTTGCAGAAATTAAAATTTTATTTTTGGCGAAATTTTTATATTTCTCTTCTTACAAACTAGTGTGGTTAAATCTTGTTCTTACAAGCTAGCATTATTGATTTTTGTTCTTACACACTAGTGTTGTTAATTGTTGTTCTTACAAGCTAGCATCAATAATTTCTGTTCTTACACACTGGTGTGGTTAATAATTGTACTTACAAACTAGCATCAATAATTTTTGTTCTTACAAGTGGTTAATATTCTTACGAGCTGGCATTAATGTTTTCTGTTTTTACAGACTAATATCATTTTTTTTATAATGAATCGAATATTAAATCAGTTCTTTCTTATAGCAACTAGAATTTTATGCTTGGTAGAATTTTATATTCCTCTTCTTACAAACTAGTATGGTTAATTCTTGTTCTTACAAGTTAACTCCAATGATTTCTGTTCTTACAAATTAATCTAAATTTCTTGTAATAAATAACTACCCTTTTTAATAAGGTTTGCATACAAAAGTAAGTAAAATATGCTAATAGTAATGCACCTACAAATAAATAAAAAACAAAAAATTACTGTCAGGTGTGGGGTTCGAACCCACGCTCACTCTCGTGAACCAGAGCTTAAATCTGGCGCCTTAGACCGCTCGGCCAACCTGACCTGTAATAAGATCTACCTTAACGTTATATTTTAACAAAACATATTTCACAATATTGCATCAGATGACGCAATATATTATTTAAATTATTAAGTCAGCAAATCTATTGATGCAAAATCAATTTTCTCTTATAGAAATCAAAATTATATTCTTGGTGGAATTTTATATTTCTTTTCTTACAAACTAGTGTGGTTATTTCTTGTTCTTACAAGCTAACGTCAATGATTTCTGTTCTTACAAATTAATAGTAATTTCTTGTAACAAAATTGTAAAATATTGTAATAATAAGATAGAAAATCTGCTAAAAAAACACTAGATTCTTTTTTCACTAGAAAAAACAAAGACAGGACCCTGTTAAGTTATAAAAAAGAAACAATTTTATTTATAATACATTTTATTTGTTAATTTTTCAGCCTCAAATCATTGCTAGACATGGATATTTATCCGAAACACACACAGTCGTGACGGAAGACGGTTATATTTTAAAAATCCATAGAATTCCGAAAAAGAAAAATGGTCCCAGGTCTAGACAACCGGTACTTCTACAGCATGGCATATTAGGAAGCAGTGCAGATTGGATCATCAATGGAAACAATTCGTTAGGTAGGTATATTTTTATTTTTAATCAAGCTGTCTGAAATTTTTCCAAGATTCTGTTGTTAACAGTCAATTGGTGATATCAATCTGGTCACGTGGGATACTGGTGTTGTTGAACACTCAATTTACTGTCAAACAGTCACCAAAATGTCACAATTAGTTTTCAAAGCAAATATATATATGTAATTCAATAAGATAACTAGGTTTTAAATACGGTAGAATAAGGGACAACTTTAGGTATAACTATTTTATTAGTTAGTCCTATCAAATACTTCATTGGCATTGTTTTGGGGTTAATGTGGGAGTTAAAATTTTATTCTCAGTCAATTGGTGATATCAATCTGGTCACGTGGGATATTGGTGTTGTTAAAGACTCAATTTAATGTCAAACAGTCACCAAAATATCACAATTTGCAATGAGTTTTGATCGATTCAAAACATTAAAGTAAATACCTACCAATGTCAATAAGATATCTATGATTTAAATACAGTGGGACACGGGATAAGTTTAGGTATAAATATTTTAAGATTAGAATCCCAGAATCAATGTTTTTACTTCATTCATTTCTGGAATATATTAAGTGTTTTTTTTTGTTTTTTTTTTTTCTGTTTTTTTTACTTATAGTTGTTTGACAATACTGTACTCTTTTAGCATACCTTCTAGCTGATCAAGGTTATGATGTTTGGTTAGGAAATGCAAGAGGAAATGATTATTCAAGAGGACATGTTTCATTACCAATTAACACTGCACAATACTGGAATTTTAGGTGAGGATTATTATTATTATAAATTCTTCTAGATATATAACGATTATTATCTCCGATCAGTTCCACGAAAATGGATTCACAAATTAGATATATAATTCCAACCACTATATCTATATTGTTCCTCTATTTTTTCTAGTTTTCACGAAATGGGAACGAAAGATCTACCAACAGTTCTTTATTATATAAGTAATACAACCAATAGTTTTGGCGATATTATTTACATTGGACATTCAATGGGTACGACCATTTTTTTCGCATTCGCTTCAGAAAATCCAGAAGCTGCTAAGAACGTCAAAATGATGGCTGGAATGGGAGCTGTGGCGTATTTGACGCATATGAAGTCACCGATAAGATATTTAGCGCCGTTTTCTCACGATTTAGAGGTAGTTTTGTCTCATAATACTATAAAAAGAAGGTATGATATTAAGGCGATTGATACTACGTCACGGTGACTTATTGTGGTGCTCAAGTGTGGCTTTTACAAATGTGAGGTAACAGCTGATCGAAAATAGCGCGCGAAAATAAATTTTAATCTACTTTCTACACCACAATACGTCATGCGCAAACTCGACAGAATTTCACCGGCTGAGTATCACACCTTTTTATATCACTTAATAGTGTAATGTTATTTTATAAATCCGAAAATGAATTAAATAATATTTACATACAGGGTGTTAAGTGTTTATTAATTTGAAAATATGAATTTAATAATACGAACCATGGTTTCTTTACAGTCTCTGCTAGTTTCTGTTACGACCACGGTTACAGCTATCGACTGTCTATAAAAATTATTTATTTATTTTTTTAAATTTTCTTTTTATCTAAAGTAAATTGAGTAAAATTGGCTAAAAGTTATTTAATATATATTTGTTTGTAGTGGCTGGAGAAATATTTAGGATTTCATCAATTTCTACCAAATAATAAGATTCTAAGACTCCTGTCGTACCAATGCGAGCTTTTCAATATAGACGCGACAATTTGCGAAAATGTCATATTCTCTATTTGCGGTTTTAACAAGGAAGAATTTAATACTGTAAGTATATGTTCCTTCGCCCTCGATTCATATTCCTTGTTTTAAGTCTACCATTTTCCCGAATTCGACTTTCGATATTAGTAAATTGTCTAAAAAATTAATCTATTTTTAATTGAATTCCTAATTTTCTGTCCATCATAATTTGAATTCATTATTTTTAGGCGATTCTTCCAGTTTTATTAAGCAAAGATCCAGCGGGCGCTTCCACGAAGTCAATCGTACATTACGCCCAAGAAGTTAGAAACGGTGGTGCTTTTCAGCAATTTGATTACGGTACTAAGGGAAATCTTATTAAGTACGGTACTAAATTCCCACCTAAATACAATCTAAGCAACATCAATCCACCCGTATTTCTCATCTATGGAATGAACGATTGGCTGGCAAATTACACAGTAAGTATTGGAAATTTAAGTATACACAATCGTCAGTCTTTAATAATACCTTTAACAGAATTTAATGTGACCCAAAAACAAGAATTTAAAACAAATATTGGGTCTACTTGATGAGACAGCGACACTTTTTTTACAATAAAATTACTTTGTAGTCAAGACTGCGTTTTGCCATTCCTTAACGGACATGCCACATTAAAGATATGGTTAAATTTCTTATTTTTAAATCAAAATACTCACCATTTGAGGTCCCTCATTCCACCTTCACTCTTTATCCCATTTGACGTTCAAAGTATTTGTTTCCACTTTTCACTTCTCCATACTTATCCCTTATTTCCAGTAGATTTCCCGATTCAAACGCGCCCGGACGACATTAAAGATCATTGTATCATATTCAATTCTGTAACAACCCTTCGATACATAATTATATCTACGGGTAAAATATCTGCAGCCTTGTCCATTTGATCATAGAAAATACATCCTAAGACATTATAACATAAATGAACGTTATACATTAAACATCAAAGGACGTACATTCTGTTATTAAACGTCTTGTTAGAAGTGAAATGAACATGACTCAAACCATTGACATCGTGCTACCGATTAACTGTCGAAAAATTTGCGGCGATTAAAATTTGTTTTTAACGGAGATTACTGAAAAGAAAAATAACAAATAAATAGGAAAATGTCAAAATCGAAGGATATTTATGTACCTTAGAGGTAAAGAATCTTATATATTTGAAGAAAATGAAGTTCAAAGTTAGAAAAAACTTTTTACTTCTTTGAAAAATGAAATTTACAAATTACTATATCAAAAACTAGTGTGAAATGATTTTTTTTAGATGCGACTTATTGGAACTACAAGAGCACGTCGCAATTTATTATACAGTGTTACCCAAAAAAATGTATACCCATAAAAAAAGTTTTGTTTTTTCTTGTAAAAATGGTCTACAGTTATTGAATACTTAAAATCAAGACGAAAGTAATAATACTCGATTATGGATTCCCAAGTGATACATAATTTTTTTATCAAGAATAATTGAATAATTGTTTTTCTTTTTAAAAACAAAACTTTTTCTCATGTGTGTCCCAAAAAATTTTATACAAATGAGAAAAAGAGTAAAATATTAATTAAAATGTTGATAGGAATTAAAATATGATTTTGTTTTACTTTATTTATTAAAAAATGTGTGTATTGGACATTTTTTAATTTATAAAAAAAATCATTTTTGATTATGTAGTTCCAAGCGATGCAGAACATTTTATCGAGAATCATTTTTTTTATGAAATGTAAGGGATGCTCCTCGACAAAGCCTTTAAAAATCGACGAAGAAGCCCAGTTGAACATATTGTTGGAAGTTGAAGAAAATCCTGTTACACAAACGTTTTAAAAATTCTTAAAGAAACCAAAAAGCACCCATATAAGATGCAAAACCTGCACGAGCTTAACGAAGATGATCCTGATCGTAGACTCGAATTTTCCGAACGAATTAAGGCTTCTATCGATGGTGGACAAAATGCTTTGGAATGGGTGCTATTTTCTGATGAAGCTACGTTTACATTACATAGGCACGTCAATCAGCAGAACTGCCGTTATTGGGCTAACGAAAATCTCCGTTGGATGCGTGAATGCCATACCCAAAGGCCTTAAAAACAAACGTCTGGGCTGGAATTATTGGGGATCGCATAGTAGGTCCTTTTTTTTTCAATGAAAACGTAACCGGAGAAACATGGGTCCGCGAACGCATCGCCGCCACCTCAATATCGCCATCAATGAACGTTAATGTTTCGAAAAAGCACGCAGCAATCTATAGTCCGAAACTCTTCAAAGTCAAGCACACTCATCCCTACAAAACTGTGAGTACCTCCAGAAACTCCACTAATTCTCTTAACTCGGGGTCATATACCACTTTCAGAAGGCACCAACTCAAAACGGCCGGTAACGGAGAGCCAAGGCTCCGTAAAAGTGCCGAAATCAAATCCAAATTCTGGAAAGTTCGGAGAATTTGATTTGCAAAAGTTTGGACAAAATTAAAAGCGAAAGTATAGAGAAAACTAAACGCGAAAGTTTGGAGAAAGATACCGACACGCAGCCAAAGCAGCCACCGAGCGACGACAACACACACACAGACCCATCGAACGACTTGAACGAGTCTCAAATATCGCAGGACAATAGTATAGACATATACGGTCAGATCCTAACGAACGTTCGGAGAATCTTATTAACTTAACACGCTGGAAGACTAATAGTGATCTCAGCAGCCCAGGAATCGGACATAGATAATCCCGGATACAATTAAAAATAAGTAAAGTAAGTAAAAAAAGTTTGTAGAAAAATTAAAATTCCCAGGAAATCCCCAAATTTGAATCAGCCTACAAAACACTGCCAATGCCCAGTCACGTAAAAGCTACGATTTTCGATTTAGGTCAAAATTAGAATTCATCAGGGGAGGATTCATCCCACCAATATGATGCATCAACACCCCCGCCTCCAGCCCCGACGTTGATACATGTTAACGCAGAGATTCACCAGCTGTTACTATCCCAGAGACCACAATACACGTCGCCAAAATCTCTAATCTCAGAAAGAAAAAGGACTCACGAAATGCCACCCGATAACCTGGATGAAATAAACGTTGCTATGGACACGGATACAAATAATGAGAAATTTCAAACTCCGAAAAAGTTCTCGACAAATTTCGTCAAAGTCCTAAGACAAACCAATTAGCATTATAGTGACAGAAACTTATATCGCCACTTCGATTAAGTGACCATTACATTATAATCACTAAATGTACCCTTATATAGTGAGAATAACTTCATTTTATATTTTCCTAGTTGTAGCCACGTGTATTTCACCACGGAATCACTTCAAAGTTTTATATTATTCAGTTGCCTCTGAAGGTGTTTGAAACGTTATAGCCACTAAGCGGGACCACTTTAAAGTTGCACAAACTTGAATGTAGAAAATATTAGTTACGGCCACCAAATCATATCACTTAAATACCACCTAGAAGTGGCAGTAATCTTAAAGTGGGTTTGATAGTTTTAGTAACGTTTCGGGAACCATAAATATATCTTTAAAGTGGCGGCACTTGATTGTACAACTGCAGCAGTTCTTGTCACGCTCTTAAGTGATTTCCACATATTGCGTGGAACAAAAGCCACTTCAAAGTTACTATTACCTTCAAAATTCACAATGAAGTAACCGTTGCCTATTAGTGGCCTGCTTTCTACATTGTTCGCCTTTACAATAAAGAAAAAACTACCAAAGTGTCGTGGATCTGTGCGCAAATTACTTTGTTTTTAGACTTATCTAGAGTGCATTTGTGTGTAAAATGGGAAACAACAAGAAGCCTCGCAAAAAGATTACTTTTCGACATTCGACAACTTTTTACAGACAACTTAAACAATAAATAAATGGTACCAATTTTAAAATGCACTCCATCTGCGACCAACTCACCTTGGGGCAACTTATTGGATTTCGCCTCAGCGTTTTTCGTTGTGAAAAATTTAAATGGCCTGGCCAAAATAAGGTTCCTTCGTTTTCCCACATGTCGGGAACAACGCAGAAACAAACACTCCTCTTTTCTTGAGTCGATACAATTTTAAAACTCATATCCAAATCTAAGATGTGCACACAAACACAATATAAAATATTAAATACATAAATTTAAGTGATCGTGACATAAACAGATTTAGAAGCAAATTTCACATAAATGAACAAATAATAATAATGCCATGACAACAAAAAGACTTCTCGTAGGGTGGCGGCTTCGCCGACCGGCATAAACACCAACGGCCTGGACACAGCTTACCTATACTCTGTCAAAAAGAGACCGAATTACAAATAAAACGCATACGACATGTGCACTACAAATGATTAGTGTTGTCTCCGATACGCGAGTCACGTACACTAGCCGTGCATACAAATCGCACGCATTCGTCCTCAGAGAGTTGACTACAGGGACAGAAAAGGAGCATAACTAAGAAGATTTAATCCACACATACGACATAAAGCCACGTGAAATCTATCAGATGTCAACTGAAAATCGTCCACTGTTCTTAGTAGTCACGGACCCTGCCATCACGCTAGAGACTTAAACAAAAACGTGTTTCAGGACTTTTGCAACAAACCTTTATTTATCAAGTTATAGAATTTGTTCCAGTTAGACTGTATAATAAATTGCAACGTGCTCTTCGAGCACGTCGTTAACAATGTTTGAGGTAAATAAATTGCAATAACAAAAAACCGCTATATTGAACAATATTTACTTTATCGCCAACTGCCAATACAGCCATGCATTACCATAGCGATTTATATACTTTTATTATTATAAATGAATAAATAAACTTTCTGATCAAATCCTGAGGTATACTTTTTCCCTCGTGTGTATTTTTGTGCTTTAAAAGTCTATCTACATACAAAATATCAACAAAAAAAACTTCATATAATTCGTTATAAAGCAAAATTAGATTATTAGTATTTTTTAATATTAATTTTACTAGATTATCACTAGATTCCAACAAAAGATTCAGTAAGTTTTTTTCGAAAAAATGTCTCTTTTTCGAGTTTTATTTACGTATAGGTGAGCAATCTATATAACTACATACATCATTGGTTCTAACCGGCGTTGTGTGGACATGCGCAGTAGAAGTTCACTAAATTACAAAATTAGTACCCTATTTTTAAAAGAAAACTACAAAATGGATTATATTTAATCTAATAGGTACCCAATACAACCGAAATAAAGGTTTGGATCCAAATTCAATTCAATAAAGAATCTTTTTGAGGACCCATGATCTATTTCTGTCTTCCAATTTCCGATCAATAGAAATCAGATAATTTGACTATATTAGAAATTAGAAGCAACTCGTAGATTATACTAAAATCTAATCTACATAGTTATATTGTACATTTATTTAAACAATCCAGGGCTTCAATAAATCCCCAATATCCCTCAATAAAAGGAAAATATCGACGAACGTATAGTGCAAGTTTTACTATTTAAAATAATTTCGTTTTTTGCGTTGCTTATTTACAAGACAATTTTCTAGGTAATCGTATATTAATAAATAAAAAACCATATTTGTAGAATAACTTACCTTTCAATAACTGCAATCTGGAGGAACGCCAAAAAACATTGTTTTTAAAATTGTCTCCACGACAATTCAAACCTTATCAGTTAAATAAACCAAACACTTTAACCTCACAAAACGTTTTTTACGTGGTTTTTTTCAACAAAAAATCTCAAATCCATTAATAATTAGTAATAAAATCCCGATTTAAAATTGCTTAAAATTTATCGACACTCAAAGTTCAAAATGGCTCTGAAAAACATTTGAATTGAATTGACACTTAAAAAGAATAAGAAGAATGTTCCACGGCATACTTCAGAAATATGTTTTGTAGATTACTACAGGGGAGGTTTCAGAATCTTTCTAAGGACAATTTGATGGGTTTGTAGTCGTGGCTGATATATTTTTTTTTAATTTTGAAATAACGGTCATTGGCGTGAACTATTAGGGTTATTATAGGATCAAGGGGGTGCAATTGTTACATTTCCTTCCTTTTGGATCCACTAGTAGAACGCAATTCGTCCGAATATTTTTTTATGTATGTTCATTGATAATTATTTACTACGTGGTTCGATTTCTATGATTCTTTTTTTGTTAGAAAGGGGGTATCTCAGGGGTGGTCCTGTATAAATTTGATAAAGATATGATAATGGAATGCATGAGAAAATCATAAAAACTCTTAATAATTTTTCGAGTCGTTTTTTTTTTAAATATTTTTACAATTTGTTTGAAATACTATTGGAATAATAATGATTGCGAATTAACCTGTGATTATTTAATGCGGTACACATTTTACAACCTGTTATAGAAGTATGGATGAATAATAATTAAATTTATTAATAGTATACAGTGACAAAATAGAATCTTGCAAATTTTCAATTATATCCCAAATTTAATCACGTATAATTATCTAAATGTTAAAATATACATACAGGGTGACCAATCTTTAAGGTGTTATTTCTTACTCAATTTTAATAAATACGTGTAGGTCCTAACAGCTTTATTTTGAAAATTGATAAGCTAAAAAAATGTTTTCTTAAATAACTAGCAGAAGAAATTTAGTATAAATTTGAAACTTAGTGGAAATTGTTGTTGTATGAAGATGAGCCTTTTAGGCAAAATAAAGTTGTTCTGGATTCACCAATGGCGTTCGTAGTGGTAACAAATCTGATTCAAAATAAAGAAAAACAAGAACAAAATTGAAATAATTTTTTAATGAATTTAATTTAAAAAATATAGTACGCCAACGTTTTTTGGTGAATCTGAAATCAAAATTGTGCAAAAACTCATCAATCTAGATTAGTCCGGTCTTATTCTAGTCTTACCTTGTAATGTTAACTATTATGGATCTCCAGTTACAAAAGAAGGCGCAATTATTGCAAAATTGTAAATATTTAGTTTATTTTTAAATGTTTTTTTTTATTGCAGGATGTGATTCGTTTGGGACGCGAACTCAAAAACTTGGTGGGTCTCTACAAGGTCCCGATGGATTCTTTTAATCATGTGGATTATATTTTCGGGAAAGATGCCGAAAAACTTGTTTATCGACCGTTAATGAAGGTTTTAAAGAAATACTCTACTTTTTGAGATTATGTTCAGATTACTTAATGATTTGTTTTCTAGTTTTAATAGTTATTAATAGACAAAAAAAAAGTTTTTTATTTTTCTATTCCATGTAGATATTTCCAGTTTTTTGAGAGCTATATATTTACTCGAGAATTATAAGGATTGATTACCAATGTAATCGAAATATGTGTAATGTAAAAATATATTTTTGTTTTGTACTTCTATAATTATTATATTATATAATTTAAAATAGTGAAACTAATCGTTTTTTTATTAGTTTTATTAACCCTAGTAACTACAGTTTATAACGTTATTAAAACAGTATTAAAAAAAAAGAAGAAAAGATACCTAAATATTGAATGTAAGAAAAAAATTGGAAAAATTATTATTAATTGGATGAAAGACAAATCCAGGACATGGTAATAAGTCAATACGGAAATAAGGTAAAATTTTATAATTTAATAAAAATTAAGAAGAGTAATCAACTAAAATACTAGTATACTAATCTTATATGCCTTTTAAGAAACTGTTACTTTTGTATCAATATAACAAGAGGGCGAAGAGGTATTTATATGAAATTTGGAACAGCGACACAGTAAGAAATTCTTCTACGCTAAAAATCGCACTGTCAACATTCCTTGTAAATGACATTTAACAATAACATGGACGTAATGAGATCTCATAACATACACGTGGGCGTACAAAAACTATAGTAAGTTACACGAGTTGTAAGCCCATACTTACAACTCTTGTTACGTAATATACTATAAAATAACTGGACGGTATTTTCTTCTCTCTATCTTCGATGTTTTTTGAGAAACGAGCTTCAACTTTTAAACAATTTTTGTTAGAGAGAAACCAAGTATTTTTTTGATATCTAGACTTTCTATTCTGTACAAGTTGAATTTTTTAATTTTCATTTTCCCAAAAAATGAGCAAAATGTAGCCTTCAAAATTTTTTAATAAAAAAAAAATCTCGAATTTCAATGTCATAGATAGATATAAAAAAGTACAACAAATTAGAGCAATTAAAATTTGGTTGAATTATTTCAGTTATTTTAATTGATTCAATTAGTTAAATTTAGTTTAGTTAGATTGATTGAATCAGTTTAGCTTAATTTAGTTTTAATTAATTCAATCTCTTTCAATTTAGTTAATTTGATTTAATTGGTTTCATATATTGATTCAACTAGGTAATTTAGGTTGATTTATTTCAATTAATCTAATTAGTTTAATATATTTAATTGATTCAGTTTGATGGATTCATTTATTTAATTAGATTCTATTGATTTATTTTAGTTAATTTAATTTCACTGATTTAATTCATTTAATTTCATTGATTTAATTTAGTTTGATAGATTTAACTAGTTAAATTTAATTAGTTATTTAGTTTGATTGATTCATTTAATTAGTTTAATTTAGTATGACTTATTTAGTTTGATTCATTTGATTTAATTTTGTTGCTTTAATTTATTTCATTTATTTTTATTGATTTAATTCAGTTTAGTTTTATTTAGTTTGGTTTAATTAATTTAAGTTATTTAGGTTGATTGATTGAAATAGTTTAACTTGATTTAATTAATTTAGGGTCAATCTTTTCACCATTGAGCAAAGTAGAAAGTAACTACTTGCTATTGTTCGTTAATTTGTCAAGTAAACTTACATGTAACTTTACTTACGAGGTGAAAAGATCGGCCCATAGTTTAATGGATTTAAATAGTTTAATTGAATTGGGGTTTAATTAAACTTATTTACTTTGATTGATTTAATTGCTTTAATTAAATTGATTCAGTTTGATAGATTCATTTAATTAGATTAATTTATTTCATTTAGTTTTATTGATTTAACTAGTTTAATTCATTTTAATTAATTTGATTTAATTAGTTACATTAATTTCAATTGTTTAGTTTGATTGATTTAATTTAATTAATACAGTTTGATGGATTCATTTAATTAAATTTAATTTGATTCATTGGTTTAACTAGTTTAATTTAGTTAATTTGATTTAATTCATTTAAGTTATTTAGATTGATTGAATTAGTTTGACTTGATTTAGTGTATTTTGATTAATTTAGTTAATTTGATTTAATTGGTTTAATTTATTTATTATCATAGATTGATTTACCTAGTTAATTTAGGTTGATTTATTTAAGTTAATTTAATTGATTCAGTTTGATGGATTCATTTAGTTTTATTCATTTAACTAGTTCAATTCAGTTTAGTTTGATTTAATTAATTTAAATTATTTAGGTTGATTGACTGAACTTGATTTAATTTATTTTAATTAATTCATAATGCAGGACTGATCTAATTAGTTTAATTTAGTATGATTATTTAATTAGTTTGATTGATGTAGTTTAATTTATTTAGGTTGATTGATTGAAATAGTTTAACTCGATTTAATTAATTGGTTTAATTAAAGTTATTTAGTTTGATTGATTTAACTGGATTAATTTAGTTTGATTTAATTAAATTGATGGATTCATTTAATTATTTTAATTTTGTTTGATTTAGTTAATTTGATTTAATTAGTTTAATTTATTTCATTTAGTCTTATTTATTTAACTGGTTAAATTCAGTTTAGTTAATTTGAATTGGTTAAATTAATTTAAATTATTGCGGTTAATTAACTAGTTTAATTTAGTTAATTTGATTTAATTGGTTTATTTCATTTAAGTTATTTAGACTGATTGAATTAGTGTATTTTGATTAAGTTAGTTAATTTGTTTTAATTTATTTAGTATTATAGATTGATTTAACTAGTTAATTTGGGTTGATTTATTTAAGTTAATTTAATTGATTCATTTAGTTTTATTAATTTAACTAGTTCAATTCAGTTTAGTTTGATTTAATTAATTTAAATTATTTAGGTTGATCGACTGAAATAGTTTAACTTGATTTAATTTATTTTAATTGATTCATAATGCAGTACTGATTTAATTAGTTTAATTTAGTTCTATTTAACTAATTTATTTTGACAGATTTAACTAGTTTAATTTAGTATGATTATTTAATTAGTTTGATTGATGTAGTTTAATTTATTTAGGTTGATTGATTGAAATAGTTTAACTTGATTTAATTAATTGGTTTAATTAGAGTTATTTAGTGTGATTGATTTAACTGGATTAATTTAGTTTGATTTAATTAAATTGATTGATTCATTTAATTAATTTAATTTTGGTTGATTTAGTTAATTTGATTTAATTAGTTTAATTTATTTCATTTAGTCTTATTGATTTAACTGGTTTAATTCAGTTTAGTTAATTTGAATTGGTTAAATTAATTTAAGTTATTGAGGTTGATTGATTAAATTAGTTTAGCTTCATTTAAATTAATAATTTAATTGATTCTGTTTGCAGGACTGATTTAATTAGTTTAATATCAATTCATTATTTAATAAATTTAATCTAATTAAATTGATTCAGTTTGATGGATTCATTTACTTAGTTTAATTGTTTTAGTTAATTTGATTTAATTTGTGTAATTTAGTTTAGCTTGATTTAATTTTATTTATTTTGATTTAATTGATTCAGTTTGATGGATTCATTAGTTTAATTTAATTAATTTCATTTGATTGAGTTAATTTGATTTAATGGGTATAATTAAATTAATTTAGTTTGATTAATTTAACTAGTTTAGTTAAATTTAATTAGTTTGAAACTATATTTTATATGGTAATGATAATTATTAACAATTACTCGAAATTACCTAAAATGTAATAAAAACGAACCAATTCTACTAAACTTATTTTTATTACACGTAATGGATCACATAAAAAACTAAATAATTAAATGTAATCGTTCTTTCGAGCAACATTCACAAAATAATTCTTCATATTCACCACGAAACAGACGCATCTCCTCTCACTTTCTCTCTATTTGCTTATCTTACGGAAGGAAAACTATGGGCTATCTCCTTTTGTTCTCCGAACTCCTTCTGGTAGCTTTTATTAAGGAAACATCAGAAATATAAGAATACTTTTACAGATTGGACTTTTCTAATCGAATAAAGTTTGAAATACAAACCAAATCATGAAACAACTTCTAGAGAGTGAAATATATAAATATGTTTCCTTATTTTTTTTAATTTAAGCCATCATCGTTAAAAAAACATATTAAAATGTTAAAAAACACAAACTAAATGTTGATTAAGAACGTTAAAGTCGCGAGCCAATTAAAGAAAATTTCGTTGCATTATTATCACCTGTTTTCTTTTACTTGTCTCGCGACCTTGAAGTTGATCATCAACAATAAATATTTTATGTTTTCTAACCTTTTACTATATTTTTTAAACGATTTCGCGATGATGGCTTAAACGCCGAAAGAGCTCGACTTTAATATATTAAATAAAGGAAATATATTTTTTAAACAATTCTTCCAATTTTATAAAATTATAGAAAAATCATTTTGTTTTCAAGTTGATCTGAAGTGACTTGTACCCCAACATCTTTAAATTTACCTACAAATATAGAAACATATTTCACAAAATGTTAGTTGATATGTTAAGAGATTGAATTGCCTCAACGTTTTAGGTAAAAAAAAAAAAAAAAAAATTAAATTAAACCTTATAAATAAATTAATTTTGTTTAGAAAAAGGATATTGTTTTTCCCTAGGTTCAGATTTCTCGTGCGATCTATCCCTTTGGTATGGCGATATTTCCTGAAAAGAGAAAGTGTTAAAAACTCTTTTTATTAATACTTTTGCAATCCTCAACAATGCGTACGCAATTGGCTAAAATTAACATTAACAAATTCATCTGTAAACGCAATAAAATGTCATTGACGTATTTGACAGAACTGACAATTAAGTTACCATAAAAATAGCAAGTAAATAATTTTTCTATTTTCTTCGATCATATAAACAGTAGCTATATAACGCATACCCTGTATTATAGCAATTATTTTGTTACAGCATCTCCAGAATATTTTGGTAAATATTATTTATCGCACACTAGATAAGCGAAATAAAAATTAACAAGTCTGAAAAAATACGAATGCAAAATTCATTAATTTTAATACAAAAACAGCGTTGCAATGTAAATGGGAATTAAGTAATTTTCAAACTTTGAAAAGCATTAAAAATAACATATATTTTTAAATTAGTGTCTATAGATAAGTTTTTATAGGGTTAATCTTTATCTCATTTTTTTTTAAGAATTTAATTTAATTAGTTTAATTTTATTTAGTTTGATTTAATTAATTTAATTCATTTAATTTAGTTTGCTTTATTTAATTAATTTTATTGAGTTCAATTGATTTAGTTTGATAGATTGACTTAATTATTTTGATTTAATTTAATTGATTTATTTGAATTCATTCAATTGATTTAATTTAGTTTAAGGGATTTGATTGATTTAGTTAAATTGATTTAATTTGGTTTGCATTAATTTAGGTAATTTGATGTAATTAATTTAAATGGTTTAATTAATTTAGTTTGATGGATTTAATTATTTTAATTGAGTCCAAATTAATTTGATTTAGTAAATATGATTTAATTGATTTAGTTTAATTGATTTAATTAATTTAGTTAAACTGATTTAATTTCGTTTGATTTAGTTTAATTAATTTGATTAAGTTTAGTTGATTTTTTTGAATTGATAACTTGGTTTAAATAATTTAGTTCGATGGATTTAATTGGTTTAATTTAGTCTAATACAATTTGATTTAGTTAATATGATTTAATTTAATGAGTATGATTTAGTTTAATTAATTCGATTTAGTTTAGTTGATTTTTTTTTTTGAATTGATAACTTGGTTTAAATGATTTAGTTTGATAGATTTAAATAGTTTAATTTGTTTAAAGTTATTTAGTTTGTTTGATTTAACTGGTTTAATTTAATTAATTTAACTTATTTAGGTTCATTGACTTACGTTTATTTTGATTTAATTAAATTGATTCAGTTTGACAGATTCATTTAATTAGTTTAATTTTGTTTAATTTACTTTGGTTAATTTGATTTAATTTCGTTAATTTAATTGGTTACATTTAAGATATTGAGGTCTATTAATTAATTAGTTTAATTCATTTAGTTTTATTGATTTAACTAGTTTAATTCAGCTGAGTTAATTTTATATAATTAGTTAAATTAATTTAAGTTATTGAGATTGATTGATTAAATCAGTTTAGCTTCATTTAATTTATTTAATTGATTCAGTGAATTAGTTAATTTGATTTAATTGATTTATTTAGTTTAGCTTGATTTAATTTAGTTTATTTTGATTTAATTGATTCGGTTTCATGGATTTATTAAATAGTTTAATTTAATTAGATTGATTTACCTAATTTAGTTAATTCAGTTTGATGGATTGATTTAATTAGTTTAATTTAGTTAATTTCATTTAATTAATTTAGTTTGTATGATTTAGCTAGTTTAATTTGATTTCATCAGTTTCAATTAGTTTAATTTGGTTTGATTTAGTTTAATTAATTTGATTTAGTTTAGTTGATTTTTTTGGTTTAAATGATTTAGTTTGATGGAATGATTTAATTTTATTTAGTTTAGTTAATTTAGTTCATTTAAATGGTTTAATTAATTTAGTTTTACGGATATAATTTGTTTAATTTAGTCCAATATAATTTGATTTAGTTAATATGATTTATTTATTTATTTAATTTGGATTCATTGATTTAATTAGTTTAATTTAGTTTGATTTAATTTAATGAGTTAGATTTGTGATTTAGTTAAATTGATTTAATTTCGTTTGATTGATTTAATTAGAATAATTTAGTTTGATTTAATTTAATGAATTAATAACTTGGTTTAAATGATTTAGTTCCAAATATTGATTTAATTAGTATTTTAATTTCGTTTGATTTAATTTCATTAATATTTAATTGATTTAGTTAAACTGATTTAATTTAATTTGATTGATTTAGTTTAATTTATTCGATTCAATAAAATTAATTTGATTGGTTTGGTATAGTTATTTGATCTAATTAATTTAGTTGATTTAGTTCAATTGAAAACTTGACTTAATTGAATTAAGTTTATATATTGGTTTAATTGATTTATTTTGACATATTGATTTAATTAATTTATTACGTTTGATTTAGTTTAAATAATTTGATTAATTTAGTTTAACGAGTTTAGTTAAATTGATTTAATTTGGCTTGAATTAGTTTAATTAAGTTTGATTGATTCAATTATTTTAATTTAATTAAATTTTGTTCAATTATAACTTGGTTTAATTGATTTAGTTTTTATTTTATTTTGTTAATTTTATTAAATGATTTAATTAGTTTAATTAATTCAATCAAAACAGTCTTGTTAGATATCGAGCCTTAATGTATTTATAATATCAAATTTTCCAATCGAATGAAGAAATATGGGATATCTCCTTTAAAAAAGAATATTCAAGTTTTTCATGTTGGAGACAAAAATAGGCAGGATTATTTATCTACTATTTATATGATAGAGGATTTTATTCGTTTTCTGGTTTAATCAAAGCACATGGGGTATTTATTGTTAAAGACTGTATATAATCTATTTCACCGATTTCAGTATGTTTTATGTTTCTTATAAACAAAAAACAATTTATTTCTAATAAACTTACCCTATTTCGATGGTGTTTTTCTCTTACATGTATGGGCGGCTCGAGCATTTCACCATTTGGAGCTCGAATGGGCGATCCTATTTTTTGTGCTAAAAAAAAAAAAAAAACGAATATATTTTTTGGGTCAAATTTAAATGTTAGGTATTCAATTAATTACCTTTATCTTCTTCTCTCCGCCTTTTCAATTCTTGGGCTGCTTCGTCATTCCTATCCTGTAACAAAATATACTGCCGTTATTAAAATTAATGCTCGCCGGTTAAGAAACATACAGGGTGTCATTGAAATCTTGTAAAAATATTCTGGGGGGGGGGGGATCTTTAAAAAATTGAAAAAAAAAAGTTTCTACAAGTTTTAATGAAATTTTATCCTATCCATAACATGCTACTACAAGTAATAATGAAAATAGGTAAACATATTTTCAAAACGTACTATGCACTATTATATTATTTGTCATATCGTTCACCGAGAGCAATAGTGGCACAACTAAAAATTTAGAAAATCATAGATAAACGATTAATTGGTTTAATTAATTTTTTTTGAGATGTGCCATTATTGCAGTATCTAGCATGTATTTCAATTTTTATATGTCAAAATTCAAATTCCTATATATGCTCTATATCAATTTTGATAAAAGCAAATTTTTTACGCATTTTTTTCAACATTATATTTTTGAGATATGCTATTACTGCTGTATCTAGTATGTTTCAAATTCCAATCTATGTTCTATCAGTTTTGATTATAGTAAAATCAACAAACATTTTAAACTTAATTGTCTTCAACATTATATTTTTGAGATGTGCCATTATTGCTGTATCTAGTATGTTTCGATTTTTTTTACGTCAAACTTCAAATTTCAATTTATGTTTTATCAATTTTGATTATAGTAAAATCAACAAATTTTTTAAACTTTTCTTCAATATTATATTTTTGAGATGTGCCATTATTGCTGTATCTAGTAGGTGTTACCATTTCTATACGTAAACGTTCCTATTTAGGCTTTATCAATTTTAATAATAGTAACAAAATTTAATCTTAATTTACTTCAGTTATTATTTTTAAGATGTGCCATTATTGCTGTATCTGGCCTGTTTCTATTTTTAACCGCCAAACTTCAAATTTCTATGTATACTCTATCAATTTTGATAGTAGAAACATTTTTAAGCAGTTTTTTTTTTCAACATTATATTTTTGAGATGTGCCATTATTGCTGTTTCAATTTTTATACGTAAAACTTTACATTTCTATGTACGCTCTATATCAATTTTGGTAATAGCAAAATTTTTACTCAATTTTCTTTAACATTATATTTTTGAGATGTGCCATTATTGCTGTATCTAGTATGTTTTAATTTTTTTACGCCAATCTTCAAATTTCAATTTATTCTTTATCAGTTTTGATTATAGTAAAATCAACAAAATTTTTAAAGTCAATTTTCTGTAACATTATATTTTTGAGATGTGCCATTATTGCAGTATCTAGTAGATGTTACCATTTCTATACGCGAAAGTTCCTATTTATGCTTTATCAATTTTGATAATAGTAACAAAATTTAATCTTAATTTACTTGTTATTATTTTTGAGATGTGCCATTATTGCTGTATCTAGCAAGTGTTTCAATTTTTATACTCCAAACTTCAAATTCCTATGTATGCTCTATATCAATTTTGATAATAGTAAAATTTTTAAGCAGTTTTCTTCAACATTATATTTTTGAGATGTGCCATTATTGTTGTATCTAGTGTGTTATATTTTTTTACGTCAAACTTCAAATTCCTATGTATGCTCTATATCGATTTTGATAATAATAAATTTTTTACGCAATTTTCATCAACATTATATTTTTGAGATGTGCCATTATTGCTGTTTCAATTTTTATACGTCAAACTTTAAATTTCTATGTACGCTCTATATCAATTTTGGTAATAACAAAATTTTTACTAAATTTTCTTCAAGATTATATTTTTAAGATGTGCCATTATTCCTGTATCTAGTATGTTTCAATTTTTTACATCAAACTTCAAATTTCAATTTATGCTTTATCAGTTTTGATTATAGTAAAATCAACAAAACTTTTAAACTCAATTTTCTTCAACATTATATTTTTGAGATGCGCCATTATTGCTGTATCTAGTAGTTGTCACCATTTCTATACGTGAAAGTTCCTATTTATGCTTTATCAATTTTGATAATAGTAACAAAATTTAATCTTAATTTACTTTAGTTATTATTTTTGAAATGTGCCACTATTGCTGTATCTAGAATATTTCAATTTTTATTTGTAATTATCCATTAAATACTTGAGTGTGGTGGATGATAAACAATAATTTTATATTATAAGGTAACAATTATGATAGTAAAACGTTTCAATATCGAATCAAAATAATAAATAAACACAAAACCTTGCGTACATACCCTTTTTCTGCCCATTTTCCTCTCCTTCCGTATCTCCTTCTCCTCCTCGCTCAATTTCTCTCTCTTCTCTTTCGGTTTAACCGATCGTTCCCTTTTGTCGGCCTTCTCCGCATAGAACTCCGGATTCGTTTTCCTTTCTTCGTGTTTGGAACTCTGCAGACAACCATTTTGCGTTTTCATTAATGCGATCGAAGGCGCTTTTGCCAAATCAATTGCGCAACAAAGAAATTTCTTTCTTCTATCTCTTTCTCTCATCTCAACAAGAAAATTTAAACAAAATACAGTGTAAGGATGCAAGTCGGTCAAGAGATTCGTCTTACCTGGTTTTTTTTTTTAGCACACTACCATGTGTATTTTTATTTTATCGGCAATATAAAACATAATTTAATAACAGTTGAAAGTTGTTGATTTCTACGTTCCGCCCCTGATTTTTTAGCAACTGAAATTTCTAATTCTAAAATGTATATTTTTTATTTTTGACATCAAAACAAAGTTTCTGTATACACGTTAATTATTGTAGATGCGGGACAATTAGAGGGTGAAAAGGGCGGAAAAAAAAAAGTATTGAATTTTTAAAGGTTCAGGAGCGGTGCATAGAAATCATCGTCGGAAAATTTATAAATTGAAAATAAACAATATTGGTTCCGTCAAAAAAAGCACACTAGAAAACACATAGCAACATTGTTTAAATTTTATGAAGAGTATAGTAAGTATGCAATCGAATTTCCAAATTTTGAATTGATTTATATGAAAATTAAAACAATATTAAAGGAAGATCGTTTTTCTCAACTTTACACATCGTACTTTTCATTATTTTCAAGTAAAATTGATGGACTATACCAGTGAGTTCAATCGTTCAAAATTACAAAGACTATTCAGTACACCAAGTTAAAAATGTCTCTCCCTTTAATATATGAACTAAATAATACATTTCAAAGTATTATATATTAAATTCATTAAATTTTTCTTTAAGTTATTTTAATTTCATTTCTATAAATGAAAACCATGTACAGTTGACAAAATCGAAATGTGAACGCCAAAATTTAATGGTGTGATATAGACTTTGCATCATAGACATTGGTCATTCAAATTTGTCTACTCGTAAAAATTATTTTCAAATAAATTATTAAAAATGTTGAAACATTTAACTGAGGCTCAAAATACGAAGGCTATAGCGAAACTGGAAGAAAATTGGTCTTCAAGTGAAACTGCGTACATGTCACCTGTCAACGTCTGTCCGTGTTTGGCAATTCAAGCGTTCGAAAAAAATCGATTTTTATGATTTGGAACTCGGAAAAAGAAATTCCGATTTAAAAACTCGGAAAAATAGACACTTAATTCATATTTAGAAAGCGGAAAAATTAATTTTTCTGACTAAGAAATCGGAAAAACGATTATTACGACTAAGAATTCGAGAAAATTCGATTTTTCTGATTTAGAATTTGGAAAAATAGATTATTCCGATTTAAAAACTTGGAAAATAGACAATTCCAACTTTGAACTCGGAAAAATTGATATTTTTGGCTAAGAAATAAGAAAAATTATTATTCCGACTAAGAATTCGAAAAAAATCGAGTTTTCTGATTTAGAATTTGGAAAAATAGATTATTCCGATTTAAAAACTCGGAATAATAGATAATTCAAACTTAGAATTCGGAAAAATGATTATTCCGACTAAGAATTCAAAAAAATTAAATTTTTTTAATTTAAAACTCGGAAAAATGGGGGTTTCCGATTTAAAAACTCGAAAAAAATCGATTTTTCTGATTTAGAATTTGGAAAAATAGATTATTCCGATTTAAAAACTCGGAATAATAGATAATTCAAACTTAGAATTCGGAAAAATGATTATTCCGACTAAGAACTCGGAAAAACCACTTATTATAATTTAAAAACTCGGAACAATAGATAATTCCAAATTAGAACACGGAAAAATTGATTTTTCTAACTAAGAAATCGGTAAAATGATTATTCCGACTAAGAAATCGAAAACTTTCCATTTCTTTGATTTAGAACTCAGAAAATGGGTGTTTCCTATTTAAAAACTCGAAAAAATAGATTATCCCGACTGTTAATTCTGAAAAAAATCGATTTTTTTGATTTAGAACTCGGAAAAATCACTTTTTATAATTTAAAAACTCTGAATAATAGATAATTCCAACTTATAACTCGGAAAAATTGATTTTTCTAACTAAGAAATCGGAAAAATGATTATTACGACTAAGAATTCGAAAAAATACGATTTTTCTCATTTAGAATTTGGAAAAATAGATTATTCAATTTAAAAACTCGGCAAAATGATTATTCGAACTAAGAATTCGAGAAAAAAATCAATTTTTCTAATTAAGAATTTGGAAAAATAGATTATTCCGATTTAAAAACTCGGAATAATAGATAATTCAAACTTAGAATTCGGAAAAATTAATTTTTCTGAACAAGGAATCAGAAACATGATTATTCCGACTAAGAATTCGAAAAAATTCGATTTTTCTGATTTAGAACTCAGAAAAATAAATTAATCTGATTTAAAAACTCGGAAAAATAGATAATTCAAACTTAGAATTCGGAAAAATTAATTTTTGCGACTAAGAATTGGAATAAAATCGATTTATCTGATTTAGATCTAGGAAAAATACATTTTTCAGACTATGAGGTAAGAAAAATAGAATATTACGATTTAGAATTCGGAAAAAATAAATTTTTTCAAATTTAACATCGGAAAAATAGATTATTCGACCTAGAACTCGGCAAAATCGATTATTCCGACTTAGAATTCGAAAAAACTCAATTTTTCATATTTAGAACTTGGAAAAATCGATTATTCCGATTTATCATTCGGAAAAATAGATAATTCCGACTTAACTCGGAAAAATTGATTTGTCTGACATAGAACTCGGAAAAATCGATTATTCTGATTTAAAACTTTGAAAAATAGATTATTCCGACTTAGAACTCGAAAAAATTGATTATTCCAACTTGTGAATTCGAAAAAAAATATTTTTATGATTTAGAACTCGGAAAAATATATTATTCCTACTTGGAATTCGTAAAAAAATCGATTTTTCTGATTTAGAATTAAGAAAAATAAATTAATCTGATTTAAAAACTCGGAAAAATAGATAATTCAAACTTAGAATTCGGAAAAATGAATTTTTTCGACTAAGAATTTGAATAAAATCGATTTATCTGATTTAGATCTAGGAAAAATACATTTTTCAGACTATGAGGTAAGAAAAATAGAATATTACGATTTAGAATTCGAAAAAATCAATTTTTTTAAATTTAAACATCGGAAAAATAGATTATTCGACTTAGAACAAAATCGATTATTCCGACTTAGAATTCGAAAAAACTTAATTTTTCAGATTTAGAACTTGGAAAAATCGATTATTCCGATTTAGAATTCGGGAAAACAGATTATTCCGAATGAACTCGGAAAAATTGATTTGTCTGACATAGAACTCGGAAAAATTGATTATTCTGATTTAGAACTTTGAAAAATTGATTATTCCGACTTAGAACTCGAAAAAATTGATTATTCCAACTGTGAATTCGAAAAAAAATATTTTTCTGATTTAGAACTCGGAAAAATATATTATTCCTACTTGGAATTCGTAAAAAAATCGATTTTTCTGATTTAGAATTCAGAAAAATAAATTAATCTGATTTAAAAACTCGGAAAAATAGATAATTCAAACTTAGAATTCGGAAAAATTAATTTTTTCGACTAAGAATTGGAATAAAATCGATTTATCTGATTTAGATCTAGGAAAAATAAATTTTTCAGACTATGAGGTAAGAAAAATAGAATATTAAGATTTAGAATTCGGAAAAAATCAATTTTTTTAAATTTAACATCGGAAAAATAGATTATTCGACCTAGAACAAAATCGATTATTCCGACTTAGAATTCGAAAAAAACTTAATTTTTCAGATTTAGAACTTGGAAAAATCGATTATTCCGATTTAGAATTCGGGAAAACAGATTATTCCGACTTAACTCGGAAAAATTGATTTGTCTGACATAGAACTCGGAAAAATTGATTATTCCAACTGTGAATTCGAAAAAAAATATTTTTATGATTTAGAACTCGGAAAAATATATTATTCCTACTTGGAATTCGTAAAAAAATCGATTTTCTGCCTAAGAACTCAAAAGAATAGATAATTTTAACTTAGAACTCGGAAAAATTGATTTTTCTGACATAGAACTCGGAAAAATCGATTATTCTGATTTAGAACTATGAAAAATAGATTATTCCGACTTAGAATTCGAAAAAAATGATTTTTATTATTTAGAACTAGGAAAAATAGATTATTTCGATTTACAAACTTGGAAAAATAGATGATTCCGACTTAAGAATTCGGAAAAATTGATTTGTCTGACATATAACTGGGAAAATAGATTATTCCGACTTAGAATACGGAAAAATTGATTTTTATGACTTAGAACTCGGAAAAATAGATTATTGCAACTTAGAACTCGAAAAAATTAATTATTCCAACTGTGAATTCGGTAAAAAATCTATTTTTCTAATTTAGAACGCGAAAAAATAGATTATTCCTACTTGGAATTAGTAAAAAAATCGATTTTCTGACTTTGAACTCAAAAAATAGATAATTTCAACTTAAAACTCCGAAAAATTTATTTTTTTTGACATGGAACAAGGATAAATCGATTATTCCGATTCAGAACTATGAAAAATAGATTATTCAGACTTATAATTCGAAAAAAATTATTATTGCTACTTAGAACTCGGAAAAATAGATCATACCAACTTAGAAATCGGAGAACTAGATTTTTCTGACTCCGAATTCGGAAAAATTAATATTTCTAAGTAAAAAAAATACTATTTTGGTACACCCCTTGATTTTATGTTGTAATAAATAGTTTTATATATTCAAATATTAATTCAATTTTTTATAGCTTTCGATTTTTTATTATACTAACTAAATCCCTTTTGTAGTTTTATTTTTACTTAGAATTTAATTTTGTAATAAACAATTTTGTCCATTTCGTTGCGGTATTTTCAGAGTTTATCGTCCAGGTCCTTTACAGACATTTAATTCAGAACACACTTTAATTAAATACCAATTTTCGTCCAATTTTTCTATACCCTTCGTTGTTCTGTTGTAATAAATGTTTTTTGTACTTTTATATGTTCAAATGTTACTTTAATTTTATTCCGATTTTTTTAATGTTATATTCTTTTAATTATAATAAAACAAATTTATTTTATTGCATACTTAATGTAGGATAAGACCGATTCGACAAAACTAAAGATATTTTTGTGAATTTCAATAAAAACAAATTCTGACGACCAACGAACGTTCACAATTGGGTTGCACCGACTGTACTGAGTAAATCTTCAATGTTCAACCATGAGTTTAATGTCAAAACATAATATAATTATTAATGGAGTAAAACTAGTTAAAATTAAATGTAAACTATTAAAGACTGAATCATTTTTGTGGAATTTATTAATTTTTTTTTTTATAAAACGAAATATTATAATGCAATATCAGTATTCAAAAATATAATTTTTAAATAGTCATCCAAGTACAGAGTGATTTTATAATATATTTTGATAATTAAACTTTAATGGTAACGATTTTTTTTTAAACTACGAAGTGTTTATAAAGTTTTGATTTATATTTAAAAGAAAAAAAAAATTGTGTAATTTTCAAGCTGCATTTTTATTTATAACATTAATATAAAAATAATTATTTCGAAAATAAAAATAAACATATATTTGAAAATCTAACAGAATAATAATAATTCCAAAAATTAGTAACTGTTTTCTAAAATGAAACAACTTTATAAACACTTAATATCCTATAATCTATCACCTACCTTAAAAAAACTCTCAAAATTTCCATTTTCCGACTACGTACTAACTACGGAAGATTGGGCTGACATATCACATCAAAATAAACAGTCTCATTGTCCCTTTTTAAACAAAATTCAACGAAGACGGCCAGGTCTCCATTTCTCGACGATTAAGAATACAAGACAGCGAAACATCGGGGGGGAAATGAAAAGAAATCGTCAAAAAAACGCTTTTCTGGATAACGTTTCAAATAGATCTGGATAATGTAAAAAAATCGTTTCGATACTCCAAAATTCTGGATTTTCGTTGAAAAACGGCTTACGAGAAATTGTTGAAAAACGTTTATCTGGATAACGTTTCACATAATAGGTGAAAAAACGTTTCAAAACGTTGAGAATCATCTCCGGCATTATGTCCGTTTCGGACGGACATCATGGATAATTATTAACGAATAATATTCTGGATAAAAGTTGAAAAACGTCTCGGATATTCTTGATAAACATCTATGGAGTGGATGATAGTTGAAAATCGTTAGATTGTTCTGGAAATTTGTTTGAAAAACGGCTTTGAATTCTGGATGACAGCATCAAAAACGTCTCCTCGTTTTTGGATTAAACTTTGAAGCTTCCATTCATCTTTGAAGAATGATAAAAATCGGTATTCCTTTCAATTTGGTTATCAGTTGAAAATCATCAATTTATTCTGGAAATTGTTGAAAAACGGTTTTGAATTCTGGATAACAGCATCAAAAACGTCTCCTCGTTCTTGGATTAAACTTTGAAGAATGATAAAAATCTATATTCCTTTCAATTTAGTTATCAGTTGAAAATCGTCAATTTATTCTGGAAATTGTTGAAAAACGGTTTTGAATTCTGGATAACAGCATCAAAAACGTCTCCTCGTTCTTGGATTAAACTTTGAAGCTTCCATTAATCTTTGAATGATAAAAAATTGACATTCCTTTCAATTTGGATGGTAGTTGAAAATCGTCAGTTTGTTCTGGAAATTTGTTGAAAATCAGCTCTGAATTCTGGATAACAGCATCAAAAACATCTCCTCGTACTTGGAATAAACTTTGAAGCTTCAATTCATCTTTGAATAACGATAAAAAATTGACATTCTTTTCAATTTGGATGATAGTTCAAAATCGTCAATTTATTCTGGAAAATTGTTGAAAAACGACTATGAATTCTGGATAACAGCAGCAAAAACGTCTCCTTGTTGCGTCTCGTTCTGGATAATTATTTAAAAATGTCTCCTTATTCTGGATAACTGTTGAAAAAGCGTATCAAAAATTCTGGATAACTGTTAAAAACCTTCTTTTTGATCTGGGTAATTTTAAAATTGCTTCAAACGCAATCTAATTATTTTAGTGTAGTTATAAATCTTTTTTATCTATCAAGACGTCCTCTAATTTGCTACTCTCAGCATCTCCATTTTTAAAAGGAGGGGTAAGAAAGTTGTTTTATAAAACGACTGGATATATTCATCTCCTTGGTTTCTAATCATGACAAAGGAACTTTTACTGCAGAAGTTTTAATAGTAGACATCTTTAGAACTTCAAACAAAAACGATAAAAGAAATGGCTGCGATTCAGACTCCTCAAACCCTATATTATTATTATTTTAAATTAAATTCGCGTAAAAGTTCTTAATTCACGCACTCAACAGTTCTGACACTTCCATATTTTTTTTTATAGCAATACAACTGATTTTTAAAATTCACTTTTTTTTCAGCCCAATCTCCCAATGTGGAATTGAAATAGCGAGGTGGAACCTATAATACAGCACCGATGTTATCTGACCTCGATACTAACCTTCGAAGAACCGTCGACTTTTCTTCGTTTCGAATCTGGAACAAACATCGAGATAAATGTCGGAGTAGAGGATGGGGCGCTCTGGTACAAATTCATTGATTTTTCCCCAGATCTGGGGAAATTTTGGAAATGTGGCAACAACGCACCGTATGAAAAATCAATGGAAGATTAATCTATGAGGCATGCATTCACATATTTAGAAAATTTGGTAAATTGGTCAAACTGATACGTGAACGCATGCCTCTTAACTTTTCATATAGTACGTTAATGCCAAAATTCTTTAGATCTGGGGAAAATCAATAAATTTGAAGCATCCCAAAAATAAATTATTCCCCAGTTTATAATTCGGACAAATTGGTTTTCTGACTTAGAACTAGGAAAAATAGATTAATCCCACTTAGAACTCGAAAAAATCGATTATTCCGATTTAAAAATTAGAAAAAATTGATAATTCCAACTTAAAACTCGGAAAAATTGATTTTTTTGACTAAGAAATCGAAAAAATTATTATTCCGACTAAGAATTCGAAAAAACTCGATTTTTCTGATTTAGAATTTGAAAAAATAGCATATAGCGATTTAAAAACTCGAAAAAATAGATCCTTCCTACTTAGGATTCGGAAAAATCGATTAATCAGATTTAAAAACTCGTAAAAATAGATAATTCCACCTTAGAACTTGGAAAAATTGATTTTTCTGACTAAGAATTCGAAAAAATCGATTTTTCTGATTTGGAACTAGGAAAAATAGATAATTCCAAATAAGAACTCGGAAAATGATTATTCCAACTAAGAATTCTGAAATAAAACCGATGTTTCTGATTTAGAGCTCAGAAAAATAAATAATTTCGACTAATAGGTCGATTCTGAGACAATCTTTAATTTCTGTAAGCCAAAATCTGTAAAAAATTACATTACTATACCTTACAGATTCTGTAGCTTATAGGATATTTCCCAGAATCCTATCATAAGAAAACGAAAAAATCTATTATGCAGTCTTAGAATTCTGAAAAATAGTTTTCCGATTTGAAACTCAAAAAATTGATTATTCCCGATTTACAACTAGGAAAAATTGATTATTCCGACAAAAACTAATTAAATAAAATGGTTATTCCGATAAAGAAATACGAAAAAATTATTATTCCGACTAAGAATTCAGAAAAAATCGATTTTTCTTATTTGAAACTAAGAAAAATTGATTATTTCGACATAGAACTCGGTAAAACAGATTATTCCTGCTTAGAACTAAAAAAAATCCATTATTTCGATTTAAAAACTCGGAAAAATAGATAATTCCAACTAAGAACTCGGAAAAATTGATTTTTATAAGAATTCGAGGAAAAAAAAAAACGATTTTTTCTGATGAAGAGCTCGGAAAAATAAATTATTTCGATTAAAAATTAGGAAAAAATCGTTATGCCGACTTAGAATTCTGAAAAATATTTTCCGAATTGGAACTCAAAAAAAATCGATTATTCCCGACTTACAATTAGGAAAAATTGATTATTTCGACCTAAAACTAGTTAAATAAAATGGTTATTCCGATTAAGAAAAAGGAAAAATGATTATTCCGACTAAGAATTTAGAAAAACTTGATTTTTCTAATTTATAACAAGAATAAATTGATTTTTCTAATTTAGAACTAGGAAAATTGATTATTTCGAAGTAGAACTAGGAAAAACAGATTGTTCCTGCTTAGAACTAAGAAAAAGCGATTATTCCGATTTAAAAACTCGAAAAAATAGATAATTCCAACTTAAAATTCGGAAAAATTGGTTTTTCTGACTAAGAAAACGGAAAAATGATTATTCAGACTAAAGATTCGAAAAAAATTCGATTTTTAAGATTTGGAACTAGGAAAAATAAATTATTCACATTCAAAAACTGGGAAAAATTGATAATTCCAACTTAGAACTCAGAAAAATATTTTTTTTTAACTAGGAAATCGAAAACATTATAATTCCGACTAGGAATTCGGAAAAAATCCATTTTTTTGAGTTCCAGCTCTGAAAAAATAGATTATTTCAACTTGGAACTCGGAAAAATGAATTTATCCGACTTAGAATTCGGAAAGATCTATTTTTCTGAATTAAAACTCTGAAAAAAATCGATTTTTTCCGAATCCTAAGTTGGAATAATATATTTTCCCGAATTCTACGTCAGAATAATCCATTATTCAGGCATTAAAACTCGGAAAAATAGATAGAACTCAGAAAAATTAATTTTTCTAACTAACAAATCGGAAAAATGATTATTCCGATTTACAAACTCGGAAAAATAGATAATTCAAACTTATAATTCGGAAAAATTAATTTTTCCGACTAAGAATTTGGATAAAATTGATTTATTTGATTTAGAACTAGGAAAAATCAATTTTTCAGACTACGAAATAAAAAAAATGGATTATTTGACTTAGAACTCGGCAAAATCGATTAATCCGACTTGGAATACGAAAAAAAAATCAATATTTCAAATTTAGAACTCGAAAAAAATTGATTATTTTAACTGTAAATTCGAAAAAAAACGACCTTTCTAATTTAGAACTAGGAAAAATCAATTTTTCAGACTACGTAATAAAGAAAGCTAGATTATTCACACTTAGAATTCGGAAAAAAATTAATTTTTTAAATTTAAACATCGGAAAAATAGATTATTCGACTTAGAACTCTCCAAAATCGATTATTCCGACTTAAAAAATCAATATTTCAGATTTAGAACTCGAAAAAATGGATTATTCTAACTGTGAATTCGGAAAAAATCGAATTTTCTGATTTAGAACCCGGAAAAATAGATTATTCCGACTTAGAACTTGGAAAAATAGATATATCGGAAAAATCGATTACTTAGAACTCGGAAAAATCGATTAATCCGACTTAGAATTCGGAAAAAATCAATTTTTCAGATTTAGAACTCGAAAAAATCGATTAATCCGATTTAGAATTCGGAAAAAATCAATTTTTCAGATTTAGAACTCGAAAAAATTGATTATTCCTACTGTGAATTCGGAAAAAATCGATTTTTCTGATTTAGAATTCGGAAAAAAAGATTATTCCGACTTAGAACTTGAAAAAGTAGATTATTCCCATTTAAAAACTGAGAAAATAGATATTTCGAATTTATAATTAGGAAAAATTAATTTTTCCGACTAAGAATTCGGATAAATTCAATTTATTTGATTTAGAACTAGGAAAAATAGATTTTTTCAGACTATGAAATAAGAAAAAATAGATTATTCCGACTTAGAATTCGGAAAAAATCAATTCTTCAAATTTAAACATCGGAAAAATAGATTATTTGACTTAGAACTCGGCAAAATTGATTATTCCGACTTAGAATTCAGAAAAAACAATATTTCAGATTTATAACTCGAAAAAATTGATTATTTCAACTGTGAATTCGGAAAAAAGCGAATTTTTTGATTCAGAACTCGGAAAACTAGAGTATTTCGACTTAGAATTCGTAAAAACATCGATTTTCTGACTTGGATCTCAAAAAAATAGATAATTCCAACTTAGAACAAAAAAAAAAAATAAATAATTCCAATTTAGAACTCGGAAAAAATTGATTTTTCTGACATAGAACTGAGAAAAATAGATTATTACGACTTAGAATTCGGAAAAATCGATTTTTCTGATTAAGAATTGGGAAAAAATCAATTTTTCAAATTTAATGGTCGGAAAATAGATTATTCGACTTAGAACTCAGCAAAATCGATTATTCAGACTTGGAATTAAAAAAAATCAATTTTTCAGATATAGAACTCGGAAAAATCGATTATTCAGAATTAGAATTCGGGAAAATTATTCCGACTTAGACACGGAAAAATTGATTTTTATGACTTAGAACTTGGAAAAATAGATTATTTCGATTTAAAAACGGACAAATAAATAATTCCAACTCAGAACAAATCGGAAAAATGATTATTCCGACTAAGAATTCTAATAAAATCGATTTATCTGATTTGGAACAAGGAAAAACAATTTTTCAGACTATGAAATAAGAAAAATAGATTATTCCGACTTAGAATTCGGAAAAATTCAATTTTTCAAATTTAAACAACGGAAAAATAAATTATTCCACTTAGAACTCGGCAAAATCGATTATTCCGACTTAGAATTCGGAAAAATAGATTATTCCGATTTGGAACTCGGATAAATCGATTATCCGACTTAGAAATCGAAAAAAATGGATTATTCCGACATAGAACTTATAAAACTATATTATTCCGATTTAGAACTAGGAAAAATTGATAGTTCTGACTTGGAATTCGGAAAAAATAGAATATTACAATTTAGAACTCGGAAAAATGTATTTGTTTGACTTAGAAATCGGAAAAATCAACAAAGTTGTAAAAATGTAATTTGTAAAGTAACTAAAAGTAATGATGACAATATAAACGTCAACGTCCTAGCAACCGAGGTTGTTAGGTAGTTAAAAACAATGGATTTTTAATATTTGCCTTTCCCTAACATTGACAGGTGCTTAACGTATGTGACGCTTACCTCTATCGGGCTCGGGCTCCTGACTTCTCCTTCCGACATTGCCATTTCCGCTAACAATCAATTCTCTGTCGTCATTTCTGTAGTAATGGCCGCCTCCGCTTCCTCTCTCGTCATAGTACCTGTCGACTTGTTTCTCGCTGGAGTAGCGGCCTTCTTCTTTCGGACTGAGCATTTCAATGAATCTTTCGTCTTGAGACTGCAACAGTTAAATATATCTCTATAAAAAAAAAAAACATTTAAATTAGGTACGAAAATTTTAAAAACCAACAATTTGCCAAGAGCTGTCAGAATTAGAACATATTATGAAACAATTGTGAGGAAAGTAGGATTATATACACCTAAAACATGGATAATGATAGAAAAAACGAGGAAATATGAGAGATTTTCTTAGAAAAAGAGTGTGTTATCGAACATACGATATCACATAATATTTTAATTTGAATTTATTTTATTTATTTTTTAACATATCAATAATGAAGTGAGTAGTCATTTGTTGTTTCTTCCTTTTTATAAACTATATTATCCTATTGTTTATAATTCAACCAAATTATTTAATTTATATTAATTTAATTTCAGTTTTTTGAATTTATTTTTATTTTTTTATTCATTTTATAAAATATAAAAGTGTGCAGGCATTTGTTGTTTCTTTCTTTTTAAACTATATTATTCCTTTGTTTATAATTCAACCGAATTATTTAATTGATTTTTATTGATAATTATTAATTTGTATTAATTTCTATTGATTTTAAATGGTTTTTATTGATTTTTGTTGGTTTTTTATTGATTTTTGTTGGTTTTTATTGATTTTTGTTGGTTTTTATTGATTTTTGTTGGTTATTATTAATTTTTATTTATTTATGATATTTAATAATTTTTATTGTTTTTTTTTTTATTGATTTTTATTGTTTTTTTTTTTATTGATTTTTAATGGTTTTTATTGATTTCTGTTGGTTTTTATTGTTTTTTATTGACTTTTATTATATAATGATTTTTATTGATTTTTGTTATTTATTATTGTTTTTAATGGTTTTTATTGAATTTTATTGATTTATATTGTTTTTTTTTTTTTATTGATTTTTGTTGGTTTTTATTTATTTATAATGATTTTTATTGATGTTTGTTGATTTTTATTTATGATTTCTTATTGATTTTTGTTGTTTGTTTATTGATTTTCAATAGTTTTTATTAATTTTTAATGGTTTTTATTGATTTATGTTGTTTAATATTGATTTTTGTTGGTTTTTATTGAATGTTATTGATTTATATTGTTTTTTTATGATTTTTGTTGGTTTTTATTTATTTATAATGATATTTTTATTTTTATTGATGTTTGTTGATTTTTATTTATTTATGATTTCTTATTGATTTTCAATGGTTTAATTGTTTATTTTTTGTTTTTTTATTAATTTTTGTTGGTTCTTATTGATTTTTATTGTTTTTATTAATTTTTTATGGTTTTTATTGAATTTTATTAATTTATATTGTTTTTATTTATTGATTTTTGTTGTTTTTTTTATTGATTTCTGTTGGTTTTTATTGACTTCTATTGAGTTTTTGTTGGTTTTGATTGACTTTTATTTATTGATGATTTTTATTGATTTTCAATGGATTTAATTGATTTTTTTTTATCTTTTTTTAATTGATTTTTGTTGGTTTTTATTGATTTTTATTTATAGTGATTTTTTTATTGATTTTTGTTGGGTTTCATTGATTTTTATTTATTTATAATGATTTTTATTGTTTTTTATTGATTTTGGTTGGATTTTATTATTTTTATTTATTTATAATGATTTTTAATAGTTTTTATTAATTTCTAATGGTTTTTATTGATTTTTGTTGTTTATAATGATTTTTATTGATTGTCAATGGGTTTAATTGATTTTTATTTACTTATAATGATTTTTATTGTTTTTTATTGGTTTTGGTTGGTTTTTATTAGTTTTTATTTATTTATAATGATTTTTAATAGTTTTTATTAATTTCTAATGGCTTTTATTGATTTTTAATGGTTTTTATTGAATGTTATTGATTTATATTGTTTTTTTTTTATGATTTTTGTTGGTTTTTATTTATTTATAATGATTTTTTTATTTTTATTGATGTTTGTTGATTTTTATTTATGATTTCTTATTGATTTTTGTTGTTTGTTTATTGATTTTCAATGGTTTCAATTGTTTATTTTTTTTATTGATTTTTAATAGTTTTTATTAATTTTTAATGGTTTTTTATTGATTTTTGTTGTTTAATATTGATTTTTGTTGGTTTTTATTGAATGTTATTGATTTATATTGTTTTTTATGATTTTTGTTGGTTTTTATTTATTTATAATGATTTTTTTTTATTTTTATCGATGTTTGTTATTTTTATTTATTTATGATTTCTTATTGATTTTTATTGATTTTCAATGATTTTATTTGTTTATTTTTTTGTTTTTTAATGATTTTTGTTGGTTTTTATTGATTTTTATTTATAATTATTTTTATTCATTTATTTTTATAGCTTTTTGTTTTTTTATTGATTTTTATTAATTTTTAATGGTTTTTATTGAATTTTATTAATTTATATTGTTTTTATTTATTTACTGACTTCTGTTTTTTTTTTTTTATTGATATCTGTTGGTTTTTATTGTTTTTTATTGACTTCTATCGAGTTTTTGTTGGTTTTGATTGATTTTTATTTATTGATGATTTTAATTGATTTTCAATGGTTTTAATTGTTTTTTTTTATCGTTTTTTTTATTAATTTTTGTTGGTTTTTATTTATAGTGCTTTTTTATAATATTTTTTATTGATTTTTGTTGGGTTTTATTAATTTATAATGATTTTTATTCATTTATTTATATTGCTTTCTTTTATTGATTTTTAATAGTTTTTATTGTTTTTTTATTAATTTTGGTTGGTTTTTATTAATTTTTATTTATTTATCATAATTTTTATTGTTTTTTATTAATTTTGGTTGGTTTTATTAATTTAAATTTATTTATAATGATTTTTATTCAATTATTTTTTTGCTTTCTTTTATTGATTTTTAATAGTTTTTATTGTTTTTTTATTAATTTTGGTTGGTTTTTATTAATTTTTATTTATTTATCATAATTTTTATTGTTTTTTTTTATTAATTTTGGTTGGTTTTATTAATTTTATTTTATTTATAATGATTTTTATTCAATTATTTTTATTGCTTTCTTTTATTGATTTTTAATAGTTTTTATTAATTTCTAATGTTTTTTTTTGTGTCAACGGTTTCAACTGCTAAGGTTATTTCGCCTCGTGTTCTTTGTAGGCTTTGTTATTGTTTCCCAGCACCACTTTAGACAGAACTGTTAATTAGAACCCAACAGTGAATGGTCGAGTGGGGAATCCTACCAAGGCATCAGAATTAAATTTAAATACCTGGGACCCTTGGATCCGTTCCCCCTACCCCCCTCTAATCATTTTTATTGAATTTTATTGATTTATATTGTTTTTGTATTTTATTTATTTATAATGGTTTTTTATTTATTTATAATGGTTTTTTATTGATGTTTGTTGATTTTTATTTATTTATGATTTTTTATTGATTTTTGTTTAATTTTTATTGATTTTCAATTGATTTATTTTTATTTTTTAATTATTTTTATTTGTCTATAGAAGACGTACAAACAAAGTAGTAATGAATATATTCAATAAATCAAAACTAACATACATACAAGAGGGTGGATAAAAGGGTAATTACCCCCCGCCCCGGAGCTTTTCGAATACTGAAATTTATTAAATTGTAACATAGTTTTCACAAGAAAACAAGAATGAAATTATTTAAAAAAATATTTCCATATCCGCGCCTGACAACTAGAGCACAAAGAGTAAAAGATTGTTAATACTGGATGGAATAGACGGTGGGAAAAGAAGAGACCGCCCAAAGAAAAAATGATCAAATAGAAAGACAATTTCCAAATAAACATTTAATCAATACTTACTCTATTGTACTGTTTATCATGCCTCTCATCTTTGACATTCAACTTTTCTTCTCTCCTCTCCCTGCGCTTCTCCTTTTCGCGCTCTTTTTCGGAGTCATTCAGTTTATCAGATCTGTGTTTCTCTTTCGCTTGGTCGTCCCTTTGAGATTTTTCCATCCTCTCTTTCGAAGGGCTAGGTCTAAAACGAAATAAACAAAATGGATAATTAAATAAATTCGATCATTAATCGGGCGATTGTGTTTTTTACCCGGTAATATCGACGGAAATGATTTGACTTTTCGTTGACACTCTGATTTCGTCGGAAGCTTGTCTCGAGGATTTTCTTTCGAGTTTTTCTTTCAGAAAATCATCTAGGAATAAATAAACTTTTTAAAATAAGGAAGTGTTAAAAATATATAAATAAAAAAACAAAAAACATAATAAAAAAAATATGTAAAAAAAAAACGTAAATAAAATAAATATGCATATTTATAATAAAAGTATAATTAATGAACAAGTCTGAAAAATTACCTTTATTTTCTCCATTGTGTTTGCTGGTACCTTCACTTTTTAAATCATGGTTTTTACTACCCTGAAAACATAAACGGAGTTTAGTGAAGACATATTGAATCAAAAAGATGCAAATTTAGAGTATGAAACATTAACGTTCCGATTTTACTTTAATCGGAATTGAAAATGGTTTCTTGGACTGCAACTGTTTATAAAATTAATAAAAATCGGTATTAATTAACCAAATTATAATGTCTAAAGCACGTAATAATATGTAGAAATACAAATATTATATTTTATTTAAACAATAAGAAAGCAAATTCTCCGATTTTCAATAAAATTTTAAATTTGGTAAAACTTTATTTAAAAATGTATTTTTACACTATTATAATCACCTGTTTCAAGATAAAAATTATTACATTTCCCAGACTATCCCATTATTTAAGTTTATTCTAAAATTATACAATTTAGAGTACTCTAAACATCCATTTAGGAATATTGTAACGGTTGGAACCGTTATTTCGAACACAATCACCTCTTTCTCAAATGTCATTTGTCGTCTATGCTTTGTGTCAGAGAAAGTGACATTTTCATCTTAGAGACGACGAATAGGTCACTTTTAATTTATTTTGGTCATCCAAAATATTAATTCATATTTATTTATGTTAATGACCGTCTGATTTTATAAGGTACGTTTTGTTAATATGTTATTAAATATATATTTTGTTCAATGATTTTTTGAGCTAATTGTCAAATTTTATACATAACCTCTACATCTGCAATGAATGATACAAAATTATATATTATTTTTTGGAATAAGATATTATGCTTAACTATATTTAAATATATTAAATATGATTTTTCCTTCACTTGGTGGAAGTTGCCTGACCGGTATATAATGTTTAGCGATTGATGTATCTCTGCAGTTTGGGACGAAGGAAGAAATACCTAATTTTACCTTTAACTTACCATATCGTATATTACCTTATATAAATTGTTTTAAATTTGAATTATGTGCAAACTAATGTGAATTAGAATTTGATAACTACCTTATCTAAAGCATTTTTTAAGTATAATTTGATAGTAGTTAGTGATTTTCTATATTTTATCACTAATGTAGAGTTAAGTGTATAAGCTTTAAATATAGTGGTGCCCAACTTCTTTTTCAAAGTTATTCGAGTTATTTAATAACTTAATCCACGCCCTATCAATTGAGCTCCAACACATTGTCAAAATAGATAAACTAAGCAGGTATTTACGTTATAGAATTCAGAAAAAAATCGATTTTTCTGATATAAAACTAGAAAAAATTGATTATTTCGGAACAGAACTCTGTAAAACAGATTATTCCTCCTTATAACTAGGAAAAATCCATTATTCCGATTTAAAAACTCGGAAAAATAGATAATTCCAACTTAGAAATCGGAAAAATTTATTTTTTTCTGACTAAGAAATCCGAAAAATAATTATTCCGACGAAGGATTCGAAAAAATTCGATTTTTTTAATTAGAACTGGGAAAAATAGAATATTCCAATTTAAAAACTCGAAAAAATTGATTATTTCGATTTAAAAATTCGGAAAAATAGACAATTCCAACTAAGAACTCGGAAAAATTGATTATTCTAAGAATTCGAAAAAAAAAAAAAAAAAACAATTTTACTGATGAGGAGCTCGGAAAAATAAATTATTTTGATTAAAAATTAGGAAAACATCGATTATGCCGACTTACAATTAGTAAAAATTAATTATTCCGACATAAAACTAATTAAATAAAATGATTATTCCGAATAAGAAATAGGAAAAATGATCATTCAGACTCAGAATTCAGAAAAAATCGATTTTTCTGATTTAAAACTAGGAAAAATTGATTATTTCGGAACAGAACTCTGTAAAACAGATTATTCCTCCTTATAACTAGGAAAAATCCATTATTCCAATTTAAAAACTCGGAAAAATCGATTAATCAGATTTAAAAACTCGGAAAATAGATAATTCCAACTTAGAACTTACTAAGGATTCGTAAAAAAATATCGATTTTTCTGATTTGGAACTAGGAAAAATAGAATATTTTAATTTAAAAACTCGGAAAAATGGAATATTTCGATTTAAAAATTCGGAAAAATAAATAATTCCAACTAAGAACCGATTTTTCTGATTCAGGGCTCGGAATAATAGATTATTTCGACTAAGAATTTGGAAAAAATCGATTATGCCGACTTAGAATTATGAAAAATAGTTTTCCGATTTGGAACTGAAAAAAATCGATTATCCCGACTTAGAACTAGGAAAAATTGATTATTCCAACATAAAACTAATTAAATAAAAAGATTTTTCCGACTAAGAACTAGGAAAAATTATTATTCCGACTAAGAATTCAGAAAAAATCGATTTTTCTGATTTAAAACTAGGAAAAATTGATTATTTCGACATAGAACTCGGTAAAACAGATTATTTCGACATAGAATTCGGTAAAACAGATTATTCCTGCTTAGAACTAGAAAAAATCTATTATTCCGATTTACAAACTTGGAAAAATAGATAATTCCAACTTAGAACTCGGAAAAATTGATTTTTCTGACTAAGAAATCGGAAAAATAATTATTCCGACGAAGGATTCGAAAAAATTCGATTTTTTTAATTAGAACTGGGAAAAATTGATTATTTCGATTTAAAAATTCGGAAAAAGAGATAATTCCAACTAAGAACTTGGAAAATGATTATTCCAACTAAGAATTCGGAAAACAAAAACGAGTTTTCTGATGAAGAGCTCGGAAAAATAAATTATTTCGACTAGGAATTCGAAAAAAAAAAAAAAAAAACGATTAACCCGACTTATAACTAGGAAAAATTGATTATTCCCACATGAAACTAATTAAATAAAATGATTATTCCGACTAAGAAATAGGAAAAATGATTATTCCAACTAAGAATTTAGAAAAAATCGATTTTTCTGATTTAGAACTAAGAAAAATTGATAATTTCGACGTAGAACTCGGTAAAACAGATTGGTCCTACTTAGAATTAGGGAAAATCGATTATTCCGAATTAAGAACTGGGAAAAATTGATTATTTCGATTTAAAAACTCGGAAAAATAATTCCAACTAAGAACTCGAAAAAATTGGTTTTTCTAAAAACTAGGAAAAATAATTATTCCGACTAAGGATTCGATTTTTAAGATTTAGAACTCGGAAAATACAATAAGAATGGGCTAAAAGTCGGGAAGACAGAAAAACTCAAAAGGAAACATTTCAGGAATATCATTCGATTTTTTTATTTAGAAAATAGATTATTCCGATTTACAAACTCGGAAAAATAGATAATTCAAACTTAGAATTCGGAAAAATTAATTTTTCCGACTAAGAATTTGGATAAAATTGATTTATCTGCTTTAGAACTAGGAAAAATCAATTTTTCAGACTACGTAATAAAGAAAAATAGATTATTCACACTTAGAATTCGGAAAAAAAAAATAATTTTTCAAATTTTAACATCGGAAAAATAGATTATTCGACTTAGAACTGGGCAAAATCGATTATTCCGACTTAGAATTCGGAAAAATCAATATTTCTCATTTAGACTCGAAAAAAATTGATTATTCCAACTGTGAATTCGGAAAAAATCGATTTTTCTGATTTAAAACTCTGAAAAATAGATTATTCCGACTTAGAACTTAGAAAAATAAATTATTGATTTAAAAACTCGGAAAAATAGATAATTCGAACTTAGAATTCGGAAAAATTAATTTTTCCGACTAAGAATTCGGATAAAATCGATTTATCTGATTTAGAACTAGGAAAAATAAATTTTTCAGACTACGAAATAAGAAAAATCGATTATTCCGTCTTAGAATTCGGAAAAAATCAAATTTTCAAATTTAAACAAAGAGAAAAATAAATTATTTCACTTAGAACTCGGCAAAATCGGTTATTCCGATTTAGATTTCGGAAAAATTCTATTTTTCAAATTTCGACCTCGGAAAAATGGATTATTCCGACTTAATATTCGGAAAAATAGATTTTTCCGACATAGAACTTATAAAACTATATTATACCGATTCAGAATTAGGAAAAATTGATAATTCTGATTTGGAATTCGAAAAAAATAGATTACGATTTAGAACTCGGAAAAATTAATTTATCTGACTTAGAAGTCAAAAAAACTAATATAATATACGAAGGATTCGAAAAAATTCGATTTTTTTAATTAGAATTGGGAAAAATAGAATATTCCAATTTAAAAACTCGGAAAAATTGATTATTTCGATTTAAAAATTCGGAAAAAGAGATAATTCCAATCCAACTAAGAATTCGGAAAACAAAAACGATTTTTGTGATGAAGAGCTCGGAAAAATAAATTATTTCGACTAAAAAATAGGAAAAATGATTATTCCAACTAAGAATTTAGGAAAAATCGATTTTTCTGATTTAGAACTAGGAAAAATTGTTTATTTCGACGTAGAACTCGGTAAAACAGATTGGTCCTGCTTAGAACTAGGGAAAATCGATTATTCCGAATTAAGAACTGGGAAAAATAGATAAGTCCAACTTAGAACTTGGAAAAATTGATTTTTCTGACTAAGAAATCGGAAAAATAATTATTTCGACTAAGGATTAGAAAAATTCGTTTTTTTTTTAATTAGAATTGGAAAAACAGAAATTCCAATTTGAAAACTCGGAAAAATTGATTATTTCGATTTAAAAACTCGGAAAAATAGATAATTCCAACTAAGAGCTCGAAAAAAAAAACTATTTTTCTGATGAAGAACTCGAAAAAATTGGTTTTTTTGACTTAAGAACTAGGAAAAATAATTATTCCGACTAAAGAATCGATTTTTAATATTTAGAACTAGGAAAAATATTTTTTTTTACAAGGAAATCGGAAAAATTATAATTCCGACTAGGAATTCGGAAAAAAATGATTTTTCGGATTAAGAACTCGGGAAAATAGATTATTCGGGCTATGAATTCAGAAAAAACTATTTTTTTCTGGCTTAGAACTCGGAAAAATTGATTTTTCTGACTTAGAACTCGGAAAATACAATAAGAATGGACTAAAAGTCGGGAAGACAGAAAAACTCAAAAGGAAACATTTCAGGAATATCATTCGATTTTTTTTATTTAGAAAATAGATTATTCCGATTTACAAACTCGGAAAAATAGATAATTCAAACTTAGAATTCGGAAAAATTAATTTTTCCGACTAAGAATTTGGATAAAATTGATTTATCTGCTTTAGAACTAGGAAAAATCAATTTTTCAGACTACGTAATAAAGAAAAATAGATTATTCACACTTAGAATACGGAAAAAAAAATAATTTTTCAAATTTTAACATCGGAAAAATAGATTATTCGACTTAGAACTCGGCAAAATCGATTATTCCGACTTAGAATTCGGAAAAATCAATATTTCTCATTTAGACTCGAAAAAATTGATTATTCCAACTGTGAATTCGGAAAAAATCGATTTTTCTGATTTAGAAAATAGATTATTCCAACTTAGAACTTGGAAAAATAAATTATTGATTTAAAAACTCGGAAAAATAGATAATTCGAACTTAGAATTCGGAAAAATTAATTTTTCCGACTAAGAATTCGGATAAAATCAAATTTTCAAATTTAAACAAAGAGAAAAATAAATTATTTCACTTAGAACTCGGCAAAATCGATTATTCCGATTTAGATTTCGGAAAAATTCAAGTTTTCAAATTTCGATCTCGGTAAAATCGATTATTCCGACTTAGAATACGGAAAAAATGCAATTTTTCAGATTCCGAACTCGAAAAATCGATTATTCCGACTTAGAATACGGAAAAATTCAATTTTTGAAATTTCGACCTCGGAAAAATGGATTATTCCGACTTAATATTCGGAAAAATAAATTTTTCTGACATAGAACTTATAAAACTATATTATACCGATTCAGAATCAGGAAAAATTGATAATTCTGATTTGGAATTCGAAAAAAATAGATTATTACGATTTAGAACTCGGAAAAATTAATTTATCTGACTTAGAAGTCAAAAAAACAAATATATTATACGAAGGATTCGAAAAAATTCGATTTTTTTAATTAGAATTGGGAAAAATAGAATTTTTGAATTTTTTTTATAATTTTGGTTTTAAATCTAAATTTTCTATTTTTCTAAATTTTTTTTTTTTAATTTTAGAACTTTGTTAATTTTAATTCGTTTTCCTAACTTTCTAATTTTGAAATATTAGAATTTTTGATTTTTCGAATTTTTACTTATTTAATTTCGTTTTTTTTTTCCTCAATTTTCGATTTCTAAATTTTTTATTTTCTTTAATTTTTGTAATTTCCATTTTTTTCATAAATTTGCAATGTTTCTTTTGAATTCTGAAATTTTTCTTTTAATTTTATATTTGGTTTATTTTTTAATTTTACATTTTCCTAACTTTTTATTTTTTTTGTTTTTAATTTTGAAATTTTAGAATTTTTAATATTAGTTTTTTCTCTAAAATTTTGATTTTTCTAATTTATTAATTTTGCATTTCTTTGCTTTTTATTTCGTTTTATCTAACTTCCTAATTATTTAAATCAATTTTTGATTTATTTAACATGTAGGACTTAAAGAAAAGAAAATACAGTAACTAACCTTCTCTTTTTCCAGCGGAATATGAAAATCATTCTCCCTCATCAACTGCCCGCCGGAAGATCGCTGCTTCAACAATCCCAAATAACTACTCGACAACGTAAACAAATCCTGCCGATTATTCTTCTCCTCATCCCTAACTTTTTCTATCCTCTTCTCGATGAACTGACTCAACTTAATCAAAATCGGAAAATGTTGAATGATCTTAATGAGTATAATCAAAGAATTCCGAATTTGTATATAATCCTTCGACTCCAGACAAGTCACCATTGCTTTAGCTAGTTTGTAGTGCCATTTGTGACAGACGTGCCTGTAATTTTCGTAATCGACGTTGTCTAGATTGTCGGCATGTTGGTTGTTCTTTCTGTATTTGGTTACGAAGCCCGGATAGTTCGCGCATTCTCTTTCGAAGACGTCTTTGGATTTGTGCCATCTCATGACGGTTTCTAGCATCGCGAATAGGAATCTGCCGTATCGCATCGCTTCGTTTTCGGTGCATGACGTTATGGAGTACGTTACATCACAAAATAACTAAAATGTAACAAATTTTTGTTTATTCTTATACCACTAATGCTAAATAGTTATAAAATCCGTATTATTTGCATTGAATGTTGATATTAATTTACTTTACACAGATGTGTAATTTTCTAAATTTTTAGGCTTTTCATTTTTTTATAAATTTTACATTTTTTTTTTGAGATTATTTTTTTTATACATTTTTTTATAGTTTTATTTATATAATTTTTTATTTTTTTTTATAAGTTTTTATATTTTTTAAAAAACTTGATATTTTACATTTTTTCCAAAATTTTTATTTTTTAAATATATATTTTTATTTTTTGTCTGATACATTACCGGGTTTGTATTTCAAATTTATAACGTCAAAAAATTCTTTTTTTATATATAAACTAGGTTATTAAAACGAGTAGTTCAAATGTATCAAGTTCAAAAATCGAATATTTGATAAAATAACGATTATAGCGAGTAGTTCAAATGTATCAAATAGTATTTTTGATAAATTGACGGTTATTAAAACAAGTAGTTCAAATGTATCACGTCCAAAAATCGTAAATTTTGATAAATTAACGATTATTAAAGCGAGTAGTGCAAATGTATCGCATTCTAAAAACGTAATTTTGGATAAATTAACGATTAATAAAGCGAGTAGTTCAAATGTATCTCGTTTAAAATTCGTTTTTTTTATAAATTAACGGCTATTAAAGCGAGTAGTTCAAATGTATCGCGTCCAAAAATGGTACTTTTAGATAAATTAACGATTATTAAAGCGAGTAGTTCAAATGTATCTCGTTTAAAAATCGTTTTTTGATAAATTAACGGCTATTAAAACAAGTAGTTCAAATGTATCACGTTAAAAAATCGTACTTTTGATCAATTGACGATAATTAAAGCGAATAGATCAAATGTATCTCGTTTAAAAAAATTTTTTTGATAAATTAACGGCTATTAAAGCGATCACGATCAAAAATAATGCTTTCGATAAATTAGCGATTATTAAAGCGAATAGTGCAAATGTATCGCATCTAAAAATCGTACTTTTAGATAAATTAACGATTATTAAAGCGAGTAGTTCAAATGTATCTCGTTTAAAAATAGTTTTTGATAAATTAACGGCTATTAAAACGAGTAGTTCAAATGTATCACGTTAAAAACCGTACTTTGGATCAATTAACGATTATTATTGCGAGTAGTTCAAATGTATCTCGTTTAAAATTAGTTTTTTGATAAATTAACAGCTATCAAAACAAATGTATCACGTTAAAAAATAGTATTTTTGATCAATTGACGATTTATTAAAGCGAGTAGTGCAAATGTATCGCATCCAAAAATTGTTCTTTTGGATAAATGAACGATTAATAAAGTGAGTAGATCGAATGTATCATTCGTCCAAAAATTGTACTTTAAATCAATTTACGATTATTAAAGTGAGTAGTTCAAATGTATCTCGTTTAAAAATAGTTTTTTGATAAAATAACGCCTATTAAAGCGAGTAGTTCAAATGTATCAAGTCCAAAAATCATACTTTTGTTAACTTAACGATTATTAAAGCGAATAGTGCAAATGCATCGCATCTAAAATCGTACCTTTGAATAAATTAACGATTATTAAAGCGAGTAGTTCAAATGTATCTCGTTTAAAAATCGGTTTTTGATAAATTAACGGCTAATAAAAAGAGTAGTTCAAATGTATCACATTTAAAAATCGAATAATTGATTAAGTAACTGTTATTAAAGCGAGTAGTTCAAATGTACCAATTTAAAAATTGTATTTTTGATAAATTGACAGTTATTAAAGTGAATAGTTCAAATATATCACGTTTTAAACTCGCATTTCTAATAAATGAATCGTATAATTGATTAAATAAGGGGTGGTTATTAAAGCAAGTAGTTAAAATGTATCACATTTAAAAATCGCATTTCTGATAAACGGTTATTAAAGCCAGTAGTTCAAATGTATAAATTTCAAAAATCGTATTTTTGCTAAATTAAGAGGGATTTAAACGAGTAGTTCAAATGTATCAAATCTATTTTTGATAAATTTAAGATTATTACAGCAAACAGTTCAAATGTATAAGTTTAAAAAATGTATTTTTGAAAAATTGACGCTTATTAAAACGAGTAGTTCAAATGTACACAATTTTTTTATTTTTTTTTTAAATATATTTTTTATTTTTTAGTCCTTTTTTTATTTTATTTCTTTTTACTATTTTTTATTAATTTATTTTCCTATACAATTTGTAAACTTTGATTAAAAATGACATATACTTTTATTTATTTTATTTTTTGTTTTTTATTTTTTGCCTTATTTATATTTTTGTATATATATTTTTAATTTTTAATTAATAACTTTTAGATTTTTTTTACTGATATTTTGATGTTTCATTTTTTAGTTTTTTTTTTATTTCTTTTTAATTTCTATTAATTTATTTTCTTATACAATTTGTAAACTTTGATTAAGAATGACATGTACTTTCATTTATTTATTTTTTTGCTTTATTTTTTAATTTTGTTAATTTTTTAATTTTTGTATTTATATTTTTGTTTTACTTTCTTTTTTCTTAATAGGAAATCAATTAATTCAATAACACATAGCACCTTATAGAAAATATTGAAAACTTACCCTATCATAAAACAGTAAAGTCGAAAAATTCGGCGTCTTCAACAAATGTATAGTATGCACGAATTTCGCACAGTATACAGCATCGATCTGGGTAAACGTGCACCTCGGAAAAACGCATAATTGAAGAAACCTCGTGATAGTTTCATTTTTGGCAGTTTTCAGCGACTTCGTCAAAAACCAATGATCCTTTTCCTGTTTCAACCTGTACATGATTTTATCGACGTGCTCCGTTTGCTTCTTCTTCTCGTCTTGCAGCTTTTCCGATAAAGTTTGATACCTCTCTTGCTCCTTCTTACCTTTGGCGCCCATATCCATGTTGGCCAACGACGCCATTTTGGCTTTGCTGATGACGTGTTGATAGGTTTCTTCGGGTACGTACAAATCGTACATGGTTAACGACCAAAACGTCGCTAGAAATTGACAGGAAATGTCTTCCCACACTCGAGGAGGGTGCAGGAGTTGCAGCGACGTACAAACCGGTTCCATTATTTCCGTAATGGCTTCGAAATATTTTTGATTCTTGACGGAGGTAGACATTTTTTTGTAGGCCGGGTCGACTTTTCTGAGTTGGTCGTATTTTTGCTGAAAGACAATATTTCTATTATTACGCTATATTGTCGTGACGTAATTTGTGTTCCAATGACAGCTGACTTTTAATATTTTAGTAAATTCATTAATTTAATTCACTAATTTAATTCAATTAATTAATTAATTTAATTCATTAATTTAATTCATTAATTTAATTTATTAATTTAATTCATTAATTTAATTCATTAATTTAATCCATTAATTTAATTCACTAATTTAATTAATTAATTTAATGAATTTAATTCATTAATTTAATTTAAGTTATTAAATTTACTAATTTAATTCATTAATTTAATCCATTTGACGAATTTAATTCATTAATTTAAGTTATTAATTTAATTTATTAAATTTACTAATTTAATGCATTATTTAATTCATTTATTTAATTCATTAATTTAATTCATTAATTTAATCCATTAATTTAATCCATTAATTTAATCCATTAATTTAATCCAGTAATTTGATGAATTTAATTCATTAATTTAATGAATTTAATCCATTAATTTGATGAATTTACTTCAATTATTTAATGAATTTAATTCATTAATTTAATTTATTAATTTTTGAATCTAACAAATAATTTTTTTTTTTCAATTCCTGAATTTTCTATTATTTTTGACAGTTAAATTTTAAAATTCTGTCATTGAAATTAACATATACGTTTTTTACAATTTCTAATTTTTGAATTTTCTTTATAAATGTTTAGATTAGAATAACAATTGGAATACTCACATTGATGGCGTGATTGAACATAGGTCTGGCCAGGAAAAACGCCACCTCCAAAGGTATATGATAATCAGTCAACATGCTCTGAATAGACGGCAATTTATTGACGTATTCATCGACGGACAACGTCGATCCGAGGAATGTACCGAATTGAACTAAAGTATCTTGACACTGATCAGACAATTTTCCGACCAATTTCAAATGGCTGGTCTTCGCGGTTTCTTTGTACACCACGCAGTAGTTTTGTTGCGCCATCAACAGGCACAGAGCTACGGCTAGATCGTTCTCGGCCATCGCTTCTTTCAGTCGCAACGAGGATTTTTTCGTGTTGCGAATTTGACTAAAGTATCCGGCCTAAAAGGAAATATAAATTTACATTTTTGAATTTTCAAATTTTGTATTTAAGTATTTAAGTAAGTATTTAAGTATATAAGTATTTAAGTATTCTAAAGTATTTACGTGTTTAAGTATTTATGTGTTAAAGTATTTAAGGGTTTAAGTATTTAAGAATAGGAATTTAAAATTGTAAGAATTTAGAAAATGAAGAAATTAAGAATTTAGGAAATGAAGAAATTAATAATTTAGGAATTAAAGAAATTAAGAATTTAAGAATCAAGAATGAAGAATTTTTTAATTTATTTTTCAATTATTTTGCAATTACTTTTCAATTTTTCATTTAATATGCAATTATTTTTCAATAATCATTTTTCAATTATTTGTTCAAATATTGTCCAATAATCATTTTTAAATTGATTCAATTGTTTCAATTATTTTTTAATATTTCAATCATATTTCATTTATTTTTTTATTGTTTTACCAATTTTCAATAATTTTTCAATGGTTTTTCAATTATTTTACTCATTTTTCTATCATGTTTCAATTATATTTCAATATTTTTTCTAACAATTTTTCGATCATATTTTAATTGCTTCTCAATTGTTTTTCAAATGTTTTTTTAATTTTTTTTTAATTAATTAAATTGTTTCAATTATTTTTTAATATTTCAATCATATTTCATTTATTTTTTTAATAATGTTTTATTAATTACATTTCAATTTTTTTCAATGATTTTTCAATAATCATTTTTTTAATTATTTTTCTCATTTTTCAATTATTTTTAAATATTTTTTTAATATTTTTTCGATCATATTTCAATTGTTTTTTAATTGTTTCTCAATTTTCTTTTCAATTGTTAGTGTTTTTTAATTGTTATTTTACTGTTTTTTAATTGTTTTGATTACTTTTCAATTATTTTTACAATTATTTTTCAATTATTTTACACCTTACAGATTTGAGAATTTAAGGATTTAAGAACAAAAATGAAGAATTAAGAATTTTTGAATTTCTGTATTTTTCAATTATTTGTTCAATTTTTTTTCAATAATCATTTTTTAAATTGATTCAATTATGTTTCAATTATTTTTTAATATTTCAATCATATTTCATTTATTTTTTAATGTTTTACCAATTACTTTTCATTTATTTTTTAATGATTTTTCAATTATTTTTCTCATTTTTCAATATTTCAATTATTTTTCAATATTTTTTTTTTTACAATTTTTCGATCATATTTCAATTGTTTTTAAATTGTTTCTCAATTGTTTTTCAAGTGTTATTGTTTTTCAAATGTTTTTTAATTATTTTTAATTACTTTTCAATTATATTCCAAATATTTTTCAATTATTTTTCCAAATATTTTTCAATTATTTTTCAATAATCATATTTCAAGTGATTTTTAAATTATTTTACACTTTACAGATTTAAGAATTTAAAGATTTAAAAATAATTTGAATTTGTGTATTTTTCAATTATTCTTGAATTTATTTTGCAATTATTTTTTAATTTTTCAATTATTATGCAATTATTTTTCAATTATTTGTTCATTTTTTTTTTCAATAATCATTTTTAAATTATTTTTCAAATGATTCAATTATGTTTCAATTATTTTTTAATATTTCAATCCTATTTCATTTATTTTTTAATGTTTTACCAATTTTTTCATTTATTTTTTAATGATTTTTCAATCATATTTCAATTATTTTTCAATATTTTTTTTTTAAACAATTTTTCGATGTTATTTCAATTGTTTCTCCAGTGTTTTTCAATTGTTATTGTTTTTAAAATGTTGTTTTAATTATTTTTTCAATTACTTTTTAATTATTTTTCCGATTATTTTTCAATAATTATATTTTAAGTGATTTTACACGTTCCACATTTTAAATCCATAAAAAAGTGATTCATTCAGTCAATGTTAAGACCTGCAGAAATAAGGGCTAGTTTTTATATTGAATGGCGACTGATTGTGAATCAGTTAATTTATTGTACACATATTCGTTTATTAGATCGACCAATATACCAATTATGACATTGGATATTATTTATAAGTTATGGAACACCAAATTATTCCCGATTGTGACGTCGGGTTATAATTTGATTGTTAATCACATTCCTTATATATGTTTTCTATTACGATATCGAATAATATTCCGATTATGACATTAGATATTTTATCAGTTAGAAAAGTGTGGAAATCAATTAAAAAAACGAATTTATCAAGTATTAAGATTGTCTTGCAGAAAACAGTGTTATAAGTTGCTAAAAGAATAAAATAAACACTATTATAGTATGGGTATCTTTACCATCAGTTTATCATATATAATTATTTGGTACAATACCTCAGATTTAAGTAATTCGCCTCCAGCCAAAGCGTTTAGTTGATCCATCGTCAAATCTTCGGCAGCGTCCACGCCCGCCATTTTCTGAACTACTTCCTTTAAAATTAGCAAATCCAAACTAAAATAAAAATCCAATGATAATAAACAACGTATTTGTTTGAGGAAAGGAAGGTTTGCGTGATTTACCACAGACATTTATTTAGAATAAAGCTTTAACAACAGGGAGTTATAATAGGTGAGTTTGAAGTAGAGTTTTTAGGTAAGTAATGGGCAAATTTTGGATGTCACCGGGGAATTTATAAGAAAGAATTGTAGAAGTTGAATAAAGTTGAGAGAAACAGCAAGAGTCAGAGGAAGAGGCAGAGAAGTGCAGTTAGTGAAAGACGTAGATTAGGAATCAGAAAGAAAGGCAAGGCAGAGGAGAGCAGGAGGCAGAGGAGAGTAGGAGGCAGAGGAGAGCAGAAGGTAGAGGAAAGCAGGGGACAGAGGAGAGTAGGAGGCAGATGAGAGTAGGAGACAGAGGAGAGCAGAACGCAAAGAAGAACAGGATGCAGAAGAAAGCAGGATTAAGAGAGAGAAATAAATAGGAATTGGAACCACCGGGAGAAAGAAGAGGACCGGAAGATTTTTAGTTATTTAAAATATTTTGTAGTCGTATGAGTCGCGAAACTAAAAGCTATGAGATTTTGGAATGATTCGACTTTTCCGGGGTGAAACTATTACAATATCTAAAGGAAAATACATAAAAGAAAAAAAATCAATTTAAATACCAGAGTAAAAATGTCCACCGTTATATAAATACAATCTTAACAGCCGGTTGCAAATTTAGTATTCCGAAAAATTTGACAGATTTAACAAGCGTTTATGCAACCGGGTGTTACAAGTTTTAATTATTAACGAAACAATTTAACTAAGATAAAAACGACTTTCCCAATGGACCGATACGGAAAAATTCGCGGTGGAAAGAGAAAGTAAGTCTGAAAATGAAGGGAAAACCAATATCCATAAGGAACATTTAAAAACCGGATGATTATACTTAAGTCTGTTTGCTTTTTTCCTTTTAAACAAAATTTTTCCCGGAAAATGTTTAGTTTTTGCAGAAAATTTGTCCGAAAAGTCAAAAACAAAGTTGACCCGGTCCGAAAATACTCGTATAAGTCGCGACCCTAAAAGCTTTAGGATATTGAAATGAAACGCCTTTTCCGGGGTGAAACCATTACAATATCTAAAGGAAAATACATAAAACAAAAAAAAATCAATTTAAATACCAGAGTAAAAATGTCAACGGTTATATAAATAAAATCTTAACCTCCGGTTGCAAATTTAGTATCCCGATAAATTTGACAGATTTAACAAGCGTTTACGCAACAGGGTATTACAAGTTTTAATTATTAACAAAACCATTTAACTACGGTGAAAAACTTACCTCTTTTGAGCTTTGAGCTGATTGGCGACGAACTGCAACAACCCCGCCAATTCTATCGTATATTTCTTGTAGACAGCACCGCAAAAGCTCGACAAACTCTGCAACCACGTCGATATCGACGTACTATCGTGCTTGACTCTCTTCTTTTCCGCGTTTGCGAGCGATTCGATGAGACAGAAACCCAAAACGTCGTAGGATAAGTTCGTCAAATATTTCAACGAATCTACGACCGGGTTGATCAAATTGTTGTACACTTGGATTTGCAATAGGACGTAGTCGAATAGAAACCCCGGTGAGCAATGGGTTAGTTTCCCGATCAGTCTACCGACGGGTTTGACGTTTTCTTTACTAACGCGCTTCATTATGTTTTTAATTTGCTTTTCGGAATCGGCTCGTTTCTTTAATAATTCCGGGTACAAAGTGTACGTTTCGTTTTTCCATCTGGAATACAAACAGTACCGGATCTGATACGGGTACAGTTTCAACAGCGTCCAAATCTCTTCGGCTATACAGCAATTGCACTCCAAATAAGCCAAAGACGGTAAAATCGACATGTCTACTAAAGAAATTATGTCGTAATACAAGGAAGTTTCTTTTGGCGGTTGGCTTTTGGCGTTGTCTACTCCGTAAGAGGCGAGCGCAGCTTTGCATAATCGCACGATTTTGCTTAGGAGAACGGTGTCGTAGCGTAGGGAAGAACCCAACATTAGAAGCAACGGTATGGCTGTATCGCGAAGATCGTTGAAATTTTCAGCTTGTGCGGGTGGAACTAAACCTTCGAATGGTGCTACGGGTTTCCTTGGAATTTTCGGTCCTATTATACCGTACCTTAAAGTTATAATTACGGTTAAATCGGGTCTGAAATGTGTATAGTGGGAAAGAAAATTTGTCGGAACAGTCGAAAAATGTGGTGTAACAATTTTTTACCGATTTTCTTCAAGCGAAGAAAATATCTTCTTTTAAACAAGATATTTCCCGGAAATTTTTTTGTTTTTCCGGTAAATTTGTCCGAAATGTCAAAAATATACTCTATCTCCTCTTTTAAACAAGAATTTTCCCGGAAAATTTTTAGTTTTTCCGGGAGATTTGTCCAAAAAGTCAAAAACAAAGTTGGTACTATTCGAAAATGCGCGAAACCCACTTTCCCAAAAGAAAATGTATGGAAATTTTCCGCAACGTATGAAATAGCGGTCAAAGAGAAATTTGGTGCCGCCGGATAATGTATAAAAACGACTTTCCCAAAGGACCGAAATGGAAAAATTTACGGAACGAGAAAATGCAGGGAAAACCATTATCCCAAATGAAAATTTAAAAACCGCATGATTATACTTATGGTTTTTTGTTCTATTTTATTTTAAACGAAATTTTTCCCGGAAAATGTTTAGTTTTTCCAGAAAATTTGTCCAAAAAGTCGAAAACAAAATTGATCCGGTATGAAAATGTGCGGAAACTCACTTTCCCTAAAGAAAATGTGGACATTTTTCGCTACGGATTAATTCGCGGTTAAAGAGCAAGTTAGTGCCGCCGGAAAATAAATAAAAAAACGACTACCAAAGGATCGAAACGGAAAAATTCGCGGTAAAAAGAGAAAGTAAGTCTGAAAATGTGGGGAAAACCATTATCCCAAAGAAAAATATAAAAACCGGATGATTATACTTAAGGTTTTTTGCTCTATTTCCTTTTAAACAAAAATTTTCCCGGCAAAGTTGTACGAAAAGTCAAAAACAAAGTTAATCCGGTATGAAAATGTGCAAAAACTCACTTTCCTAAAAGAAAATGAATGGATTTTTGGGAACGGATAAAAATCGCTGTCAAAGAGAAAGTTAATGCCGCCGGAAAATGTATGAATAACGTCTTTCCCAAAGGACCGAAACGGGAAAGTTCGCGGTGGAAAGAGAATGTGGAAATTTTCCGCAACAGATTAATTCGTGGTCAAAGAGGAAGTTAGTGCCGCCGGAAAATGTATGAAAAACGACTATCCCAAAGGGCCGAAACGGGAAAATTCGAAAAGGGAAATTTAAAAACCGGATGATTTTACTTTAGTTTGTTTGCTTTTCTTCCTTTTAAACAAAATTTTTCCCGGAAAATGTTTAGTTTTTCAGGAAAATTTGTCTGTAAAGTCAAAAACAAAGTTGATCCGGTCCGAAAATGTACGAAAATTCTCAGTCAAAGAGAAAGGGCCGCCGGAAAATGTAGAAAAAAACGACATCACAAAGAAAAATTTAAATATCGAATGATTCTACTAAAGTTTTTTATCTCTCTAATATTTTTCCCGTAAAAACGTTTGACCTTAATTTTCCCGTGAAATGTGTTTGAGGTAACGGAAAAATGTCCTTATCAGATCATCAAGAAACGAATTTTCAATTTTGTCGGAAAAGACGAAAAATTAGATGAAACAATTTTATTTTCGAATTTCTTCAAGCTAAAGAAAATTTTCCGAAACAGTTAAAGCGGCTGCCGAAAAAACAAAATTGGTTCGACCGGAAAATGCGGGGAACACTATTTTTCGAAACAAAATTTAAGGAATTTCCCGAAAAAGGATAAATACGCGTTTTTTAAGCAAATTTTTACCGGAAAACCAATAGATCCTAATTTTTCGGAGGAATTATTACCAAACTTAATTTTTCCGGAAAATTTGCCGACAAAGTAGTTTTTTTCGATTTCCTGAAACGGATAAAGTTGCTGTCGAAACAAAAGAGTTGATCAGCCAGGAAAATACATGGAAAACAACTTTCCGGAAAGAAATTTTCCTTTTAAGCAATATTTTTGCGGAAAATCGTTCGATCCTAATTGTTCTGAGCATTGTTTGAGGTAACGGGAAAATTTTCATGTCTTATTAAGAATGTCGAGTAATATACGCCAATTTTTAGTTTTTTCTTTTTTTTTTTTAAAATTTCCGGAAAAGTAGAAAAATTAGTTAAAACAATTTTTTTTCGATTTCCTAAAACGAATAAAGCTGCTGTCGAGAAATAAAGTTTATTCTGCCGGAAAATGCGTAAAAAACCAGTTCCGCGAAAGAAAATCTCCGTTTAAGATTTTTCCCGTAAACAGTTTCTAACCTTAATTTTCCTGAAAAGTTTGTTTGGTATAACGGGAAAATTTCCATGTCAAGCTGTCAAGAATGTCGAATAGTATAAGCGAATTTTTAGTTTTACCGGAAAATTTGTCGGAAATTTAACATTTTCCGACGTCATTCTACAGAGACAATTTCAATGTATCGGAAGTAGTGAAATTCAATGGGTTATATTTGGTTCTTCTCACTATAAATAGGTTGAAAAATTTGTTAATTAACAAAATATAATTAAGCAAAATAATTTTTATTTTATCACAAATTCCAACCTAATAAAGATGGCGGTTCACTATAATAGATCTTTATAGGTTAGGTCCTTATCTCCTTATACTCTAAATCTGTGGGTAACGAACAAGTAGATGTAGTCACAACATAAATTTTAACACAAAATTACCGGCTTTATTCCCACAAAAATTTAGTAAATTAATTCAAAAACATATTTTAATTAATTTCTGTAAAAAATATATATTTCGGCGATATAATAAACTATCCGGCAATTTTTTACAAATATCTTTAATAATAGCGAATATTTTCGATTATGAGATCGAACAATATACCAATTATGATATCGTATACACATAAAAAGAAAATAACAAGAAAATTCTTACCTGCTGTATAAAGGTTCGATGATATAATGCAAGAGCCTACATAAAGCGTTAGCAATAGGCTCATAACCAACGGCATACCTTTCCGGTAACCTCTTAATAAGAATTTGCGCATTTTCCATATCGCCGATCAACAATAAAGCCTCACAAAGTCCCAATTTTTGATTACCCTCGTATTCCACGCTTTCCACGTCAGATTCGTCCGGTACATCTTCCTTTTCTTTATTATTTATGCTAATTATTTGAAGTTTACGAACGTATTCTTTGGCATCTTTCATATGTTTGTCTACTTCTTTGATTATGACTTTGTCTTCAGGTAGTAACTAATTAAAAAAATAAAATGTTGATATTTTCATTCATTAAAACCTTGAAATTGCCGAATGTATTACGTTCAATAACCCAGTACATTATTGTAAATAACTCACCCAATAATAAATATCATCCAATTCGATAATTTTATGTTGCAAAAGTTGCGCCGTGAGAACGTACAAAGATTGCGGAACGTCTTGTTCGCTGTTTCTCAGAAATCCGAATTTCGTCGACAACACTTCGCTTATTATTCGGGGATCGTTCATATAATTATTGATGAGAGAAACGAATATCTTCGCATCTCTCGGCTTGGTTTCGAAACTTTCTAATATTACGTCGAGCACCCTGTTGGGATCTAAGTTAAAACAACCTAAAAATGGCGGAAAATTAATTTCTCAAAGACTTAAATTATTTTAAAAGTAAAGGTTTGGAAATAAAATGTGTTCATTATCGAACACACGATAGAATTAAAACTTCTTAGACGAATTTACTTTATTTTATTTATTTTTACAATATATCTTTATTAGTTTCCCAAAAGATTATCGACTTAAGTATTTCTGTCACTTTAATTTATTTGATTTTAATTTATTTCAATTTGTTTTAATTTATTTCAATTTATTTCAATTTGTTTTAATTTATTTCAATTTGTTTCAATTTATTTCAATTTATTTCAATTTATTTCAATTTATTTCAATTTATTTCAATTTATTTCCAATTTATTTCCAATTTATTTCAATTTATTTCAATTTATTTCAATTTATTTCAATTTATTTCAATTTATTTCAATTTATTTCAATTTATTTCAATTTATTTCAATTTATTTCAATTTATTTCAATTTATTTCAATTTATTTCAATTTATTTCAATTTATTTCAATTTATTTCAATTTATTTCAATTTATTTCAATTTATTTCAATTTATTTCAATTTATTTCAATTTATTTCAATTTATTTCAATTTATTTCAATTTATTTCAATTTATTATTTCATTTTAACTTAAATTTATTTTAATTTGATTTATTTATTTACTTTAAATTTGTTTTAATTTAAATTTATTTTAATTTGATTTATTTATTTATTTTAAATTTGTTTTAATTTAAATTGATTTTAATTTATTCTTATTTGTTTTTATTTATTTTTACCTTACATTTTTATTAATTTTTGACTAGTTATTCACTTTTCTTCACTTTAGAAAACAAAAGAAATAGTTTTTTTTTAAATATTTCCATGATTGTGTTCATAGTCTCTTAAGATTGAATATTAAATAAATTTACCTATTAATGATTGAACTATTCCTATCAATTCTTTTGAGTCGGTATTTTCATTAAACTCGGTATTGAGTTCTGCGACCAGTTTGGAAAATCCTTCACATTCTTCTCTAAATAAATTAAATTTTCGCTGTTTATAGCTAAAAGTAAATAAAATATATCAATATGTTGTTAATTATAATAACTTAGGTAATTTTATAAAAAAAATACAAAGCAGGCTCTCAAAAAGTTTGCGTTATTAAGAAAATTCTTTTTTATAAAGAATGAATCATAAAAATATATGGAAAATTTGATAAAAAATTAAATCAGATTTTAAAAAAAGAATTATATAAAAAAGAAGTATATTAAAAAGAGAAAAAAAAAATATATTAAAAATGGAAAAAAGCATTTTAAAATTTGAAAAAAAAAAAAATTAAAAATGGAAAAAAGTATAATAAAAATCGAAAAAAGCATATTAAAAAAATATATAATAGAACTGGAAAACAAGGATATTAAAAATAGAAAAAAAGTATTTTAAAAATTGAAAAAAATATTAAAAATGAAAAAAATTATATTAAAAATGGAAAAAAGCATTTTAAAAATTGAAAAAGAAAATTAAAAATGGAAAAAAGTATAATAAAAAATCGAAAAAAACATTAAAAATTAAAAAATATATATAATAAAAATGAAAAAAAGTATATTAAAAATAGAAAAGAGCATTTTAAAAATTAAAAAAAAAAATTAAAAATGAAAAAAGTATAATAAAAATAAAAAAATATATTAAAAATAGAAAAAAGCATATTAAAAATTAAAAAATATATAATAAAATTGGAAAACAAGGATATTAAAAATAGAAAAAGTATTTTAAAAATTGAAAAGAAATATTAAAAATGAAAACAAGAAATATTAAAAATGAAAAAAAAAAAAATAAATTAAAAATGGAAAAAAGCATTTTAAAAATTGAAAAAAAAAATTAAATGGAAAAAAGTATAATAAAAATCGAAAAAAGCATTTAAAATTTAAAAAAATATATAATAAAGCTGGAAAACAAGAATATTAAAAAATAGAAAAAAGTATTTTAAAAATTGAAAAGAAATATTAAAAATAAAAACAAGATATATAATATATAAAATGAAAAAAAGTATATTAAAAATAGAAAAAAGCATTTTAAAAATTGAAAAAAAAAAATTAAAAATGGAAAAAAGTATAATAAAAATCGAAAAAAGCATACTTATTAAAATAAAAAAGTATATTAAAAAATTGAAAAGAAATATTAAAAATGAAAACAAGAAATATTACAAATAAAAAAAAATAAAAAAAAAGCATATTAAAAATAGAAAAAGCATTTTAAAAATTGAACAAAAATTTCTTAAAAATGGAAAAAAAGTATATTAAAAATCGAAAAAAGCATATTAAAAATAGAAAAAGTATATTAAAAAAAAAGAGGAAAAATTGGAAAAAATACTTAAAAAATAGAAAAAAATATATTAAAAATAGAAAAAAGTATATTAAAAATATGAAAAAGTATATTAAAGAGATTCACTTTTTAAAAACATTAAAAAACGGTATTACCATTTGGCTTTTTATAATATACTGTATCTTAAAAAGTTTACATTATATGGAAAAAAATTTTTTTTATAAAGAATGAATCATAAAAACTTATAAAATATATAAAAACCACCATTGTTTTTTATACAGGGTGTGTCAAAAAGTTTGCAATATATGGAAAACTTTTTTATCATTAAATTTTGAGAAAAAAATTATTGATAAAAGTTGGTGCTACAATTAAAATATTAAATAAATACCATGTACGAGGGAAATAAAAAAAAATATGAATTTGGTTGAAGAATAAAATGCTTATTTTAAAAAATATAGAGAAATGTTATTTGAAAAACTTGTTTAGAAATAATATTTATGACCAAATCTCTAATTAGATAGATCAATTTTAAAAATTAAAAACTTTAGATATTTTTAAAATTGTTAAAAACCTCTTCAGAACTTTCTTAATAAAAAGTATGTAGATAGGAATCCAAATTAACGTGTATAGCGTGTTAGCATACATCAAAACTTATATTTAAAACTTATGCAACAAAAGTAGTCATTTGTATGCCAATTATATAGCACAAGAACGATTTTAACACATTCCACAACAATGAAATGTTTTTAATGTTTCGTGCATCAAGTATTCTCTGCTGGATCCAACTGACAGTGCTGTTTCTAAAGTGGCACTGGGAAATAGCAATTTACTTCAAATTTATAGGTTTTCAAACAATTTAAGAAACAATATTTGGGCCCTTTACCCTTGTTAATGCTAAAAAATATTTGGGCCCTTTACCCCTTAAGCCTGTCCATGTAAAAATATTTAAGCCATTTATCCCTTAAGCCTGTCCATGTAAAAATATTTGAACCCATTATTCTTGCTAATCCAAAAAATATTTGGGCCCTTTACCCCTTAATCCTGTCCATGTAAAAATATTTAAGCCATTTATCCCTTAAGCCTGTCCATGTAAAAATATTTGAACCCAATATTCTTGCTAATCCAAAAAATATTTGGGCCCTTTACCCCTTAAGCCTGTCCATGTAAAAATATTTAAGCCATTTATCCCTTAAGCCTGTCCATGTAAAAATATTTGAACCCATTATTCTTGGTAAGCCAAAAAAATATTTGGACCCTTTACCCCTTAAGCCTACCCATGTAAAAATATTTCGCCCCTTTATCCGTTACGCCTATCCATGTAAAAATATTTGAACCCTTTATCCTTGCTAATGCAAAAAAAATATTAAGCCTGTCCATGTAAAAATATTTAAGCCATTTATCCCTTAAGCCTGTCCATGTAAAAATATTTGAACCCATTATTCTTGGTAAGCCAAAACAATATTTGGACCCTTTACCCCTTAAGCCTACCCATGTAAAAATATTTCGCCCCTTTATCCGTTACGCCTATCCATGTAAAAATATTTGAACCCTTTATCCTTGCTAATGCAAAAAAAAAAATTTGGGCCTTTTACCCCTTAAGCCTGTCCATGTAAAAATATTTAAGCCATTTATCCCTTAAGCCTGTCCATGTAAAAATATTTGAACCCATTATTCTTGGTAAGCCAAAACAATATTTGGACCCTTTACCCCTTAAGCCTACCCATGTAAAAATATTTCGCCCCTTTATCCGTTACGCCTATCCATGTAAAAATATTTGAACCCTTTATCCTTGCTAATGCAAAAAAAAAAAAATTTGGGCCTTTTACCCCTTAAGCCTGTCCATGTAAAAATATTTAAGCCATTTATCCCTTAAGCCTGTCCATGTAAAAATATTTGAACCCATTATTCTTGGTAAGCCAAAAAAATATTTGGGCCCTTTACCCCTTAAGCCTACCCATGTAAAAATATTTCGCCCCTTTATCCGTTACGCCTATCCATGTAAAAATATTTGAACCCTTTATCCTTGCTAATGCAAAAAAAAAAAATTTGGGCCTTTTACCCCTTAAGCCTGTCCATGTAAAAATATTTAAGCCATTTATCCCTTAAGCCTGTCCATGTAAAAATATTTGAACCCATTATTCTTGGTAAGCCAAAAAAATATTTGGGCCCTTTACCCCTTAAGCCTACCCATGTAAAAATATTTCGCCCCTTTATCCGTTACGCCTATCCATGTAAAAATATTTGAACCCTTTATCCTTGCTAATGCAAAAAAAAAATTTGGGCCTTTTACCCCTTAAGCCTGTCCATGTAAAAATATTTAAGCCATTTATCCCTTAAGCCTGTCCATGTAAAAATATTTGAACCCATTATTCTTGGTAAGCCAAAAAAATATTTGGGCCCTTTACCCCTTAAGCCTACCCATGTAAAAATATTTCGCCCCTTTATCCGTTACGCCTATCCATGTAAAAATATTTGAACCCTTTATCCTTGCTAATGCAAAAAAAAAAAATTTGGGCCTTTTACCCCTTAAGCCTGTCCATGTAAAAATATTTAAGCCATTTATCCCTTAAGCCTGTCCATGTAAATATATTTGAACCCATTATTCTTGGTAAGCCAAAAAAATATTTGGGCCCTTTACCCCTTAAGCCTACCCATGTAAAAATATTTCGCCCCTTTATCCGTTACGCCTATCCATGTAAAAATATTTGAACCCTTTATCCTTGCTAATGCAAAAAAAAAATTTGGGCCTTTTACCCCTTAAGCCTGTCCATGTAAAAATATTTAAGCCATTTATCCCTTAAGCCTGTCCATGTAAAAATATTTGAACCCATTATTCTTGGTAAGCCAAAAAAATATTTGGGCCCTTTACCCCTTAAGCCTACCCATGTAAAAATATTTCGCCCCTTTATCCGTTACGCCTATCCATGTAAAAATATTTGAACCCTTTATCCTTGCTAATGCAAAAAAAAAATTTGGGCCCCTTATCCCTTAAGCCTGTCCATGAAAAATATTTCGCCTCTTTATCACTTAGGCCTGCTCATGTAAAAAAATTTGAACATTTTATCCTTGATAATGCAAAAAAAATATTTGGGCCCCTTACCCCTTTAGTCTGTCCATGTAAAAATATGTAAGCCATTTGTCCCTTAAGCCTGCCCATGAAAAAATATTTGAATCCTTTATACTTGCTAATGCAAAAAATATTTGGGCCCTTTACCCCTTAAGCCTGTCCATGTAAAAATATTTAAGCCATTTATCCCTTAAGCCTGTCCATGTAAAAATATTTGAACCCATTATTCTTGCTAATCCAAAAAATATTTGGGCCCTTTACGCCTTAAGCCTGTCCATGTAAAAATATTTAAGCCATTTATCCCTTAAGCCTGTCCATGTAAAAATATTTGAACCCATTATTCTTGGTAAGCCAAAAAAATATTTGGACCCTTTACCCCTTAAGCCTACCCATGTAAAAATATTTCGCCCCTTTATCCGTTACGCCTATCCATGTAAAAATATTTGAACCCTTTATCCTTGCTAATGCAAAAAAAATATTTGGGCCCTTTACCCCTTAAGCCTGTCCATGTAAAAATATTTAAGCCATTTATCCCTTAAGCCTGTCCATGTAAAAATATTTGAACCCATTATTCTTGGTAAGCCAAAAAAATATTTGGGCCCTTTACCCCTTAAGCCTACCCATGTAAAAATATTTCGCCCCTTTATCCGTTACGCCTATCCATGTAAAAATATTTGAACCCTTTATCCTTGCTAATGCAAAAAAAAAATTTGGGCCCCTTATCCCTTAAGCCTGTCCATGAAAAATATTTCGCCTCTTTATCACTTAGGCCTGCTCATGTAAAAAAATTTGAACCCTTTATCCTTGATAATGCAAAAAAAATATTTGGGCCCCTTACCCCTTTAGTCTGTCCATGTAAAAATATGTAAGCCATTTGTCCCTTAAGCCTGCCCATGAAAAAATATTTGAATCCTTTATACTTGCTAATGCAAAAAATATTTGGGCCCTTTACCCCTTAAGCCTGTCCATGTAAAAATATTTAAGCCATTTATCCCTTAAGCCTGTCCATGTAAAAATATTTGAACCCATTATTCTTGCTAATCCAAAAAATATTTGGGCCCTTTACGCCTTAAGCCTGTCCATGTAAAAATATTTAAGCCATTTATCCCTTAAGCCTGTCCATGTAAAAATATTTGAACCCATTATTCTTGGTAAGCCAAAAAAATATTTGGACCCTTTACCCCTTAAGCCTACCCATGTAAAAATATTTCGCCCCTTTATCCGTTACGCCTATCCATGTAAAAATATTTGAACCCTTTATCCTTGCTAATGCAAAAAAAAAAAATTTGGGCCCTTTACCCCTTAAGCCTGTCCATGTAAAAATATTTAAGCCATTTATCCCTTAAGCCTGTCCATGTAAAAATATTTGAACCCATTATTCTTGGTAAGCCAAAAAAATATTTGGGCCCTTTACCCCTTAAGCCTACCCATGTAAAAATATTTCGCCCCTTTATCCGTTACGCCTATCCATGTAAAAATATTTGAACCCTTTATCCTTGCTAATGCAAAAAAAAAATTTGGGCCTTTTACCCCTTAAGCCTGTCCATGTAAAAATATTTAAGCCATTTATCCCTTAAGCCTGTCCATGTAAAAATATTTGAACCCATTATTCTTGGTAAGCCAAAAAAATATTTGGGCCCTTTACCCCTTAAGCCTACCCATGTAAAAATATTTCGCCCCTTTATCCGTTACGCCTATCCATGTAAAAATATTTGAACCCTTTATCCTTGCTAATGCAAAAAAAAAATTTGGGCCTTTTACCCCTTAAGCCTGTCCATGTAAAAATATTTAAGCCATTTATCCCTTAAGCCTGTCCATGTAAAAATATTTGAACCCATTATTCTTGGTAAGCCAAAAAAATATTTGGGCCCTTTACCCCTTAAGCCTACCCATGTAAAAATATTTCGCCCCTTTATCCGTTACGCCTATCCATGTAAAAATATTTGAACCCTTTATCCTTGCTAATGCAAAAAAAAAATTTGGGCCCCTTATCCCTTAAGCCTGTCCATGAAAAATATTTCGCCTCTTTATCACTTAGGCCTGCTCATGTAAAAAAATTTGAACCCTTTATCCTTGATAATGCAAAAAAAATATTTGGGCCCCTTACCCCTTTAGTCTGTCCATGTAAAAATATGTAAGCCATTTGTCCCTTAAGCCTGCCCATGAAAAAATATTTGAATCCTTTATACTTGCTAATGCAAAAAATATTTGGGCCCTTTACCCCTTAAGCCTGTCCATGTAAAAATATTTAAGCCATTTATCCCTTAAGCCTGTCCATGTAAAAATATTTGAACCCATTATTCTTGCTAATCCAAAAAATATTTGGGCCCTTTACGCCTTAAGCCTGTCCATGTAAAAATATTTAAGCCATTTATCCCTTAAGCCTGTCCATGTAAAAATATTTGAACCCATTATTCTTGGTAAGCCAAAAAAATATTTGGACCCTTTACCCCTTAAGCCTACCCATGTAAAAATATTTCGCCCCTTTATCCGTTACGCCTATCCATGTAAAAATATTTGAACCCTTTATCCTTGCTAATGCAAAAAAAATATTTGGGCCCTTTACCCCTTAAGCCTGTCCATGTAAAAATATTTAAGCCATTTATCCCTTAAGCCTGTCCATGTAAAAATATTTGAACCCATTATTCTTGGTAAGCCAAAAAAATATTTGGGCCCTTTACCCCTTAAGCCTACCCATGTAAAAATATTTCGCCCCTTTATCCGTTACGCCTATCCATGTAAAAATATTTGAACCCTTTATCCTTGCTAATGCAAAAAAAAAATTTGGGCCCCTTATCCCTTAAGCCTGTCCATGAAAAATATTTCGCCTCTTTATCACTTAGGCCTGCTCATGTAAAAAAATTTGAACCCTTTATCCTTGATAATGCAAAAAAAATATTTGGGCCCCTTACCCCTTTAGTCTGTCCATGTAAACATATGTAAGCCATTTGACCCTTAAGCCTGCCCATGAAAAAATATTTGAATCCTTTATACTTGCTAATGCAAAAATATTTGGGCCCTTTATCCCTTAAGCCTACCCATGTAAAAATATTTCAAGTCTTTATCCCTTAGGCCTGCTCATGTAAAAATATGTAAACCCTTCATCTTTGCTAATGCAAAAAAAATATTTGGGCCCCTTACCACTTAAGCCGGTCCATGTAAAAATATTTAAGTCATTTGTCTCTTAAACGTGCCCATGTAAAAATATTTGGACACTTTATTCTTGTTCCTGCAATAAATATTTGGGCCCTTTACCCCTTAAGCCTATCCATGTAAAAATAGTTAGCTCCTCAATCGCTTAAGCCTGCCCATGAAAAAATATTTGAACCTTTTATACTTGCTTATGCGAAAAATATTTGGACCCTTTACCCCTTAAGCCTACCCATATAAAAATATTTGATCTTTTTATCCCTTAAGCCTGCCCATGTAAAAATATTTGAACCCTTTATCCCTGCTAACGCAAAAAAATATTTAGCCATTTACTCCTTAAGCCTACCCATGTAAAAATATTTGGTCTCTTTCTCCCTTCAGCCTGCCCATGTAAAAATATTTGAACCCTTTACTCTTGCTAATGTAAAAAAATATTTAGGCTCTCTACCCTTAGTCAGCCCATGTACAAAATTTGAGTCGTTTACCCTTTAAATCTATTTAAAAATATTTAGTCCCTTTACTCCTTAAGCCTATCCATGTAAAAATATTTGGCCCCTTTATTCATTATTCCTACCCATATAAAAATATTTGAGCCCTCTGCTCCTAAACATTTGGATCCTTAACATTGCTCATATAAAAAATATTCGGACCCTTTACCCCACCCATTAAAAATATTTGAAGTCTATTTTAAAATATTTATTTCCTTTACTCCTTAATCCTGTCCATGTAAAAATATTTGGCACCTATGAATTTTTATTATTGCTAAACACTTAACAAAAAATTCTACAAACTTTTTTTTAATAATTAAAATTAATAAAGTCTAGCATATTTATATCAATAATTTAAATTATCTTTAATGTAATGGGAAAAATAAAAACATTCAATAAAATGTTAATCACCGACGATAATTTGATTTTTGTTTTTATGAATTTTAATTAATAATTCAATAATTCGTTAAATTATTACATAAAAAAAAATATTAAAATATACTTACTATAATTTAGTTTTAACTTTGATAAACTTGGAATAAAATGTATTATTTTTAAGCACCCCTACTTCCTGTAAAGTATCTATTTCTAATCTCTCTTTCAACAGTTTATCTGATAAAAACTGAAAAAAAAAAAAACAAATTAAATTAATTAACATTTCATATTTTTATTCACATTTTTTTTTAATATTACCTTTTCACAATCCTTAACAATTGCACAAAAATTACTTCTGTCTTTAACTTCATCATTATCCACTTGTGAAGTTATCGCATCCGCCAGATTCAACACGTCTAAAATTATTGACGGAACATCCGGATGTAGTGCCTGAAAATATATTTTTTTTAACATTCTTCTCTTATCTATGGTGTGCCATTTTGGTATTTAATAACATCGTTTAAAAATCAAGAAAAAAAAATTATCTTTCGTTCAAAAATTTTAATTCCGTAATTATTCTGTCAAAGAATTAAAAATACGTATTTCCATTATGAAAAACATAATAGAAATTGCCGATTTATTATTATAAAATACATAGGTAATAGAAATTATTATTTGTAGGTAACCCTTTCTATTATGTTTTTCATAATGGGAATACGTTTTTCATTTTTATGAAGCCCATAATAGAAATTCAAGAATTAAAAAATTATGATAGACATTATAGAAATTCAATTTCCATGTTTATTCACGGTTAATCATTGATTTGACTGAAATATGCACTATTTGTAATAAAAAACAATAAAAAAATTAATGGTTCCTACTTATAGAACAAGAAACTCAATTTTTAGCACTAGTAACTCAGGAAATTTGTTGTTTTTGTTTATGGCAACTCAGAAACAATATTTCTTTCTTTAAGCAACTCAGAAAAAAAATCACATAGTAACTCAGAAAAAAATCACATAGTAACTCAGAAAATTAGATATTTCCGACTTGTAACTCAAAAAAATTTTCTCTTCCTTGTGTCGCAAAAAAATTGATGGTTCCGACTTATAGCTCAGAAAAATCGATTTTCCTTACTAGCAACTCAACAGTTTTATTCGAATAGTAATTCAAAAAAATTGATTTTTCCCTACGCTAATTCATAAAATAGATGTTTGTGTAGCAACTCAGAAAAATTGTTTTTCCACATATCAACTCCGGCTTGTAACCTAGATAAATTTAATTTTGTCTGTCTTGTGTGATTTTTCCTGCTAGCAACTAATTTTTTTTACCAATGGTAACTCTGAAAAATTAATTTTTTCCCTATGGTAATTCAAAAAAAAATTATGGTTTCTACTCACAGCACAGAAAAAAACAATTTTTATGATTGTAAATCAGGAAATTTGTTGTTTCTGTTTATAGCAACTCGAAAAACATTTTTTTTGTGTATCAACTCAGAAAAATAGTTTTTTCCACATATCAACTCAGAAAAATAAATATTTCCGACTTGTAACTTATATAAATTAAATTTTGTCTGCCTTGTCTCTCAGAAAAATTGATTTTTCATGCTAGCAACTCAGAAAAAAATTTTTACGAATGGTAACTCTGAAAAATTAATTTTTTCCCCTGTGACTCAAAAAAAAAGGATTATTCCGCCTTGTGATACAGAAAAATTGATAATTTTAATTCAGAGCTCAGAAAATCGACTTTTCCGACTAGCAAACCGAAAAATTAACTTTTTTACTCAAACAAGTTGATGATTCCTACTTATAGTAAAGAAAAATCAATTTTTACCAATAGTAACTTGGAAAAAATTGTTTTTTTTTATAGCTACTCAGAAAAAACTACATAGTAGCTTAGAAAAATAGATATTTCCGACTTGTAACTCAGATAAAACAAATTTTGTCTGCCTTATGTATCAAAAAAATTGATGATTCCAACTTATAGCTCAGCAAAATTGATTTTCACTCCTAGTAAATCAGAAAAGTTTTTCTTTTCAAATAGTAACTCAGAAAAATTGTTTTTTTTTTTCACATAATAACTTAAGAAAACAATTGATTGTTTTCCCCATAACAACTTAGAAAAATTGTTTTTCCCCATAGTAACAGAGAAAAAAAATTCATATAGTAATGTAGAAAAATTTACGGTTCCGACTTCTAGCTCAGAAAAATCGATTTTCCTGCTAGCAACTCAGAATTTTTTTTTTCGAATGGTAACTCTTAAAATTTGATTTTCTCTACGGTAATTCAGAAAATAGATATTTTCGACCAGCGACTCAAAAAAAGGACTTTTCCATCTTGTGATTCAGAAAAATTAAAGATTTCGACTTAGAGCTCAGAAAATCGACTAAGAAATTGACAAATTGACTTATTTACGGCATGTAACTCAAAAAAAAAACATAGTTCCTACTCACAGCACAGAAAAATCAATTTTTACGACTAGTAACTCAGGAAATTTGTTTTTTTTTGTTCATAGGAACTCGGAAAAAATTTTTTGTGTAGCAAATTAGAAAAATAGATATTTCCAACTTGTAATTTAGATAAATTAAATTTTGTTTTCCTTGTGGTAATTCAAAAATAGACATTTTCGGCCTGCGAATCAAAAAAATATTTTTTCGCCTTGTGATTAGAAAAATTGATGATTTCGACTTAGAGCTCAGAAAATCGACTGAAAAAATTACTTATTTACGGCTTGTAACTCAGAAAAATAGATATTTTCGACCTGTAACTCAGATAAAATAAATTTTGTCTGCATTGTGTTCAAAAAAAAATTGATGGTTACGACTTATAACTCAGAAAAATCAATTTTCCCTGCTAGTAATTTAAAAATTGACAATGTTTACGGCTTGCAACTCAAAAAAATTGATGATTTCTACTTATAGCAGAGGAAAATCAATTTTTACCGTTATTAACTCAGGAAATTTGTTGTTTTTGTTCATAGCAATTCAGAAAAATTTAATTTTTCTCCATAATAACTCAGCAAAATTGTATTTTTGTTCACATAGTAACTCAGAAAAATTGTAATTCAGTAATTCAGAAAATCTATATTTTTTGGCATGTAACTAAAAAAAAGAATTTTTCCACCTTGTTATTCAGAAAAATTGATTATTTCCACTTAGAGCTCAGAAAATCGACTTTTTTACAGATTAACTCGAAAAAAAAAATTAATGATTCCTACTTATAGTACAGAAAAATCAATTTTTACGACTAATAACTCTGAAGTTTTTTTATAGCAACTCGGAAAAAAATTTACATAGTAACTCAGAAAAATGGATATTTTCGACCTATAAACTCAAATAAAAATAAATTTTGTGTCTCAAAAAAATTGATGGTTCTGACTTATAGCTCAGTAAAATTGATTTTCCCTGCTAGTAAATCAAAGTTTTTTTCAAATAGTAACTCAGAAAATTTGATTTTTTTTTCACACGGTTATTCAGAATATAGATATTTTCGGCGGCCTTGTGATCAGAAAAAGTGGTGATTTCGACTTAGAGCTCAGAAAATAGACTTTTTCGACTAGCAAACCAAAAAATTGACTTTTTTACGACTAGTAACTGAAACAATTTGATGGTTTCTACTTAGAGCACAAAAAAATCAATGTTTACCACTACTAACTCAGAAAAATTGTTTTTTTTTATATATATAGCAACTCAGAAGAAAATTGATTTTTTCTACATAGCAACTAAGAAAAATAGTTTTTCGCCATAGCAATACAGAAAAAAATCACAAAACGCAGAAAAATAGACGAAAAATTGATGAAAAATTGATGATTCCGACTTACTCCTCAGAAAAATCGATTTTTTCTACTAGCAACTCGTTTTTTAATGATTGATTTTCCCCATTGTAATTTAGAAAATAGATTTTTTCGGCCTGTGACTAAAAAAAAGATTTTTCGCCTTAGATTCAAAAAAAAATGATGAGCCCACAAAATCGACTATCAAACTGAAAAATTTACTTATTTACGGTTGGTAACTCAAAAAAAAGTTATACTCATATCACAGAAAAATCCAATATTTACGACTTGTAACTCAGGAAATTTGTTGTTTTTGTTCATAGCAACTCAGAAAAAAAATTGATTCGTAGCAACACAGAAAAATTGTTTTTTCCACTTATCAACTCAGAAAAATAGATATTTTCGACCTGTAACTCAGATAAAATCAATTTTTTATGTCTTGTGTCTCAGAAAAATTGATGGTTCCGACTATAGTAACTCAGAAAAGTTTTTTTTTTTCGAATAGTAACTGTCGGTAATTCAAAAATAGATATTCTCGGCCTGCGAAGTTTTATTTTATTAATTTTCACCTACCAGTAACTCAGGAAATTTGTTGTTTTGTTCATAGCAACTCAGAAAATTTGTAGATTCCCAATTTTTGTAATTTTATAACCACTGAACACTGATTTTCATAGTAATATAAATAGTCTGATCATTGTACTTATAAATAAAATTGAGGGATTTCAATTTTAACAAAAATATTTTATCAAAAGTACTTACAACTAATTCACGAAGCGCCACGGCAATTTGGTCCGTTTTAATCACCCCTTTTATTCCTTTATCTATTAATTCATTTATATAGGATATAATATTTGTAGGTTTCTCAGCTTTGTCGAATACAGGAGTCCTGGATTGGTCTTTTAAAAATGGAATACAAACTTTCACGCTGCAAAAAAAAGAAAATAATAGTTCCAATTCTATAATGAGTGTCTTTTATTAATTTTTCTACGACCACATAGAAAAGTTATCCATATCACATGGTTTATTCTTATCTAAAATGACTTATATCATACACATATATTTTTTAATATGTTTATTGTTATAACTTGTTTATATTTTTTATGTACCTTCTTTTGTCTTGCTATAAATATCGTAATTCAAATTTAAAATAGTCAAATATATCTATCGATCTATCACGTAGATGAGAATCTACTCTACACCTATGTATAAATAAATAGGTTTTTACTTTCCGAATCTTCTGTCAAAACTGTATTGAAGAAATATATAATCCTAATATAAATACAAGTAAATAAAAATGTTAAATTGCTCTATTAGTGTATCATCTGCAAATAAATTAATAAAATCACAATCAAAAAACAGATTTAAATCATTTAGATATACAACAAAAAGAGGTCATAGAGCACTTCCCTGAGGCACACCGACATCAAGAGGAAGAACAGTTTCATACTGATCTTGCACCGTTTCACCAATAACTGTTATGCTTTTCATATTGTAATTTTATTTTTGAAAATTGGTGGATAAAGTTTATTTATCATTATGATTATTCTGGATTCAGATAACACCACGAACATTTTACCTTTCTTTCAAATAGATAACCAGACATAAATGTTACTATCAATACCATATCCTTTCAATTTAGTCAGTTGTATATTATTTATACCAATAGTTACGAGATCTCTTTAAATTAAAAAATCTGATGTGTCCAACACATGACTTTTTCCGGTTATTTTGTACAACCTATTGCAGCATCTCTATAAATGTTTAGAGGATAAACTAAATATATACATTGGCCACATACATCTACCTCGAAACATTGTTCTATAGATATTCATTGAAAACGAAAATACTGAAAAATTTAAATTTAGCACTTTTCCATTACGATCCATTTTAGAAAAATCATGTATAAACAAAATTTATAGAGATCGATATCGCAAACAACTTTTAGTTCAACAATTTTCAAAAAAATCAAAATTTTGCACATTTTGTCAAATTTCTCGAATACGGACCATTTCAGAAAATTTTGACATAAAGCAAAAATTATAGATAATAATATTAGAAGTAACTTTTATTTGAACAATTTTCTTCTCCAAACATAAATAACAGATATATTCCATAAAATATAAAAACGGCCTCCCATAAAGTACCCCCCCAGATGTTCCGACTTTGTCCAAAATCTTATCATTTCACGTCAGGCCGAAATAAACCTTAAGTTTAAAATTTAATGTTTTTTTATTTATCCGTTTTTGAGTTTTCTTCAAAATTCGAAATTTACACATTTTCTCAAATATCTCGAATACGGTCCATTTTAGAGAAATTATTTATAGAATAAAAATTATAGAGAATTATATTACAAACAAATTTTATTTAAACAATTTTTATAAAAAATTATTTTTTTACATTTTGTCAAATTTCTCGAATACGGACCATTTTAGGAAAATTTTTAATATAACAAAAATTATAGATAATTATATTCTAAGTAACTTTTATTTGAAGAATTTTCTTCTCCAAACGTAAATAACAGATATATTCCATAAAATATAAAAATGACCACCTATAAAGTACCCCCCAGATGTTCCGACTCTGCCCAAAAATCTAATCAGTTCATTAGACACATACACACATGCACACATACACACACACACACACACACACACACACACACACACACACACACACACACACACACACACACACACACACACACACACACACACACACACACACACACACACACACACACACACACACACACACACACACACACACACACACACACACACACACACACACACACACACACACACACACACACACACACACACACACACACACACACACACACACACACACACACACACACACACACACACACACACACACACACACACACACACACACACACACACACACACACACACACACACACACACACACACACACACACACACACACACACACACACACACACACACACACACACACACACACACACACACACACACACACACACACACACACACACACACACACACACACACACACACACACACACACACACACACACACACACACACACACACACACACACACACACACACACACACACACACACACACACACACACACACACACACACACACACACACACACACACACACACACACACACACACACACACACACACACACACACACACACACACACACACACACACACACATAATAAAAAGGGATTCAGGGGACCTCAAAACGTAAAAATCCGTCAAAAACTCGAGGTCGAAAAAAAATCATGATTCCTATACTTTCCTTATATCTGTATACAGATAGGAAAGTAAAAATAGATTTATGTTTATTGAAACAAGAATTGTCTGATCTTTTATTCCAGACTAAGAACGTATTTCAATAATATTATATTGCAAGGTGTCTGAACAGAATCCATATTAAACAGTAAACTGTAATTCTCCTTGCATAATATGTCAAATTTATCATTTCTATTTTGATTTATGTAATGTCTGCATTAAAAATAAACTACGATTTGGTGATTAACTGTTTATTTTTATTCTTAGATCCTTTAGAGAAATAATTTAAAAATACCAACATAAAAAAACTAAAAATATGAAAACAAAATCACATAAACATAGGTACAAACTGAGACCTGCTTTTTAGAAATGAAGCTAGCCCATTTTCTAAATTTTTTTTTTTCAAACTAAATTGGATTTTGAAAAAGTGGTTTCAGAGGAGTATAGATTTGACCTTTACCTACATGTACATATTTTTTTCTTTTAAAAACAGTCAAAAATTAACTTTAAAACCATTACATTGCAAGATTTTTCGTCTAGAAAGTGGCGCCACTGTTAAATTTTTAAGAAATTAATATTTGTGAATGAAAATTTATATTTCACTGTTTAAGGAGGTATAAATAAATTTTATGTATTTGTACAGGTTATTTTTTGTGTAAATAATTTCTGTAATACTAAGATTTGGCATAATATACAATATGTCTCAATAGGTTGGAACCATATGGAAAACTTTTTTATTCATTTTAGAAAAAAAAAAGTTCTGCATTGTCTAAAATTTGAAACACAGCCATCAGAATATTATTTCTAAAAAGTGAAAACAAAATATTCCTCTATTTCAGTCCATATATAAAAAAAATATACTGAAGAACAGAGAAAAGTGAAAAATACACATGGACCCAAATAAGGTCAAGATATTGCCTAATTTTGAACCTTTGTCTAACATTATGTTGATATTTTTCTTGATATTAAGACATTTATTGATTTATTGCTAATTTAGATCTGGATTTTTTTAATGAGTAATATTTGAGGACTGGATGCAAAATGTATACATAAAAAATATACTAAGAAAAAGAGGAAATACACAATGACCCAATTAAGAAAAAAGTCAAAATTATACTTAAATTATGGACCTTTTGTACTTCATTTTGTTCATATTTATCTTGATATAAAAGGTTCTTTTTGTTTGCTGTTGGTGCAGTGTACACCAGTGTCAATTACACCACCTTATTTACCTAGTTTACTTCCCTCCTTATTTTTTATACATATCGAGTGTAATACACTCCTGCTAAATAGCTGGTAAAGAAAATATCCACCATATCACTGACAGGAAGGTATAATGGATTTTACATTGAGTCAAACAAAAGTTTTGGTGTAGTTCATTCCTACACCAGCAGGACGACCGAAAGAACCTAAATTAACCTTTCATTTGCACTATTATTTATCAATAGTCAATAAAAACCATTAATTAACACATAACACTAAATACTTTATTTATTTATTTAATCAGAACATTACAGATACAAAAACCAACTGGTATTTTCACAGTATATAATAGATGAACTATATAAATACTAATATAATCAAAACATAAACATGTCAATTTTAAAATAGAAAAACAAATATTAACACCAATAAAACAATCTTCAAATAAACATTATTTAGAAAGCATTTCAAATACTTATAAGCTATCACAGTGTCAAAATATTCTTAATGTATCCAATAGGTATCATTTTAAAGTTCTATCCTCTAATAATGCGACCCATACTTCCAAGTTTGTTTCTTTATTGTATTCACATTACAGAGATATCTCAGCACATCATGTTTCTAATTTTCTCCAGCTATTCTATTTGGAGTACTAATTAAAGCTGGGATAGTGTTATTTTAATTTAAGATCATTTTGTCATGAAATACTTTATCAAAGGTGATAAAACAGAAATATATCTATGAAATCTCTGAATTTCTTATAAATGGTATTTACTTAACAAAAAATTAAATAGTAACAGTACAAATTCATTATTTACACCAAAAATTAAATAATCTTAAGTACCTAATCCATTATTATTATTATTCTTCTGTAAGAAATATTTTAAATCAACAAACCATGACTTCGAATACTTTTATCTGTTGTTTCTGTTTATTTAAAATCAGCATTTATGAACTTCTAGTCACTTTTTCTTTACTCCAATTTAATTTTTATTATTGTTGAACATTGTTATCACCTTGCCATCTACATATTTTTCATCGATTATACATTCAACTGATATTGTGTAATATATTTAGGTACACTTAACACTTCTGGGTACAACCATTTTAAAATATTATCACTTGCTTTATAAACCACAGACACGTACACTAACCACTTCTTCATCGGTTATTTATAAAAATGTTTTTACAATATAAACCAAAGTCGCAACAAGCAACGCTACACATTTCGTAATCAAGATATTAAAAGTGTAACAAACGTTGAAGGTAAATATAATATCCCAAAGTTGGTTATGGATATTTTTTAACAAATTTAAGCTACTCACAACTCTTGTTTTCCTGTTTTTTCCCAGTTTTTCCATATATCATCTTTGAGCACGCCAGCCATTTTCACAAATGAGAAGCTTCTTTAAACGACAATTGACAGTTGTTGAATAATGTCAAAATTTCAGTGCTGCCAATATTTTTTTACAATGATGTATATAGTATTATGGATTGTTCACCCATATGTAAATATGACTACGATAAGTGGATCGCAATGAGCTCCCAAGTTCTCACTGAACAGATATCCGTTCTGACCCAAAAATTAAGTTACATTTCAAAACACAATAGGTCTTTTCCTTTGCATCCACAGTGTAGCACTGAGCTACGTCACTTCTGAATATGTCGTTCCATCCATACAATTTGTATAAATGGAACGATATTTTTAGAAGTGCTGTAGCTCAGTGCTACACTTTCGATGCAAAGGAAAAGACCTTATATTATGTTAGGTATTTTGAAAACCTACATTTTTTTGTTCTAAAATAATACTAAAAGATCTAAACAGATATAGGTGTAATCAATTTTAGACCACTGTCGTTTCAGAAATAACACTAATTTGTAAAATAGAGGTTCTTTCGTTCGCTGTTAGTGCAGTGTCCAGCAACGTAAATTACACCAGTTGCACCACCTTTATTTACCTAGTTTACTTCCTCCTTATTCCTGATACACATGTTGAGTGTAATTCACTCCTACTGCTAATTAGCCGTCAGGAAGGTGTAGTTGATTTTACAGCGGGCCAAACGAAAGGTATGGTGTCCGTTGGTGTAGTTCATTCCTACACCAGTGGGATGAAAGAAAGAACCTTAGGTCCGTATTTATAAACAAAACTCAGCTGAGTCGGACTTAGGTAAGTCGTCCTTGAACGAAAATCGAAGTTCTGAATTTAGAGATGGGTAGTAACAAATCCGTAAATCTACATAACAGTTACAGATTTGCTAATATCCATCTCAAACATATACTTCAATTATCTCTTACTATACGGAGAATGGTCACACTACGCAGCTTTCTGAATGCTTTTTAAAAGGAGATAGAAAACTCCGCCATTTGAAACACTTATTACGTGTTGCCTACATCTTGGTGCAATAGTTTTAGTGATTATGTTATAATATTTACCCAAAGTCAGTCTCCAAAGATATTATTTACGAACCCACACCTTACAAAATCATTATTAAATAATGAATATCTTGAAAACCTTGCTTTATTTGGTGATTTTATGTTAAATCTTTCCATTTGTAAGTAACAGCAACTACTTTAATTATGTTCCTATTGTTGTATTCTAAATGCTTTTTATTTTTCAGGTCTCCTAAGAATTTCGAGCACTTAACTTGAACAGATTTTACAAACCATTAATCAAATTGTTTAGAAATTATTTTTAGCCAAACTCTGTTATGTCTGTTCTCAGCATTTTGAAAAATGTGTTGCCTAACCTAGTAGTAATTGCATCAAAATGGCTGTGTGCTCGTAGCTGATATCGCTGTGTCGTACCGATTCAGCTGAGTTGTGTTTATAAATACGGACCTTAGGTAAATAAAGTGGTGTAATATACATTGGTGGACACTGCACCAACATCGAACTGTATAATTTAAATCGAAAAATAGTGAATAAAATCAATCGAATCGAATAAACCTATCACAATCGATTACTGGTTTTTGTATAACACTAAATAAATAGAAGAAGAACTTCAAGGTTAGAAAATAAGGTTATGTTGTCGTATTGTCATCTCTTGTTTACATTTTTAGAAGGTTGACAAGTCCCATTTTATAACATTTAATATTCATTGTTATAGTTTATAATATCGGTTGCATTGTTGCATATTTCAAATAACAATCCGAGGTGTTATAAACAAATTATTACACACGATAAGTAAACATAATGGTTTAGTTTAATACATACACAACAAGAACACAAAGGACACCTTTTATTCAGTTTATTTTTGTATAACGAACAAAGAGTTCGAGCCGAAGAGGTTCTTCGTTGTGTATTTTTGTATTTTTAAGTTTAAAAATTCGTCTAAAACGACAAAATGCACGTTTTTGCAAATTTGCTAGACAATGGTTGATTTTGTTGTTGTTCACAGCTCTGGTTCTATTATTTATTAATGTTTTTGCTAGTTTATATACATGTGAGTATTACACGTTATTTTTTATTCATACTTTATTACAAATCAAAAATAATGCACGTTTTTTATGTTTTATTATATCTATATTTATCACAACTCGAAGACAATTTTATGTATTGGCTCCACTGCAAATAGGTTCCATTATGACCATAAAGTAGTTGATGGGATGCCTGTCAGTCTTTTCTTTTATCTGCTATTTATTTTAATTACTATTACAAACACTTATGATGTTTTAAATACTATTTTATTTTAAATTTTATACTTTTGATGTATTCGTGAATTCGACGAAATGGGTATAGGTTAGTACTGCATTCAATATATGAAAAATGAGAAAAATAATCATCAATACATTAAAGTGATGCTACTATTAAGACCAGTAATGCTATCTTTCTTTGCTCCTTAAAATCATTTTTTGAGAATCTACATAGTTTCAAAAAAAAAATCATGAATCTTTCATTTACTATTTAAAACCTTTTTTTATTAGGAAGGATAAAATGAAAAATATCTAATTCAGTAAAAGCTTTATTTAATTCAATAAATTTCTAAAAATAATAAAATACATTTAAAAATTCTTCTTGTCTTAGTTTATTTTAAATAATAATTTTAAGGGTTTCATAGTACCCCACTTTTCAAGTTTATTTTTGACTTTTTTCAAAAGAAAAAATATGTACCTATAGGTAAAGGTTAAATCTGTGCTCCTCTGGAGATACTTTTTCAAAATTTAATTCAGTTTTTTATAAAAAAAAAAAATACAAAACTGGACTTTTTTACCCATTTTCTCAATTTTTTTTAGAAAAAAATTAAATTTAATTTTGAAAAAGTGGTTCCAGAGGAGCATAGATTTAACCTTTACCTACACGTACATATTTTTTTCTTTTAAAAATAGTCAAAAATAAACTTAAAAAGTGGGGTACTATGAAACCCTTACATTGCAAGATTTTTCGTCTGGAAAGTGGCGCCTCTGTTAGATTTTTAAGAAATTAATATTTGTGAATGAAAACAATTTATAATATATTTTAGGATGTTTTACGAGGGATAAATAAATTTTACCTATTTGTACACCTTATTTTTTACATAAATCATTTCTGTAATACTAAGATTGGTATATATATTATATGCAAGGGATTCATAGTACACCAATTTTACGGATTATTTTTTATTTTTACTAAAAGAAAATTTATGTTAGTACAGATTTACCTACCCGTACCTCTCTGGAGTCACTTTAGAAATTTGAAAAAAAATCTAAGAATAGAAACAAAAAGAAATAGAAATGTTAAAAAATGCTAGAAAGGAACAATATATTTAATTTTTGCCTACAGGAGCATTTATTTACCAACAAAATATATATCTTTTGCTACTATTTAGTGATTTAAATTAATTTTGTTATTTTTTACATACAGTAATTTCGTTCAATTAGTCTAATCAACAAGTTCAAAAGCGTGTTTTTGGGACATACTATTACGAAAATTATGTTCAATAGCTCATTCGATTCGGAATAATGTCTAGATCAATGTGTGAAGAAAAATTTTGCAGTGCATAACAAATTGCAAAAGTTATAAACAATTAAACACCTCAAAAACATGGTGTTTGTTTTTTCGCCTATAGTTTGTAAACTATAAATATTTTTGGATTTTTCAAAAAATATCCTTAAAGAGGAGGAAATTTGCTATAAATAAGTCCCGACTCCCGGAACTGTACCTCCATTATTTATAATTTTAATTTAACGCTCAAAGTAGCCTTCCGCGCGCCATTTTTAGGTTGCGCGCACGGCTTCGAAACCGAGTACGTTACATAAAATAATTTTTTTAAGTTAATAAAATTAAATTCAAAAATATAAAAAATTACGGTGTATTCTAAACACTTAGAAGAATTCATTCCCGTTGGAATTTTTCATAAAAATAAATTTTCCAACAAAGTAGGTTATTGTTAATTAACAAAATTTTTAGAATTTCTCTCATCATTACAAATTGATAAAAATATTAAATAATTACCGTAAATTCTTTTTGCTCTTTTTATATACATATGAAACAAAATAGCTTCATAAAAGTTTAAAAAATGTTAATACTTTGTTTATAATAATTATTTAAAGTTTACAAAAACAGAAAAGTCACAGTGGTGCTATAAAAAATTTTTTTTTTCAATTTATTATATTACTGTTTTAATGTCGAGAAAAGACATTTAATTAAAAAAAATAAATTTTTTTCTCCATTTGTTTATATTTTTTTATAAACAAATTATGATTTTTAAAAATAAATTTTTTTCTTAATAATAACTTTTAATTGTTTATAATCGTTTTTTAATATATCTATTGTTTAAATTATTAGTTAAGAAATGTGTTTTTTTTTTAAATCATAATTGACAGTCATCTACAAAGTGACAGCAAAAAAAAATTTTTTATTAATAATTCCATTGTTTATTAAGTTAACAATTTGTTATAAACAAATTCCCAACTTTGGTTTATTTTTTCCTGAAAGAAATAAAAATTCCAAAAACGACTTATTTAAATTAAAACCTTTAAATATTAATATTATCATTACAAATTGATACGAAACATTATTTTCATAATACAAATAAATATATCTCTATTAAAGAACGGTCATAATTTATTTAATATATTCATTTAAACATGTTTTTGTTTTTTGTCTGGATGATATTGAATACTAACTTTTTCTATATAACTTCTTAAACCCGACATTGTGAAATAAAAAAACAGACAATTAAGAGCGTACTTACGATTTTTCGAGTATATGAGTTTCAATGCTATACTTTTTCCCAAATCATGAAAATACTAAAAAAATTAAAAGCCAATTAAAGAATGTGTTAATATTTACAGAAGAACTTGCTTGACAACTTCGTCTTTCTTTTTTGGAAACAGAGAACAGTCGAAAATTGTGAAAATAACAATATATTTTTATTTCAAAAAAATAATAGGTCAGTTTTTTGTTTTTTATGTAAATCATATCATTTTCAAGGCAATAAATCAGAAGAAAAGTCACTGAAAACCGATTTCAAAAAGGTCTATTAGTTTTTTTTAGGAAATGGAAAAAGAAAAACCGTTTTTTAATCGAGTTACAATTCTTTACTAATTTCGCTGTTTCTCTGCGACGATATCCAGTCTCCTTTTTGTTTAAAATAGATAACTATGAACGGATTAAAATATTTTGTACTGTGTTAAAAAATGTAAGAAAAATTTTGAATTTTTCTAAAAACCAAAATTATCTTTAAAATCCTTATTTATTTTAGAGCAAATTTGGTTTATAGATGTACTTTCGGAAGTCGCAACTTTGTCACGTAAGAAAATAAAAACCAAAAATTTTTTTTTAAGTTTATTGAAACTGCTTTTAATATTTTGTTGAAATTTGGTAGGAACCCACCATGAGTAGAAACACTTTTTCTTGGGCAAAATTTCATAAAAATATCTAGACTGATAAGAAACTTATGATAAAATAGTTATTTTTTTCCTAATACTAACTCAAAAATTAAGAGGTTTACGACGTAAGTTGATATTAACTTTTCTTCTTGAAATCACCCAAACATTCACACCTTTGAGTATCGGCACTCAATTAATAAGTACCCTGTATTAATTCGAAACAATCGTCTATTTTTTCGTTATTTGTATATTGGTTTTATTTTGCCTATCTTTCACAACTCTATGCTTCTAAATGTAATTTAATCTAACTAAAGCTATTCACTAAATTAAAATATAAAAATAATGTAAAACCGTCTAATAAATCGAACTGCATTATAACAATATCTCACAATGCAGCAAGAAAAACAAATACGATTCTGGTTTCCCTAATTCAGGTAACTCTGACTCATTCAATAACTGATGAACGTCGGCAGCCGTGGTAGGATTTTTCGATTCCTTTGTCTCAACTTCGCGCGTTAGAGTTTAGAATATGTATCCCTCGTATCTACATGCAATTGTTAAAATTATGAATATATGGTGATTTTGTTTAGTCTCAGAAGTAAGTTTGTAGTATTTTGTCTCCACCCTCAAGTTGTAATTTTTATACCTACTAAACTACCGTTGCCCTGCAGGTCTTTTAGTTTGTAATGTAAATTTTCCTCTTAAGAATAAACACATAAACAACTTTTTTTGGTAAAAAAAAATATGAATCTGAGTATTTAATAATATTTAATATTTAATAAAATAGCCATGTCTCACTTGATCTATTGCAACTTTGGTTCTATTTCAAGTAAATTTAATATAAAATAATCGTTTCAGCCCCAACTACGTTTCCAGCCAAAAAGAACAAACAAAACAATGGGGAGCCGTTTCCAAAGAACTATTTTACCAGTGCCAAAAATTCGATACCAAAGGACGACCCTTGTGAAACGATTCACATCGGTGTCGTATGTTCCGGATACAGTTCAAATTTGTTATTTCACACTCTGCTGAAAAGCATATTTTTCCATAGGATCAATCCGTTGCAGTTCCATATTTTAACTAACAAAGTTTCGGAAAAGATTCTTAGAGTGTTGTTCGATAGTTGGGATGTTCCACAAGGTAACTTAGGTTGATTAATAATATTATTAATAATATTGATAATATTAATAATATTAATAATATTAATAATATTAATAATATTAATAATATTAATAATATTAATAATATTAATAATATTAATAATATTAATAATATTAATAATATTAATAATATTAATAATATTAATAATATTAATAATATTAATAATATTAATAATATTAATAATATTAATAATATTAATAATATTAATAATATTAATAATATTAATAATATTAATAATATTAATAATATTAATAATATTAATAATATTAATAATATTAATAATATTAATAATATTAATAATATTAATAATATTAATAATATTAATAAATAATATTAATACTATTAATAATACTAATATTAATGATATGAGATAATTTATAAATAGAAGCCATTATCGAAACTCTAACTGTGATTTTAATTTGTTTTTAAGTCAATGTAACATTCTACGATCTAAATAAATATGTATCTGATGTTAGATGGATACCAAACAGTCATTATTCCGGTATCCATGGTTTGTTGAAATTGCTGTTTCCAAAAATTGTACCGATAGAAGTTACTGATAGAATTTTAGTATTAGATACAGATATGACAGTTGTTGCGGATATTTACGAACTTTGGGCGATGTTTAGACAATTCAATAAAAAACAGGTATGTTTTTAAATTTTAACACATGGAAGAAAGTCTTTAATTGTTCATTTCATTAAAATTTCAACTTTTCAGGAAATAAAAACAATTTTTTATTTCACTACACATAAATTTAATATAAATCGAAGTTTAGATCTTGCTACATTTTTTTTTTTTCAATTTTAGGCTATAGGGATGGTTGAAAACCAAAGTGATTTTTATTTAGGAGAGAAAAGGTGGCCTGCTATTGGTAGAGGGTAAGTTTTTATCTACTTATAACACCCTAGTGAATTAAGAAATAAAAAAATGTTACTTATAAAATAAAATAATATTACTGGTTAATATTACTATTAATATTACTGTTAGTACGAGTATTACCGTTAATATTACTGTTTATATTAGTGTTATTATTACTGTTAATATAACTGTTATTACTGTTAAATCCTTGGTACTGTTAAATAAGGACGATAGTATTACTGAACTAGATTTTAAAAAGTTGTAATTCATAATTTTTTTTGGTAAGTATTAGGACAGTTAAATTTATAAAATGTTAAGTAAAGTATTTAATACAGAAAGTATTAGATAAAGTAAAGTAATTGATAATGTAATTGATAAATTAATTGATAAAGTATTAGATAAAGTATTTAATAAAGTATTAGATAAAGTATTACATAAAGTAATAAATAAAGTATTACATAAGGTATTAAATAAAGTAATCGATAAAGTAATTCATAAAGTAAAGTAATTGATAAAGTATTTGATAATGTATTAGATAAAGTAAAGTATTAGATAAAGCATTAAATAAAGTATTACATAAAGTATTACATAAAGTATTACATAAAGTATTACATAAATTATCACATAAAGTATTACATAAAGTATTACATAAGGTATTATATAAAGTATTACATAAGATGTAATACATAAAATGTATTAAATAAAGTTAAATTAACATGTAAACCTTCTCCATACGTAATAATTTTACAGGAGAAGCAAAAAACCGTTTAATTTAGATATTAGAAGAAGAAAGCTTCCTTTAAATAAAGACCTAATGATCTAATTCATTTTTTTTAATATCTACACGAAACGGTTTTTTGCTTCTTCTGTAAAGTTATTACGTATGGAGTTAGAAGGTTTACATGTTAAGGTAACAATAAAGTATTACATAAAGTATTACACAAAGTAAAGTATTACATAAAGTTTACATAAAGTATTACATAAAGTTTACATAAAGTATTACATAAAATATTACACAAAGTAAAGTATTACATAAAGTAAAGTATTACATAAAGCAAAGTACTACATAAAGTATTACATAAAGTATTACGTAAAGTATTACGTAAAATATTAAATAAACTTTTACATTGAATAACTGATGACAATTTGCTTTTATTCCATCTCCAAGTATTTTACAACTCAAACCTAATATAAAATACGTTTCAGATACAATTCTGGAGTTCTGATGTATAACATTTACCTGTTAAAAAAACTGAATTGGCCTAAATTGTGGTCGGCCAGCACCAAGCGAGCAGCTCTGGATTACGGATCGACTCGTTTGGCCGACCAGGATATCATTAATACTGTAATAAAAGAGAATCCCGAACTAATATTCGAAGTGCCTTGCGTTTGGAACACCCAATTGAGTGATCGTACCTTGAGTGAGAGTTGTTATAAGCAATATAAAGTGAAGGTAGAGTAAAATTAATTTCAAATAGTTGTCGATTTTTCCCCAGATCTGGGGAAATTCGTAGAATAGATCCGGCAACAACGCACAGCATACTTCAAAAAAAGTACGCTTAAAATTACCCAGAAACTTCTCATTAACTGACAACACCGCTACCCTAGTAGACATCCAGATCTAGATACTTAATATGCGTATTTACAATGCGGCGTTTCCAGATCTACAAATTTCCCCAGCTATGGGGAAAATTTAGACGTTTAAAAACCGATGCGAAATTCAAATCTAGATACTTAATAAGCGTATTTAAAATGCCGCGTTGCCAGATCTACAAATTTCCTTAGATATGGGGAAAATTTAGACGTTTAAAAACCGATGCGAAATTCAGATCTAAATACTTAATAAGCGTATTTACAATGCGGCGTTGCCAGATCTACAAATTTCCCCAGATCTGGGGAAAATTTAGACGTTTAAAAACCGATGCGAATTATGTGATTTTTAGATAGTTCACTGGAATTCCCCGAAAAAATACAACGTCGACAACAAAGACGGCGAATACTTTCGAAGTCTCGCGGTCGGATTTCAAGAATACAACGGAAATTTGTTGAGAAAAAAGTTACAATTTTGTAATAACGTCCCATTGAGCGCACCCCGGAACGATTCGATCGATGACATTTGTTCGGAATTTCACGGCCTATCGAACATGCATTGGAGGACCATATTGTTTTTTAGAGAGTACAAATACGTAGCCGTTGAAAATGACATTACTTTCGTTGCTCAATTGTCTTTCGATAGGTTACAAACCATTGAAGAGCTAGTCAAAGCTTGGCCAGGTTAGTATTTTTAATTCTTGTAGTAATTATTGTAATAATTATTGTAATAATTATTGTAATAATGATTGTAATAATTATTGTAAAAATTATTGTAATAATTATTGTAATAATTATTGAACTAATTATTGTAGTAATTAGGTAATAATTATTACAATAATTATTGTAATAATTGCTATAAGTACTGTAATTACTTGTGTACTAAATATTTTAATAAATATTGAACTAATGTAGTAATTAGGTAATAATTATTACAAAAATTACTGTAATAATTGCGATAAGTATTATTACTTATGTACTAATTATTTGAATAATTGTAATTTTTATAATAATTAGTGCAATAATTATTGTAATTGTGTAATAATTAGTGCAATAATTATTGTAATAATTACTGTAATAGTTATTGTAATAATTATACATATATTGAATAATTATTGTAATAATTATTGAACTAATTATTGTAGTAATTAGGCAATAATTATTGTAATAATTTGGCAATTATTATTGTAATAATTGCTATAAGTACTGTAATTACTTATGTACTAATTATTTTAATAATTATTGTAATAATTAGTGCAATAATTATTGTAATTATGTAATAATTATTGTAATTAATATGGTAATTATTGTAATAATTATTGAACTAATGTAGTAATTAGGTAATAATTATTACAATAATTACTGTAATAATTGCGATAAGTATTATAATTATTTATGCACTAATTATTTTAATAATTATTGTAATTATGTATTAATTAGTGCAATAATTGTTGTAATTATGTAATAATTAGTGTAATAATTATTTTATGATAATTATTGTAATAATTACTGTAATAGTTATTGTAATAATTATTGTAATAATTATTGTAATAATTATTGAACTAATTATTGTAGTAATTAGGAAATACTTATTGTATTAATTGCTATAAGTACTGTAATTACTTATGCACTAATTATTTTAATAATTATTGTAATTTTTGTAATAATTAGTGTAATAATTATTGTAATTAATATGGAAATTATTGTAATAATTATTACAATAATTACTGTAATAATTGCGATAAGTATTATAATTATTTATGCACTAATTATTTTAATAATTATTGTAATTATGTATTAATTAGTGCAATAATTGTTGTAATTATGTAATAATTAGTGTAATAATTATTTTATGATAATTATTGTAATAATTACTGTAATAGTTATTGTAATAATTATTGTAATAATTATTGTAATAATTATTGAACTAATTATTGTAGTAATTAGGAAATACTTATTGTATTAATTGCTATAAGTACTGTAATTACTTATGCACTAATTATTTTAATAATTATTGTAATTTTTGTAATAATTAGTGTAATAATTATTGTAATTAATATGGAAATTATTGTAATAATTATTGAACTAATGTAGTAATTAGGTAATAATTATTACAATAATTACTGTAATAATTGCGATAAGTATTATAATTACTCATGTACCAAATATTTTAATAATGATTGTAATAATTATTGTATAATAATTATTGTAATAATTACGGTAATAATTATAATATTAATTATTGTAATAATTATATTTGGAATAATTATTGTAAAAGTTATTGTAATAATTACGGTAATAATTACTGTAATAATTATGTATATATGATATAATTATTGTAATAATGATCGTAATGAATATTATGGTAATTACTGTAATAATTAGTGTAATATACTTACATAATAATTACAGTACTAATTACTGTACTATTTATTGTAATAGCCTTTTCTAAAATCTTTTTTAAACCCTTTCTAAATATTTTTTATTTTTTAAATATTTTTAATTTTTTTATTCGTTGTTTTTTGTTTTTGTTTATTTTTTGTTTTTCAGTTGTCTTTTTTATTTTTTGTTTTTTTTTATTTTTTTGTTTCTTTGTTTTTTGTTTTTTTTTTTTTTTTTAGTTAAAGCAGAGATTCACTTTTATTATTTTTTAGATCTTTTTTTATTCAAATCTTTTTTTATTTTTTAAATATTTGAAAAATATTTTTTCCTCTATTCTTTTTAATATTTTTTATACCTCTTTTATTATTTTTTAAATATCTTTCAATTATTGTAATAATTAAAGGATCCAGGGGAAAACATGATAAGCTCCAATTTCATAATGTTTGAATTTCCCAATATTATAGTAGGTCTAACTGGTCCCCACAAAATGCATAAACTCTACAGGACAATAAGCTGTTAATTCCACATTATACATGCCTAGTAAAAATATTTACAGGGAAAGAACCAGATAATCGTTTGATTATCTCCTGTAAAATTAGAAAAATGGCGCTTACCATGTTTTTCCCCTGAACCCTTCAATTATTATTGTAATAATTATGTATGTATGGAATAATTATTGTAATAATTACTGTAATAGTTATTGTAATAATTATTGTGATAATTATTCTAATAACTATTATGATCATTATTGTACTAATTAGTGTAATAATTATTGTGATAATTATTGTAATAAATATTATGATAATTATTGTAATAATTAATGTAATAATTAGTGTAATAATTATTGTAATAATTACTATAATAATTATTGTAATAATTACTGTAATAATTATTGTAATCATTACTGTAATAATTATTGCAATAATTATTGCAATAATTATTGTAATAATTATTGTGATAATTATTGTCATAAATATGATAATTATTGTAATTATTATTGGATTTTTCCTTTATTGAACTACATAAACTGCGTAATTAATTTACTTTTTTTAATATGAGTATAACGTTTGTTTTCACGTTTTAGGGCCTATCAGTTTTACTTTATACGTATCAGATCCGGAATTACTGAAAAGTATAGCGTTCATTACGAATTCGGAAATTTTAAAAGATAGATGGAACGTTGCTTATCATGCTGTTTTTAAAGAGGGTGTAAGTTTGAATTAAATATCCATAATAAAAAGATATACATAATTTCGTTATAATGGTTTTTCGTTGAATTCCCAAGCATAATAATAATAATAATATGGCTGTTATTTTTAGGACGTTTATCCTATAAACATTTTAAGAAACATAGGTTTAAGGAACGTACAGACTCAATTCGTATTTTTGGCCGACATTGACTTCTATCCATCCAATGATTTGTACGAGACTTTAATAAAGTATATTACGGTATATGGATCGCTGAAAAACAAAGTGAGCATGGTTTATTTCACACTTTACAATATGTAACATTTTGTTTATCCCGCTAGATGACGCTGCAATCAACATTAACGCAATGAACTGTCATGTTGCTTAATTCCCTATAAAATTAAAAGATTAAACAAACTTACCTTTAAGTGAAGTTCAATCTTAATTATAATTCTTCTCTTGGAGAAACTATAAATATTATTTTGTGAGACGAGGCCGAAATATAATTTTAATCCTTTATACCCTTTATAATTACTGCTTTATTAAGTTTTATATCTATTTTAGGCGCTGATAGTTCCTGCCTTTGAAATCCAGAAGTTCGTTAATCAATTGCCGACTGATAAGAAACGTATTTTGGATGGATTGAACGATAAATCGATCATACCTTTCTTGTCAATGATTTGGGCTCCCGGTCATACGCCCACGATGTATAATACTTGGAGAAATAGCACGAAACCGTACAAGGTAAAATACAATAGTTAGTGGTTAAGAACTAATCGAAGATCAAAATCAAGTATTTTTTTAAATATTTAAACCTTTTTATATTATTTTTTAAATATTTTTTATTTTTTAAAATCTAATTTTTAATGCTTTGGCTATATTTTTTAAATAAACCTTTATTTATTATTTTTTATACCTTTTTTTATTTTTTATAGCCTTTTTTATTTTTTAAAGCCTTTTTTTATTTTTCGAATCTCTTTTTATTTTTTAAATATTTAAAAAAAATATTAAAAAAGGTTTTAAATATTTTTTCAGCTATTTTTTTTTTAATAATTTTTAATTAATAAACTTTTCTTTTTTTATTTTATTTTTAAATATTTCATTTTTTAAATAAACCTTTTTTTATTATTTTTTTAACCTTTTTAAAGTTTGTTTTACAAACCTTATTATTTTTTAAATCATTTTTTATTTTTTTAATCTAATTTTTAATGGAGATGGCTATATATTTTTTAAATAAACCTTTTTTATTATTTCTTGAATATTTTTTTAATAATTTTTTAAATATTTTGTAAGTATCTTAATTTTTTTTTTATTTTTAATTTTTTTTTAATATTCCTTGTTTTTTTTTTAATTTGGTGTCATTGGCATCGACTACTAAGGCCATTAGCCTTCTGTGTAGGCTTTGTTACTGTTTCCCAGCGCCACTTCAGGAACAGCACTGTTAATTAGAACCCAACAGTGAATTGTTAATTTTTTTTGTTTTTTCTTTGTATTTTTTGTATTTTTGTTTTGTTTTTTGTATAAAATATGGAATTTATTATCAGGTAAAGTGGGAGGTTGACTACGAACCATACATAGTAGTCAGAAGCGACGTAGTGCAATACGACGAAAATTTCATCGGATTCGGTTGGAACAAAGTGTCTCATATCATGGAACTGGAAGCACAAAATTACGAATTTATAGTTTTACCCGACGTGTTCATCATCCACAAACCCCATACGCCCAGTTATGATTTAGGACGATTTAGGACGTCGTCCGTTTATAGGCTGTAAGTATATTTTACCATTATCGTTTGATACTTAAACATAATGAGGGATTATATGAGTTAATTTGCCTATAGAGCGCGCTACTGAGATTGGAGAGCCATATCGTTAGTTTGCAAGAATAGTGACACAACTAAAAACACGAAAATATTTATTCATCCCCTTTTGAATTATGACGATCTTTGATTTGTGTCATTATTAAAAATAATGTTCTTCGTTTAGGTACGCAAGAACACTGACACAATTCAAAAATATTTATTTTAGAGGAATTCCATTTTTAAAGTTTCTTCATTCTTTTGGTAATAGATATTAGTATTCACCTTGTATTTAAAAATAATAAGTTTGCTTCGATATTATTAAGAAAAAACTAACCTTTTAAGTTATGACGATCTTCCAGAAAATTATTTTCCACTTCATAATGATAGTGTCCTTTTCAACAATAACGTCCTAATTTGACTTATGCCACTTTGACAATAATGTTCTTAGTTTAAATACACAAGAATAATGACACAACTCAAAAACACGAAAATGTATTTTCATCCCTCTTTTGAGTTATGACGATCTTCCAGAAAAGGATATTTCATACCATATTCGGTAATGAGCTTTTTAACAATAATGTGCTAATTTGATTTGTGTCATTATTAAACATAATGTTCTTCGTTTAGGTACGCAAGAACACTGACACAATTCAAAAATATATATTTTAGAGGAATTCCATTTTTAAAGTATCTTCATTCTTTTGGTAATAGACATTAGTATTCACCTCGTATTAAAAAGTAATAAGTTTGCTTTGATATTATTAAAAAAATCCAACCTTTTGAGTTATGACGATTTTCCAGAAAAGTATATTTCATACCATATTCGGTAATGAACTTTTCAGCAATAATGTGCTAATTTGATTTGTGTCATTATTAAAAATAATGTTCCTCTTTTAGGTACACAAAAATAGTGACACAATTCAAAAATATATATTTTAGAGGAATTCCATTTTTAAAGTTTCTTATTTCTTTTGGTAATAGACATTAGGATTCACCTCGTATTAAAAAGTAATAAGTTTGCTTTGATATTATTAAAAAAATGACGATCTTCCAGAAAAGGATATTTCATACCATATTTGGTAATGAGCTTTTCAACAACAATAATGTGCTAATTTGATTTGTGTCATTATTAAAAATAATGTTCTTCGTTTAGGTACACAAGAATAGTGACATAATTCAAAAATATATATTTTAGAAGAATTCCATTTCTAAATTTCTTTTTTTGTAATAGATATTAGCATTCACCTCGTATTAAAAAATAATAAGTTTGCTCTGATATTATTAAGAAAAACCAACATTTTTAGTTATGACGATCTTCCAGAAAATTATTTTTAGGGACCTTTTCAACAATAATGTCCTAATTTGACTTATGCCACTTTGAAAATAATGTTCTTAGTATAAGTACACAAGAATAGTGACACAACTCAAAAACACGAAAATATATTTTCATCCCCCTTTTGAGTTATGACGATCTTCCAGAAAAGGATATTTCATACCATATTTGGTAATGAGCTTTTCAACAAAAATAATGTGCTAATTTGATTTGTGTCATTATTAAAAATATATATTTTAGAAGAATTCCATTTTTAAAATTTCTTTTTTTTGTAATAAATATTAGCATTCACCTCGTATTAAAAAATAAGTTTACTCTGAATTATTAGGAAAAACTAACCTTTTTAGTTATGACGATCTTCCAGAAAATTATTTTTAGGAACCTTTTCAACAATAATGTCCTAATTTGACTTAGGCTACTTTGAAAATAATGTTATTAGTATAAGTACACAAGAATAGTGACACAACTCAAAAACACGAAAATATATATTCATCCCCCTTTTTAAGTTATGACGATCTTCCAGAAAAGGATATATACCATATTTGGTAATGAGCTTTTCAACAATAATGTGCTAATTTGATTTGTGTCATTATTAAAAATAATATTCTTTGTTTAGGTACACAACAATAGTGACACAATTAAAAATATATATATTTTAGAGGAATTCCATTTCAAAAGTATCTTCTTACTTTTGGCAATAGATATTAGTATTCACCTCGTATTAAAAAATAATAAGTTTGCTTTGATATTATTAAGAAAAAACTAAATTATGACGATCTTCCAGAAATTTTTTTCACATCATAATGATAGTAACCTTTTCAACAATAATGTTCTAATTTGACTTATGTCACTCTTGAAAATAATGTTCTTAATTCACAAGAATAGTGACACAACTCAAAAACACGAAAATATATTTTCATCCCCCTTTTGAGTTACGACAATCTTCCAGAAAATTATTTTTCACATTATAATGATAATGACCTTTTCAACAATAATGTCCTAATTTGACTTATGCCGCTATTGAAAATAATGGTCTTAGTTTAGGTACACAAGATTAGTGACAGCTTAAAAACATGGATTTTTAGAGAACATCCATTTTAAGTTTATTGTTTCTTGTAAGGCTTATCATGATCTTACATTTTAAAAATTATGTTTTCTTTTTTGGAAATTTTTATTGGCTATATTTTTTAAATAAACCCTTCTTTTATTATTTTTTAAAATCTTTTTTATTTTTTAAACGTTTTTTTATTTTTTTAAGGTATTTTTATTTTTTTTTGTGTTTTTCATTTTTTTAACCTTTATTTTTTCAAACTCTTTTTTAAAATATTTTTTTAGTTCATTCTTTAAATCTTTTAAATATTTTTTAAGCATTTTTTATATTTTTTAAACTTTTTTTATATTTTTAAATCTCATTTTTAATGGAAATGTTTAACATTTTGCTATATTTTTAAATAAACCTTTTTTTAATTAATTTTTTAAACCTTTTTATTTTTTTATATTTTTGGCACCTTTTTTATTCTTCAAAATATTTTTTGAAACTTTTAAAATGTCATCTGTTAAATCAATGTTTAAAATTGATTAACTTGAATTGACATTTTTTGAGTTACGTCGGTATTCTTGAAAATCAGCGATATATCAATGGCACTTTTTTATTTTACAATTCTATGGGTTATTTTGATGACCTGCAGGCTAATTTTAATGTCCCAAGAATGTCCTTAAAAGGCTTCTCCAGTAAGAAAATGTCTTCCACTCTACTGGCCAGTTTCTCTTCAGTTTTCTGCTGTTTCTTTTTTCCAATGGTTGAAGTTGTGAGTTAGGATGTGTCTCCAATCTTTAGTAATACTTTTGTCTCTGCTAAATTATTTTATTATTTATAGACCGCACATCTCAGTATCGCCATCTGGCGAGCTTTAACTTACAATCCCTCGTTATTATTAGTATTATTTCGAAAAAAATGTTCACTTGCAGGTGCCTCAGACTGTTGAAAGAGGAATTCATTAAGAGGCTCAATAAACAATACAATCGGAATTTTGCTTATCACAATACATCGGCAATGTTGCCATATATTCGACGAAGGAAAAGGCACAATCGTGTCATCGATTTTTCTTCCACCACTTTAGAAACGAACACTGACTATCCCAATGCTACAGAATAAGCTATACGATTGTTATTGTATTCCTTTAGTACGAAAGAAATGTTTTTTATTACAGAAAGTTTATTGTAGTCCTAAATTGAAAAAAAAAAGTTAGGTTATTAATTGCTTAGCACCATATAGGTTATAGTTTGTTCTATTTTTATGCACTCTTTAAAATAACAACAAATTTCGATGTTGCACGTTTGGAATGAGTGCAAACATAGGCAACCATGGTTATCGTTAAAGAAAAGTCTGTCAACTTTCATTTGGTACCAATTGCGACAAAATCGAAGCACCCATCGCAAAATGCGCGATTTGTCGCGCTAAGTCGCGCGATTTGTAAAAGATGCTCCGATTTTGTCGCAATTGGTGTTAAATGGAAGCTGACAACCTCCTCTTAAACAATAACTTTGTTTGCAAAAATATAGTATCGAAATTTGTGGTGTTTAGCGATTAATAACCTTTCTTTTTTTTAATTTAAGCCCAAAATAATCCACGTTTTCAATTTTTTGCGGACGGTTTTTATTTCGCGTAATGGTCGAACTACTGAGTATAATCGAAGCACAGTTTTGACAAATAATCAAATGTTTTTAAGAGAAGAATAATACAATCGTCAGTAGTCATTTTTGACGTTTGTTACTATGATAAAATCAACCGCTCTCTTGGTATATTTGATAATTTTATTTTTTAAAAATTAATTTAATATATTATTACGTTTGTATCAATCCATATGAATTGGTCAATGCCTGGTAAGTTACGGCTGCGTTTAAAACACTCAATTTATTTAAAATCATATTTACTAAGTCAGTAAATTCGATAACGCCGTCAAAGTAATCATGAAAAACGTATAAGATAAAAATAAGGAAATTGTTGCAATTAATTTCTGTGAATGTTGACATCAGCTTGACATCTGATTTCTTTGCTACCTAAGGAAGTTTTTAATTTTATATTTGCCTGCCAAATTGTGTTTGGAAAATAGTTTTTAACTATGGATGATTTTATAATGGACTTTGAACTACTAATGTTTAACCGGTTGAGCAACATACAAGAAATGAAGATACACCATAAAAATGAGATCCAAATGATACGTTTATCGTACTATTTTATTTCTTCAAATCCGGTTGATTTACCAAACAAAATACTTGAAATCTTAAAAAGCCTGTAGAAGTTTTTATTGGTTTTTAGATCATGTACAAACTTTTATCTACTATAAAATTTTCTGAGAAATCAACAATGAAAAAGTTTTCTTTCATTTATTGGTGCAGAATTTTTGTTACACGCTGTATATATTTTGACCAGTTCATACGGATTGTTACATTAAATTGTTTTTGCATTTATTTTGTATACCAAAAATCAGTTATTTTAAATATTTATTCCTTTTTTTGTTATATTTTTAGTAATAATATACAGGGTTGTCATTAATGGATTTAAATAATATATTTATATTTACAGGATTTGTTCCATCTAATGAATGATAAAATTAGTGGTTCGTTAACGATGATAAAATTAAAATAAAGTTTGACTTATTTATCTAGTTTATTGAATTGACAGTGTTTTTATTCATAACATGATGAATGAGCGTGTTTAGTGGAGTTAAGAAATCTTTTATAAACATTTTTAATTTTTTTTTAAGGTGTACACCGTAAGCCAAATTTTTTAGTCCCTTTTACTATGCAGTTCCTTAAAAAATCCTTATTACTACAATTTTTGCAATTCCTTGATAATTCACCTTGGAAATTCCCGTAATTATTTGACTTTACGCAATTCTTCGGTAATTACCTTTTAATTCGCCGACTGTTCCCGTATTTATCTGACAATTACTATAATTTCCGCAATTCATCGGCAATGTCACATCAATTCCTCGGAAATTTTCGTAATTATTCGGAATTTTCCTGCCGATTCTCAAAAAATTCCGGCAATTCCGCTCAATTTCCGGAAATTTTTCTCAATTGCCGTGATTATCCGATAATTCTCTGACAAAACTAAGAGTAGGAAACAACAACAAAACTTTGATGATTTTAAGAGGTAGTAGGATTTGCGCATGAGTGGTAGAGATCATTAATACCGGTATATGTCTATTCCATCAATTCCTAGCAAATTTTTTAGCCATTACCCGACAATTCCTTTTTGATCCCCGAAATTCCACGGTAATTTCTCAGGAATTCACTGTGAAATCTCAGCAATACCTGTAATTCTTCGGCAATTCCCTGTGAAATGTCCGGTAATTCCCTTAAATATCCTGCAATCACCAGAAATTCCACAATTCGTTGTTGTATGCCTGGTAACTCCCGTAATTATTTGACATGTGTCACAAATTCCGCGATTTCTCTACAATTTTCCGGAAGTTCCTTGGCAATTCCCGTAATTCTTCGACAATTTCCTATTAAATACCTGTAATTATACGAAGATTGCCATACTTTCCGCATCTGCTCGTAAATTTCGTGAAAATTTCCCCAATTCTTCGAAAAACCCTTAGAAATTTCCAAAGAATTTTGTGTTAGGGTCTATTTATACTCCCTTAGTATTAGTATTTGTATTAGTATTATGATTAAGCATTAAATTTCTTAAATCATTCAAAAAAGGTATTTATACTCGTTTTACAATTAGTATTAGTAATTCTTTTTTAAACATAATACCTAATAAGATATAATTCTGCAGTCAACAAAATATATGGTTACTGACGAAATGTGTAAGAGGCCGATTGTGTTCTTTTTAAGATATTTTAGTTTTAAATGTGTTTTTATTAATATTTTTACTAGTTAATTTTATCTAAAAATATTATTATTCAAAAATAGGTTTAATTAAGGACATTTTAACGGATTTAAGTCTCAAATTTATAACAGATAAAAAGAAGCAGAAATTTGATACAAATCAGACAGAAAAGAGGCCTTTGCTTCCTCATGGTGACATGTCATTTGTCAACTTTATAATCGGTAAACACTGCTGATACACAAAAATTGTATACAGAGCATGATTTGTACCGAAATATTATCGTTTTCGAGCTTGTTGGAACAAACAAATAAACAAAATAATCATATGGGTGTTGTCAATTATCCTTATCTGTTGTCTATTAAAAACAAAGGCCAAATACTCCATTGATTCATTTTATAGAAAAGAAGAAATTTAATATTTAATTTAAAAGTTGAACCTGTCAATTATTAAGCATAAATATTAATGCTAATACTAATCATAAATCGAGTATAAATGTCCCCATTACATTGTGAAGGTTCAACTTAATGCTTAATCATAATACTAATGCAAATACTAATAATAAGGGAGTATAAATAGACCCTTAAATCCCCGGAGATTCCTGTAATGATCTGGCAATTTCAACAAATTCCGAAAGTCTTTATCAAATCTTCGGAATTCCTTTTGGAAATGCCTGTAATTCTTCGATATTTCCCATAATTATCCGGCAATTACCACAATTTCGGCTATTCGTCGATAATTCCTCGGCGATTCCCGTATTTTTTGCAATTCTCTGTTAAATCCCCGTCATTATACGGAAACTACAACATATTTCTCAATTGCCCGTAAATTTCTTGGCAATTTCCGTAATTCTTCGGAAATTTCGATAATTATCCGGCAATTACCACAGATTCCGCAATTACTAGACAAATCCTTGAAATTTCTCAAAATTCTTCAACAATTCCTTGTTAACCGATAATTCCTGTAAGTATCCGGCAATTACCACAAATTCCCCAATTCCTTAACAAATCTTTGGAAATTCCGTTGAAATTCCCGTAATTTTTAGTTTGTCCCGTAATTAACCGGCAATTTCCGTTATTTTTCGATCATTTCTGGGAAATTCCTTGGCAGTTCCTGTAATTTCTCAGCAATTTCCTGTTAAATCGCCATAGTAATATATGTATACTAAACACGCCCATTGCAAATTTTTCTTTAGTTTATTAGTAGGATCAAATTTTATCATTAATTTAATATTTTTGTTTTTTTTTCTTAATAGCGATGTTATCGTACTAGTGCAAAAAATATGTCAAAAGTCTCATTTTTTTTCAATTTGAAAAATGTTGTCAGAGGGTAGAAAAAAGTTTCTAAATTCCTCCCAAACAAAGTTATCTCGAGTAATGTTTGGTTATTAAAGGTAATCATCAAAAACAGCGTTGAATAACTGTGATTTTTAAGAAAAGAACATTGTTTTGAAATTAGTTTTTTTAATATTTATATTTATTGAGTGTATGTGAAAAATAACGATCACTTTCTATTTATTATGTATTGTTTTTAGTATTTTAACAAATAAAGTATTTACATTTTAATATTAGCGTTATTTATTTCTGAAACATCATTGTAGGAGTACCCCAAGGATCAACCAAAGAGTGGAAATAACAAGAGATGGCAGTCAACCGAATAAAATTGTTTCGAGAACCAAATTAAACTAAAATGGATTCATTTGTCCTAATAACTATTTAGCGGAAGTTCAAATAATCGATTTTAAATAAAATATCAGTTCGTTTTTACAGTTATTAATGTTTTAACAGCCATCATCTACAATTCCTCGGAAATTCCCGTAATTATGCGGAAATTTCCTGTCGATTTTTAAAATTTTCCGGTAATACCTCTCAATTGGCAAAAATTACGTAATTCTTCGGCAATTCCCTGTCAATGGTCATGGTAATTCATCAGGAATTTACTGTAATCTCAACAATATCCGTAATTCTTCGGTAATTTCTTGTTAAATACCCGTTAATTCCCGTAAATATCCCACAAATTCCACAATTCCTCGTAAATTCTCTGTACAATTCCTAGTAACGCCCGTAATTATCCGGAATTTACAACAAATTCCGCAATTTATCTACAATTTTCGGGAATTCCTTGGCAATTCCCATAATTCCTCGGTAATTTCCGTAATTCTTCGGCAATTTCCTGTCATTAGTCACAATTTCCCAGCAATTTACTATCGATTTTAATAATTCTCCGGGAATTTTTCTCAATTGTCGTAATTATCCGATAATTCTCCGACAAAACTCAGGGTTAAAAAACAACAACAAAATTTTGATGGTTTT